CATACAGAGATGGGGCTTCAGAGGAGATGCCATCGACACCTACTCCGTACACTAGGCTGTAAAGATGGCCTCGATACATGCAGCAGGGCGATGGGAATCTCTCGACACTTGAATCTTGAAACTGTATTTTTGTTTTGCCACTTGGACTTGTATAGCCTGTATGTGCCGATGTACCGCGCCGGGGCAGTGTCTGTCCCATTTTCCGACTGTCGGCTCCGTAGCATCAATCCGTGTCATTAAACATGGATGACCAACCGCCCTTGTTTTTTTTTTTTCGGATTTTCGGATTTTCGGATTTTCATGAGTTTCCTTGTTTTCTCGTGACTGTTTTCTGTTTCCGTTCTCTGTAGCAGCAAGTATCAGCAACTCCTGGTCCGAGTTTCATCCTCGCCTCTAAAACGAACCAACCCCAGATTCGTACCGCCCCTTGCCAACTTGACTTCACCTAAGCCAAAAAAAGAAAATCCATGTTCCGTTCCGCATAGATTTCCAAGCATATACTAAGCAAACTACTCTATGCAAACGTGGATGCGCTGCGCCCCCCCCCCCCCCCCCCTCCTCATTGGTTCCGACCCCATCAACCTGTCAGATCACTTGTCCAGTTTCAGGGCAAGCAAGGTTCCAACACGACGAGTTATTCCCATCACACACACAATACCACAGTAACGCACCTCTGACCCTACTCGGATGTCTCCGGGCCGTTGTCGATGGCTGTCAAACCATGATGCCCCCCCCCCCCCCATGTCCACCGACGTTCTCGAAACGCCAACTTGCTGCTTCGCCCCTCGTCCATACGACCAATGGACGATGAATCTTCTGTACAAGGTTTTCTCTTCCACTTCCCTAGCAAAACCGTCCCGCCAGAACGACACCCACCACCGAAACTCGTCACAGAATTCCTCCCTTTTTGGTCTTGTATTCTGCAACGGTAACCCCCCGGCGCACCTCGTCTGTCCCCCGGTGACAGGGCCCCCCCCCCTCTCCGGCCGTCGCGCGTGCCGGGCGATGGCTGCCGTCTTAGCCTCGACATGTTTTGCTTCACGGCTCATTCTCCCCTGTATCGCATCACGTCAAGTCTGCCAAGTCTTTCTATATAAGGCAATGAACCTGTCCCGTTGCTAAGTTCTCTTTCTTGCTCATTCAGACTCAAAACTCACAGCCTCCTGCCCTTCCGCTTCCTTCACTTGCATTCTTCATTTAGCCCTGGCGGCTCTGGTATTTCTGTCTTATTACACCATCCTTTTGCAAACCCCTCCTTTTCTTTAATAACCCATATACTTCTCCTTTCACATTTCAAAATGCGTTACGCTTTTGCCTACGCCGCCCTGGTCTCCACGGCTTCGGCCCATGGACTCGTCACCATGATCAAGGGTGACAATGGTGTCATGATGCCCGGTCTCGGTGGTATGTTCAGATCCTGACTCGACACAACAATGTGCACAGTCCGCTAACACACACATGAACAGTCACTGACGGCACACCCCGTGACTGCTCCTCCAACGGCTGCGGCTCGCAGGCTGACACCTCCATCATCCGCAACCGAGACATGCAGCAGAACCCTCTGGGTAAGACGCAGGGTACCGGCCCTGTCGACGCCGCCGTCAACGTGGCCGCCTTCATGGGCACCAGCAAGAACGCGCCCAAGAACAACGGCGCCTCGGCAGGCGTCGGCCAGGAGGACGACCTCTCAGGCCTCCCCGCCGGCGCGGCCAAGCGCCATGAGGAGCGCAAGAATATGGTCAGAGGGCTCTTTGGCGACCTCCTTGGCGGTGCTGCCGGCGGCGCTGGTGCTGCTGGCGGTGCTGCTGGCGGTGCTGCGGGTGGTCTCGGCGGTCTGCTCGGCGGAGCTGGTGGTGCTGGCGGTGCTGCTGGCGGTGCCGCGGGTGGTCTCGGTGGTCTGCTCGGCGGCCTCGGCGGCGGCGGCGGCGGCACCAAGAGTAACCTTGCCGCCGAGAGCATGGTCGCCGACACGGCCGGCATGGGTAGCACCCAGGGCATGCCCACCTCGGACAGCACCGGCACCGTCAGCCTCGTGTACCGCCAGATCAACCAGGACGGCGCAGGCCCGCTGACGGCCGCCGTCGACGGCACCTCGGGCGGCACGGACGCCAGCGCCTTCCAGCAGGCCGAGGTGACCAAGGACGTTCCCGGCCTCGGCATCGGCGGCCTGTCCCTCGCCACCAACACCGACTTCCCCCTGCAGGTCAAGATGCCCGCCGGCATGACCTGCGAGGGCACCGTCGGCGGCGTCAAGAACGTCTGCATCGTCCGCGTCCGCAACAGCGCCGCCGCCGGCCCCTTTGGCGGCTCCGCCGCCTTCACGCAAAACGCCACCGCCCGCAAGCGCGCCATCGCCTACCGCCTTCGCAAGCGCATGGAGATTGCCCGCGAGGCCGTCCCCCAGATCGACTACACCAAGGCTGACGCGGCCGAGGAGCTCGAGGATGAGGAAGACGAGTAAAAAGGCTGCGCCTGATTCTAGGCAAGCCAGCGCCCAGACAAATGTAGAGGCGCAAGATATATCATATACACTGTAATTTCCTTTGAGTCATTAGCTATTTGTTAGTTCTTCCTGTTTCCTTAGTCAATTCACAAAATCTTCTTCAGTCACATCGGCATCCCATCTTCCAACAGTCGAGCTCGCTTTCAAACACAAGAAACTTCATTGCCATGGTTAAGTGTATCGCGCTATTTTCCAGCCACCAACGCCAAAACATCTTATCCCAGAAACAATAGTGATCGTAAAGAAGGAAGGTAGCAAAGAGGGCTGGCAAAGCTGTAAGATGACTTGGAAATTTCCAAAGTCGGCAACTAACAAGAGAAACTTTAAAATATCAAGGTCAAATCATCTCTCTAATAACGGAGGGAGGAAAGAGCAACGTGACGGGTATCGATGAGAGAGTATACCTTCAACCCAAAAACTCCAGTACTTAGTTCAAGGTTCGCTACCATCTCCGACTACGTTTGCATTAGCTAGATAGCTTGGGAAGCGGAAATGAAGACAGTCTTACCTAAATGCCGAATTGGTAGGTTTTCGACGCTTGGCCTTAGGTGGAGCGACTCTCTCGGGCCGACGCCGCTGCTCTGATTCTGTCGACGGCCTGCGAGCTGACACACCTAGCAGCTCCGCTTCGAGTGAGTTGAGATCCGAAGACCGGCTTGAGACGGACGAATTTCTTGATCTGGGCGAACGAGAAGGGCTGGACCGTCGCTGGACCGAGCGCGACCTCCGTCGGTTCAGAGGAGGCAAATCGTCGCTGTCTCGGTGTCTACTAGTACTCCGCGACCGGTCACGGCTGTCGCGGCGAAACCTCTTAAGTGGCCTTTCATCTCTTTCAGCATCTTCTTGCGCTGATGATTCGGATTTTGTTCCATGTCTAGCAGTAGAGCTTCTATCATCACGGTCCCTTTCTTTGTTCCCGTCGACGTCGGAGACATTTCTCTCGGATAGTCTGATGGAATCGAGGGGGTGCCTGGTCGCGCGCTCGTCTGGAGCCTTGGGCACATATGCTTCCACTACCAGGCTGGGCTTTGGTGGCAGCGAAGGAACACTCTGTATGAGGATCGGGCTTGTCTCGGCCGCTTTTGGCGGATTGGAGTCTTCCTTGGGTCTATCGGCAGTTTTGTGCTGATCATGGTGCTCATGGTGCGTCTCGCCATTGTTGTTGGGTCTGCGATCTTCGTTATTGAGTTGAGGCGAGCTCTGTGGCCCCGTGGCCTGCGGTGTGAGCGAATCCTTTGACTGTTGCCGTTGCATTCGCGGCTGGTTCGATCCGTGATTGCCCGCAGAGGAGCGTCTCCTGTTGCTCCCTTGTTTTCCTAGTCTGTTCTGGGGCCCTTGGTGATGTTGAGCACTTGCGTTGCTCTGATGATGATGATTGTTATGGATGACTGGGGGGATTTTCGGGCTTCCATGATTTCTCCCAGGATGGTGCTCTTTAATATCTCTGGGTCTTGTTTGATGGTCATGTTTCCGTTTATTGTTCCTTTGATCGCGCCCGTGGTCAATATCATGAACACTTTTTGGCGGCTTCGGTGGTAGTGCATGAGCAATGTGTGTAGGAGGAGAGGACGCAGGTGGTTTGGGAGGTGAGGATGCTACCTGAGAGGTGTGTGACTTTGGAGGTGACGGAGCAGAGTTTCTGTGAGTCGGTTGTGGTCGTTGATGATGACGCTTTTGGCCGCTGCCAGATCCTTGCGTGTATGATCCGCTGTACGCTGGCCGAGGCGGGAAGAACTGCGGGCTGTCTTGTGTTGAGTACGGATAGCCGCCGTAGTTTTGCGGTGCTGTATGCGGTGCTGTATGCGGTGCGCCATATGTTGGTGAGGGCCCTGGATAGGATGACCGTGGCTGCTGCCCATGATAAGACTCTGGTGGCGGATGGTAAGCGGGAGGCGGGTAGTGATGTCCGTGGCTTGGAGGTGGAGGCGGGGGCAGTGGTGGTTGCCCATGACCTGGAAGGTAATGATATTGTGGCGGATAGTGAGGATGAGTTGGAGGTTGCGGCGGAGGTGCCGTGTAAGAACTATGAGGTGGTGGATATCCAGGAGGCGGCGGGAAATGCGCGCCATAGCCTGTTGGCGGCGGTGGAGGGCCGTACTTGGTGATGATGGGTCCTTTGGACCTTCTGCCATCATTGTGCTGCGCGCGGCCGCTTCCTTGTCGCGTCGCAGAGGCATTCCTCCAAGCCGCAAGGCCACTGTGAAAAAAAAATCAGTACAAGAAATGACGGTCAAGTGAAGGCTGCCTTACGCTGGCGTCTCGCGTGTTGGCTCAGGACAGGCAACAGCCCAGTGTCCCATGCCACCGCAGTTGTAACACTGCGGCTCATCGGGTCGGGCAGACTCGGCGGCTATTTGGTCGGCCATGTTTACAAGACGCAGAAGCTTGATCAAATTCGCGTCCTACAAGCTGTCTCAAGGTCGTGACTGGGTGCGCCGGTGTCAGGGCGTCGCCATCAGGACTTATGGATTGTCGCAAGTAATGGATACTGTTAACAATGTCAAGAACGGCGTGATGCCAAGCCGTCAGGTCTTATAGCAGGCCTTGGTGCAGAAATGAATCGGAATATTTGTGTCTGAGAGAGCGCAGTCGTGTTAGCGAGATGTTGCAGCCTGGCGGTCATGGCTTTGGGGCGTGTCACTCACAGCTGGGCGCAATGAAGTGGGCGACCACCTTGACTGGTGGGTGGCGGCGACAGCACTGGCAAAGCTCACGGCATACCCCTCCCCAAGCGGCATTCGCGAGCGGGAGAGGGCCTCGGGGACACAAAGCCGGAGAGCAGGACGCGGCGAAGAGGCCTTTTTGTGGTGTTGTGAGCTTCAGCGCTTTACTCTCAGCGCTTTGCTGCGCGCGACGTTGGACTACCACGTGAGGTGCTGACGCACGGGCCATGCATGCAGGTAGTGCGTTTGGCTTGCGATCATGCAAACAACTGATTCACAGGTGCCGACATACAGAGAGTGCAGAGAGGGGCTGCTTTTATTATTGTAAAATGTCTATGTCTACATCTATGCTTGTCTCTGCTGGCGATACAAGCCGTGTACAAATGAGTCCTCCGCTTTCGGACACATGGCGTGGGCCTGTCATGTCCACGAGTGAATGTTGAAGCCTGAAGCCCTCTGTAGCACAGCACCAAATTGCAAGCACAGCTGGGAGGAGCGCTAGGCAACTGCACCCTCTAGTAGATCTGCAACTCATCGAGTGAAACATGACGGCCGGCAATGTGCATCGCCGGCCTCGTAGTTACACTATATTTATGTTTAAAAATGGATATTCTTATAACCTGGCCCAATTACATACATCTTGACCATAGCCTAGCGGGTTGCGGCTCCCATAAAGCTCCTGGCCCACTCCGTCCTCATGATGATTTCTCAGCCAAAGCCTGACTGCTTAAGCTCCCACAAACAACCGCTGCACCCCTCGACGGCAGCTCTCGAGTCCTTCCTCCCCCAAGTCGCCTCCTGTCCCGGCACAATGTCTGCTTCGACTTGATTTTACTTCCCCAGCAGCATTGTCTTGTAACCTCCAGCAATCACCCGCACGAACATGTTGGCTCATTTCCAAAGCGCCCCTCCAGTCACGACCTTTGCCTGGAGCCGATCCCGCCACGCCCGACCTCGACGACGAAGCAACCTGCCTCCCTGCGTCGCGACTACTTGAAGGCCCGCGACCGCGTATTTTCTCGTCGATTCGCTCCTCGGTGAAACTTCTCCCCGCCGCTGCAGCTAGCCGTGCCCGCACGACGGCGACGCACCAACTACTATGCCTGGCCTACCGAGTGAGCAGCCAGCCCGCCATCCCTCTGCCTGGCCTGAAGCGACGGCAACTAACCACACCCTCGGACAGCCTCGGTCGATTTGGACGAGTGCATCTCGCGCCTCTATAAAAAAGAGCTCCTGGCCGAATCGGTCATTGAGGCGATATGCGCCAAGACAAAGGAGCTTCTCATGCGCGAGAGCAATGTCGTCCACGTGCAGGCCCCTGTGACGGTTGTTGGCGACATCCATGGCCAGTTTTACGACCTCATTGAAATTTTTCGCATAGGCGGCTATTGTCCGGATACAAATTATCTTTTTCTAGGTACACGTTTGCCGCTGGGCTCGTGCCTCTTGTCGAATTACACGACTGACCATCTGTTGTAGGCGACTATGTCGACCGTGGCATGTTTAGCGTCGAAACCATTTCCCTCCTTGTTTGCTTAAAGTTGCGATACCCCGAGCGCGTCCACTTGATTCGTGGCAATCATGAATCTCGAGGCGTCACTCAATCATATGGATTTTATACTGAGTGCTCTCGAAAATACGGCAATGCCAATGTGTGGCACTACTTCACAGACATGTTTGACTTTATGACGTTGAGCGTCGTGATTGATAACCAAATATTCTGTGTCCATGGCGGTATGAGCACAGGGAAAGTCAACGATTCTAGAACAGGTCTGACATTCAATAGGGCTATCTCCGTCGATACACTCGATTGACCAGATTAAAATCATTGACCGCTTCCGCGAGATCCCTCACGAGGGCCCGATGGCAGACCTTGTGTGGTCCGACCCCGACCCCGACCGAGACGAGTTCTCACTATCGCCGCGCGGTGCGGGCTATACCTTTGGTGCACAGGTGGTGAAGAAATTCCTGGCCGTTAACAACATGTCACATATCCTGCGTGCGCATCAGTTGTGCCAGGAAGGATTCCAAGTGCTGTACGAGGACCGTCTGAGCACGGTCTGGAGTGCACCCAACTACTGCTATCGCTGCGGCAACATGGCGAGCGTGCTCGAAGTCAATAGTGATGGCGAGCGTTTCTTCAACGTGTTTGCCGCAGCGCCGGAGAACGATCAGGTTAAGGACATGCAGCCCGGCATAGACAAGGCTGGCGACGGGAACGCATTACCAGACTACTTTTTGTAAATAATGCAATCGAGCATGCATCTTGAAAATGTTGAAAATGGCGTGTATAATTTATGTAGAATCATTGTCATCATTTGCTGTTTGCGATGAACGCTCAATCCAGATGCTACTCTGTATTGCGATGAAATGCAGGTCTGTATCGTGTGAAGAACATGTCTATATATGTTTTGCGCCTAGAACTGCACGTGTTCATTCTAAATTCGTGTTGTGCAATGCCAGGATATATTGTTGGAATCATAAAATCAAGTACAGTACCATGCTAAACTAACCACTTCCGCCTTTTTATTGATCGTTTTGGACACATCGCAACCTTGTTAAATTCGGCTACCACTCTTTGCTAATGTCGAAGCTCCACTCGAACTGGAGATGGGTCTTTTTATCGTCATCGACGAAGCTGGAGACGGCGTTGTAGTGGCCGCGCGCGAGCATGCCGGATGGAGCCTCCTCCTCCTGGACTGTTCGGGGCGTGTCAGTGGGCCGTTGAGTAGTATCATGTGTTCTTCGGGCGTACATTTCTTGATATAAGTAGGCTGGTTGTCCGTGTTGGGGGCGTAGCTTCCCTATTTGTCACAATATGTCAGCACACGTTTGGGCAATATTCTGCGGGATGGCGCGTACAATCATCTCCGAGTCCTTGGAGACGCGGATGCCCTTGCGCTTGACGACCTGGACGTAGTGGAGGCCGCTGAGGATCTCGTGCTGGACCTTGAACTGGGCGCTCATGGTAAACTTGGCACCCTCCTTGATCTTGAAGGGCTTGTCCTTGAGCGAGGACTCGCTGCCTCGCTGGGACAGGTCGATGGTGACGGGGTCCCGGCTGGGCGAGTGCATGGTGAGGGAGAGAATGATGCAGACGCGGGAGTCCGAGGGGTCTGAGAGGTCCTTGCCGCCTCCGAGGCCGAGGGACTGCTTGTAGCGCTGGAGGGACTCGTCCCCGGCATCTGAACGTTGTTGTTAGTGACGGTTGGCTCGGGAGGAGGGGCACTGCGGGGAAGCGCATGTTGATTGAACAAGGCATCAAGCGCTCTCAATCTTCTCGCTGAGCTCGGGAAAAAAAATCACAACTCGATTACATTTACCGCACCGTATAGCCGCATTACTTACCCATCTTTTCGTACTCGGCGAGGGACTGCTTGGGCTGGGAGAGCTTGTACCCCTGTGTCTCCTCGGGCATCGTGTCGTCGTCGTGGGAAGCCATGGTGCTTGGATATCGATGTGTTTGGGGAGAAATAATGCTGCAAAAAAAGAGAAAAGAAGGACTGGTAGAATGAACGCTCCTTCACCTGTATATATGAAAAGAGAGAAGAGAGAGAAATAACTAGAGTGGCGGTTTTCCTACGAGACGGTGACGATGGAGGGGCTTCGATGCATGAGACGTGGTGGGGGAAGTGTTGATTGGTACGGGCGCCTGATTGGACGGACAGTGCAGATGGGGGATGGCGCGGAGCCAGGGATACGAGAACCGTTGGCTGGGAGGTTTTCTGATGACCAGTGTCGGTTGGTTATTGGTCGAGTAATGACTTTTATTTTTAGAAGAATGCTTGGTTTCAACCAGGCCTCGGATCTAGCCGTTGGCGCCAATTGATTGCATTTTGGTGTAATTTGTTCAGGTTACAGAGAACAGCACGGTGCGACTTGGCCTTGAATGTTGTAACTAGGTAGGTAGGTAGTTAGTGGCAGCTTTTGGTTGGAGGGCAGCGGGGATACTTGCGGTGAAAGGCTGAAAAGGAGGGGTTCAATGAAATGATTATGAGATAACTAGCGTCTGTTTTTGAAGGGGTTTTTTTTTTTTGACGGGGGTTTTTTACGACATTTGCATTTTCATTGTGAGAGAGAACGACGGGAATTTCCCTGACTGGGACACGTGCGCGACGTTCCCCGCTACAACCACAGCCTCGCTCAGCACAGGCCAGACGCAGGCAAGGAAGGGACTGGGGAATTCATGTACACGGGAGTGGACAGGCACGAGCTAATACTGGTACTGACTGGCACATTAGAAGAAGCGCAGATATATGTAGGGTACCAGGATCGACAAGGGTGAGGAGAGGCGCCCAACATCGATGAAGAAGGCGCCTCGATTTGGGCATTATAAGTTTACTAGTTAACTAGCGTTTCGGGGCGGGCCATGGCAAACTGGAGGGTTGGCGGCGGGTACCTAACTACCTATCTAGGGGATCATATTCGTTTTCTAGGTACATATCCGTACCAGTAATAGACAGCTGGCGTTGCTGGTGTGGAGATGGTTGCGAGTCGAAGCAACGGTGAGTAACTGTGTGGTGGTGGTGATGGTGGTGTGGATTGGTACATCTTGTCATTGTCGAGAATGGGAAGCTGGAAGCGGGGGAGGCAGGATGCGACGAGTTGAATGGAAGAACAGAAGAGGTTTGACGAAGCCTGGAATGAACTATCGAGGTGGGCTAGTTATTAGTTAGGCAAGAAGACGATCATGAAGCAACATGCGTGTGCAGACAGGGGCCCACACAAAGTGTAATTGCGAATTGCGGCCAGCTGTCCACTTGCCAGAGCCGACTATGTGAAGCTCTCTCGACTTGTCCAGCCGTGGTGCCAAAGTCGGGGTTTATTATTTGATCAGGGAGCTGCTATATGCTGGCAACTCCGCGCTAGGTTGGTTCGGGAAAGGACGACTGCATTTTCTTATTTTATTACCACTTGATTGATGCGTGAGTTTGCCGCTAACTACCGGTTAATAAATCAATCATCTCGGGCAGCGAGCCAGGAGCCAGCCAGCCCTTCAGGTACCCGCAGCCCACTGGTTGCGCCGCTGGAACGCGCGTAGGGTACATGATATCACATACAATTCTGACGGGGAGACCAGGTACCGACGATTTCCCTCTCCTCGAGGTAGTTTGGAGCGTCTCTCAAGCAGTGACCAGCTCCCACCCACCCAGCTTGCCAGCCAACCAGCTTGCCAGAACCTCCTCTGCACCCACTCAACTCTCATTTTCGCCCGCCCACTTTCAACTCGCACGCCGCAAGGCCCTCGGTCGCTCTGCAACAACTGGCACAACTGGCTCGCCTTGTCTCTCCCACCCCCCAACCCGCCATCGCCAATCCTTTCCCTGACTTTCTCCCGTCTTGCACCCGTCGACGGCGTCGCATCCTTCTTATCCCGTGTTGGCCAACTTTTGCTTCTTTTTTCCATCCCCCCCCCCGCGCCTGTCTTGCTTGGACCATTGGGGAATTGCTCTTTAGCTTTTCTGTCCATTTCCTCCTTCTCTTGCGTTGTTCTCGCGCGCGCGAGCCTCTTCGTTACTTGCCCGTCGCGCCCCGGTTAAACCGCGTTGAGCTTCGTTTTTCTTTGCTCGCCGCCAGCACCACCCCATCTCTTCTACTTCTTCTTTTATTGTACGCCATCAAAGCTTGTTATCCTTCTTCTCGTCGCTTCAACGTGGCACGCAATCGGTCCGCCGCATCATTTGCCACGGTCCGGTTGCGACACGCGCACGCGCGCACCTCCATCCAATTCGCGACTAATCCGCTCGTCTCGTCATCTTTTCTGCAGACACCCGGCTTTGCTGCCCATATCTCTCGCGCTAGCGACATCAGAAATTAGTATATTTGACTTGCGTCACCCGAGACTCCTCCGTCACCATGGCTTCTACCCGAACTCTCCCTGCCAAGCGCAACCCGCTGCTGATAGAGGACATCCCCGAATGTTGGTCGCTTCCCGTTGCCTCCCGTGCGCCCACAACGCCTCGATCGCGCCATGACTAACCGCTTAATACCCGTTTTTAGACTCTGATCTCGTCTCCCGTCGTCGTCTTGGACAGACCAAGCTCACCCCCAAGATGACTGGCAATGATGATGGCGATGCTACCGCCCTAGTAGGCGTTTTCGACTACGCTCACCTTCGTGCCCCTATGCAAAAGGGAATCGTTTCGGGCATCTTCAAGTCGAGCCCCAATAGCTACTTCCTTATGCGCCGTAGCTTCGATGGTTACGTGTCCGCCACCGGCATGTTCAAGGCTACCTTCCCCTATGCCGATGCAGCCGACGAGGAGGCTGAGCGCAAGTATATCAAGTCCTTGCCGACCACTAGCCCTGAGGAGACTGCTGGTAACATCTGGATCCCTCCACAACAGGCTCTGGCCCTCGCCGAGGAGTACCAGATTGCTTCCTGGATCCGTGCCCTGCTCGACCCCGCCAAGATCACCATCTCTCCGAGCAACGAATCTTCATCCTCGCCCGTCCGCAAGATCTCGGCCCCGCCTAAATTTGACCTAAGCAAGGTCGCCCAACCTTTACTTACCCCTGCCGCTTCCGCCACTGGCACTGCCTCTAGACGCTCGCAACGCTCTGTCAGCCCCGCCAAGTCCAGCAGCAGAAAGGCCCCTGCCTCTCCTCGCAAGCGAAGCTCCAAGGCTGCCAAGGCCGCCGCCGACAAGGAAGCTGGGGCTGTCGTGAATGGTGACTCCGAATCTAGCGTTCCCAGGGTCACCGAATTCGAGCCTACCGTCGTTCTACAACCCGTCCAACCTTACGACGACGACGATGACGACGGTATAGTCCGCATTGTCGAGGAGCCCGTCAAAGTCGCCAGGGGTAGTGACAAGAAGCAGACAGTCACCGAAGTTGAGGTGCCTCTACTCACGGCCGGCCAGCCGCCTAGCGCCGAGGAGATTGCCGCCATGGTGGCCACGGCCAAGGAGCAGGTCGAGTCCGCCAAGGAGGCCGACAAGACTGCCGCCGCAAAGTCAGGCGCCAAACCCGAGGCCAAGAAGGGCAAGCGCAAGGCCAGCGATATTACCCCCGCCGAAGAGGGCGCCGATAAGAAGGACGTTGCCGAACCGAAAGAATCGCAACCGCGCTCAAAGAGGGCCAAGACTGACGCCGAGGTGCGCAAGGACAGAGTTAGAAACAGAGCCTTTATTGGAATTGGAGCTACTGTCGCTGTTGGGTAAGTCGGATTAAAGACGTTGGTTTCGAAGAGCAGACTTACTAACACTCTCATAGCGCTCTGGTGCCTTGGCTTGTCAACTTTTTGTAATTAGAAGAGTATATTTGGATTCAAGGGAGAAGGAAGGACTGGAAAATTGGACCTTAGTTTCTCGAAACGGATGCTAGAAGAGGCGGCGTTCCTATCTTGAAGCAGTATGACTAACTATTGGTGATGAGAGGAAAAGGAAACTTGGGACGCGGATCCTTATTTATTCATGTCACTACGTGGCTGCGTTTCCGGTGTTCTTGTTGGTCTTTATTATTTTTCTGCTTTTCTACCGTCGGTTTACTTCTTTTTTTTTGGTCTTCATTTTTTGTTTATAGTTTATTACCCCCCACCCGACTTTCTTTTGTGTGTATTGTGGTTATTGAAGGTTTTTGGCTTTGTCAAGGATATTCCCAGAGCGAGATGAAAGAAAAATACCCCCCCGTTTACAATGGAGCTTGGTCCACTCCTTCCTTGATTGATGGTTTTGATGCTGAGGGTTTGGAGTGAGTCGACGGATTGGTTCTGGTGATGGGTTGTTTAACGTCGGGACATGTTCTCGTGACTCTCCAGTGGTGATGTTCGCGGGAGTGGGTTGGTTGGTGGAGTGAGAAGCTAGGTAGCTTTTTGCACCACATCGGCCAGCAGTGCGAACAGGACTTTATGAAATGAACGAGCAGTCATCCAGAAACGATATTCGTACTTGAAACAACGCATTTGTCGTGATTGCGTCGATGAACTGAGTAAATTGTTTCTCAGCACAGATCCAGGGTAGATAGATTGACTACCCCGTGTTTTCTCCGCACGCCTAAAAAGCTATACCCCGAGCCGAGCTCGCCCAGCTCCACGCTTATTAGCGCCAGCGCCACCATCCTTCCCTGCATTAATGGCTGGTGCCGGCAATGGACGGCTTTGGCGGAGCAACCACAAACGGGCCAAGTCCCCGCGTCGTCAGACGAGACAACCGTCCGTCGCCGCTCTAGCTCTTTTTCTGTTCTCCTCGAACAAGTTCTGTGTCGGTCTGGAGAGGTTGTTGGTTTCATCAATTGACTTGTACCATTTTTTTCTCGCCCATCGTCCTTGATACACTTGACAAGCCCACGATGCGTTTAATTGCGGCTCAGATGCTCCGTGGCACGGCCCAGCGGAGAGGCTTCGCAACGACGCCCAGACGGCTCGACAACTATGCCTTTGTTGGCCTCGGCCAGATGGTGAGTCTCCTTCTGTCGGCAGAATGGCCCTGCTCGGTTTCTTATGGAGCCGCAACTTTTCCCAGCGTCGAATTGCTGATTGCTAACACGGATGCTTTTACGAACCAGGGCTACCAAATGGCCAAGAACTTGCAGTCCAAGCTCCAGCCGAGCGACAAAATCTCGCTCTACGACATCAACACAGACGCTATGAAGAGACTGCAGGTTGAGATGAAGGCCGCCTCTAACGGCGCGGCCGTCGAGCTCGCCGCCAGTGCCCACGACGCTGCCAAGGAAGCCGTACGTCCCGATCTACTCGCACCCGCTCGTCCCTCACCCACACACTAACCCACGACCCCAGGACACAGTCATCACCGTCCTCCCGGAGCCGCAGCACGTCCAGGGCGTATACAAGTCCATACTCACCCCCTCACTACCCCGGCGCGACCGCGTCTTCATCGACTGTTCCACCATTGACCCGTCGACCTCGCGGGCCGTGGCCGCCTCCGTGGCCGCCGCCCAGCAGGGTGCCTTTGTCGACGCACCGATGTCGGGCGGCGTCGTCGGCGCCACGGCCGGCACCCTCACGTTCATGCTCGGCGCGCCCGCGTCCCTCCTCCCGCGCCTCGAGCCCGCGCTGCTGACCATGGGCCGCAAGGTGCTGCACTGCGGCGACCAGGGCGCCGGCCTGTCGGCCAAGCTCGCCAACAACTACCTGCTCGCGCTCAACAACATTGCGACGGCCGAGGCCATGAACCTGGGAATCCGCTGGGGCCTGGACCCCAAGAAGCTGGCCGGCGTGCTCAACGTGAGCACGGGCCGGTGCTGGCCGAGCGAGGTCAACAACCCGGTCAAGGGCGTGGTCGAGACGGCGCCCGCCGGCCGGGACTACAGCGGCGGCTTTGGAATCGCGCTCATGAAAAAGGACCTCCGCCTGGCCATGGTTGCGGCGGCGGAAGCCGGCGCGGATATGAAGCTCGCGGATGCGGCGTTCAAGGTGTACGAGGAGGCGTCGGAGCGGGAGGACTGCAAGGGCCGTGATTTCTCTGTCGTGTATAGATATCTGGGCGGCAAGGAGTAGGAGAAGGATGGAGCGCAACTGGATTGGAGGGGAAGAAGATTTCACGACTATCAATATACTGGTATACAGCCAAGATAAAGAATATAGCAATGGAGTTCCTTTTCAGCCAAATTTCCAGAAGGAAATGATAGCGCTGGCAAGTGCTCCCGAAATCTTGCATCAACATCATGCCCCCCCGCAAAGGCACCCGGAGAACGAAAGGGCGCGGGCGCGGGGAATGAGACGGACCTCGTACATTAAAAAACCTGCATCCGCGGCACAGCTTCTCTCTACCGCTCCATCGCACAGATAATCGATGCCTCGGTCCAGCCGTGGAACGAGGTCCTGGCCGGTCCGGCCCGCGGACGAACGCCGGAGCGTATCCGAGCCTATGGCGTACAGTGGAGTCTGCCCTGAGCCGACCACGGCCGACCTGGAGAAGCTCGACGAGACAATGCAGGCGGCAAATATGGGTTAACTATACTCTTGTTGCAAGATCCGATTGGAAAACGCGTACGCTTCCGGGGAAAGTATTATTCCTGCACGACACAGAGGAGACCAGACAGCACGAGCTCTACGTTGATGAGAATGAGGAAATCGCGGAACAATGTGTTATTTTCTGGGGTTTAATGTGAAAGCAGAGAAAGAGAAAAACAATATGGAAAAGTTTGCCAGAGAAAGCAGCAACTAGAAGAGTTGTGCAACTCAAAAACCAGCAATTTGGAAAACCAGCAACGGACAAACCAACAACTGGAGAACCAGCAACGGAAAACAGTCGAGAACCAGACAAGTCAGAAATCAAAGAATGATAAACCAAGATCATCAACCGAGATTGGTAACTGAGCGTCCAAGGGCTGGTTGCTTCCTGCGAGTCTCAACCGCAGGGGGTGCCGCAGTAGCCGCAGCAGCGGCCGGGAATAACCCAGACTTCTTTGCTCTGCAGGGCGCAGGTAGGACAGCGCGTGCCCGGAATCTTGGGGCGGGTACGAATGGCCGAGTCGGCGCCGGGCAGAGAGCCCAATGGGCCGACATGGGCCGGACCATCAAGCTCGCCCAGGCACGCGATCATGGGAGGCTCGATGGACTGAGTTTCGTGAGCTTCCCCATCGTGACTCTGTCGACGTGTTAGTACTTGAGTCGGTCATGACCAGCAAAAGAGGCTGTTGCAAGTGTTTTCATTATTTCCAAAATTGTGCTAGGGTGGTTGTGGAATGGCTTACCTGGTCGAGCATCATGGGGAGTTGGTTCGGGATGTTGCTGATCATGTTGATGGGTTGAGTTGAAGGCTTGTTTAGGAGTGGAATGGTGTAGAAGGCTTGTTTCTGGTGATTTGTTGATGATGTCTTCTTCTTCTGAATTGCAGCGAACCTTGACCTCTTTATAATCCTGCCCAAGAGCCAGGGATGCACTGAAGAATCGACCGGCTGAACCTCATCGCTCAACACAAAGTGATTCAGCATCAACCGTGTGGATACGACCCCGGACCGGTCAGCGCAGAAAAGTTTCATCATGTTACCATTGGTGGACATTTAGTGATGTCTGTACTTGGAGTGTGACGAAGCCGATAACAGATCAAAGCAACATGAACGACTGTTCGGTCCCACTGCGTCGGACAGCATCCAGGCAATTATCTGCAGCCAAGGCAGCGCTCGAGGCAGTGGTGATGCAAAGAAAACGGTGAAAGAAACTACATTGGGCGTCTTTTTTTGAATCTTTCGTGACACAGTCTGAGCATTGTTAGATTGTAGACCGTTGTGGATGCGGCGACAAAGAGACCTTGTCGTGGTGGTTTATAACCACCAACACTGATTCGCCGCGTACAGCTGGTCGATTCGAATCACTATGGACACATGTATACATGTATGTAGCCAATGATTACGAGTCTATATTCACTTCTACTCCTAAATCTTGGAATTGCGTTGGTGGAGCATGATTTACCAAAGCAAACGGCTGTTGGATGCCGTTGGTCGACAAGGAGTCTAGTCTCAACGGACCACCTTACGCCTTAGGTTTGGGCACAAAGACACGACACAGGCGCCCATAGTTAGGCTCCTGCAGAAACAAGGATTTACGGTTCACGTTGAATCATTATTACATCTTGTAGCCGCCATTGATACTTGTTATGCTTCCCGCTCACTCGACGATACACCAGAACCTCTGTGCCGTCGCCTGCTAGAGGTTTTCCGTGCTTTTCGCTTTATGCCTGCTTCCCAGCATAGTCGCTAACATAACTCGGTCATACTTTGTGCTGGTACACATTGTAGTCTGCCACTACACTCCACACTCCGTTAAGCGGATGAAAACGTCGAGGGCATCAAGAGTTTCAAATATACCCATTCATACGATGATTTGGCTGACAGACGCGGTGTCGGAGATGTAAGAAAACGTCTCCAATATGCGACTTTATATGCGGTAGGACTTATCTCATAATGCATGTTGGCAGGAACATGTGGTACCGGGAGTGAGGTTCAAGGGAAAGGAATTAAATGGAGAGATAGCCAAAGCCGTTCTGTATGGGAGCTTCGTTGATGAGAAGAGGATTTGACTTTGTGTAGATAGTGGGTTTGGTGGCTTGTCATAGTTATGCTCTGACCTCCATTTAAGTCCCTTGGGGTTTAGGCACCTGCCATAAATGGCGTCCCTGCTCACCTCCTCAATGTAGGGTTAACATGAAGGGCCAACGGATACCATGGTTTAAAGTACGATGAGGTGAAAAGTCATCGCTGAAACAAGATAGAGAGCTGTAGTTTTGAGCCTGCAATGGCTTGTTCTGCAATAGTGATAGGTGACTGTTGTGCAATGGTGGAAAAAGCGAATATCGAAGCTGTTCATTCCTGGTAAATGCGAGCAAGTGTGACATGCGCATGGATTTGTATGCGCGGCACCTAGTCTCTCAGCCTTCAGCCTCGAGTTCGTTGGCCAACAAGTCCGCTACTATTGGCGTGGCGTGGCGTGGGCGTTCCAAGCGCCGCTTCACCAAGGAACATCAGCCCTGTTGCAATTGCACGTCATCATGGACGCAGCGTCAGAAGAGTATTTGCACAACCTGAGCGACAGAATCTCACGAGCGCTTGAAGGGAACTTGACGGCAATCTATCTCCATGGCTCTGCAGTGCTTCGCGGGTACAACCGCCGATGGAGTGACCTTGAGGTGCTGGTCGTGGTACCGAGCCAGACGACACTGGCACAGAGAGCAGCAGTGGCTGAGACGGTGAGCGAGAAAGCGCTGCCGTGTCCGGCGACCGGACTTGAAATCAGCATCGTCACGGAAAGCGCAACTGCAAATCCAGATACGGCTGCACCGGCGTTTGAGCTACATATGACGACGGCAGCCTCGAACAGCAAGATTGTCGAGGGCCGGGGCCACGACGGCGGCCCAGACCTCCTTATTCATTTTGCCGTGTGCAGAGCCAAGGGGAGAATTCTGGCGAACTTTGCAGCACCAAAGATGAGGGTAGACGTGTTTGGCGCTGTACCAAGGAAGCGCATCATCGCTCAGCTACAGGACGAGCTGCGAAGGGCGACGAGCGAGGGACCGCAACATTACGCCGTGTTGAATGCGAGCAGAGCATGGATGTATGCGGGGACACGACAACTCGTGAGCAAAGCCAAAGGAGGACAGTGGGCAATGTCGAGGCTACAACGCGATGAGCGGATTCCAGACCAAGGCAACAAGATGACGCTCATCGAGCGGGCGCTGGCGAGGCAAACAGGCGACGAGGCGGTTATTATGGTGGCGGATGATGTGAAGCGATACGTCGACTTTGTGTTGCAAGCATTGGAGCTAGCCGGAGATGCGGAAGCGAATCGACAAAGACGATGATGACAGCCTTTTTATTTGTTGATGTGTGAGGAAACTGAGGAAGCTGGATTGGGACAACTAATAATTAGGTACCTAGGTACCCTATGGGTCGGAGAAATCGTGGGAAGGGGATATGAGATTGAGATATGAGGGGATATGGGAAACATAGTAGGCCGCTGAACCGATCTGGAAACGGCACAGGGCTAGTTAGCGAAAGTGAATCTGACTGGGCGAAATGATATGGAATTATCAAACGGTGATTGCCACTTTTCAGTTGTAATTCAGCAGAGGCATTGCGTCATTTCTAAAAGGGTACCTGGGTACATGAAACTGCCTGACAAATCATCTACAAGTCAAGTAACAGGGCCATGGCGGCTGCAGTCAGCCTGCAATCATCAAAATAGAAACGAATTAGTAAAACAGGAAAGCTAAGAAATGGAATACGTTCAAGATTACCAACTAGACTAAAAAAAGAAGGAAAGAGTCATACGTTGGTTCGAGGATGCATCTGCTTGAATAATAGTAATGTGCACTGCACTTCGGCTCAACTCGGCTGAGCCCTTTGCCCAGCCTGTTCCAGCAGCAACCAAGAATCCATGACAAAGCTTGCTTGCCTCTTGTGCAACCACGCCTGCATCTTTCCAAACGCTAATCGCCATCACATCATCCAGCCACGACTGGTTGCACTGCCCTCCGTCCGTCCCTCCCTCCACTGCACCCTCGTCCTCTATAAGAGCAACCCGTACCCGCTCGATCTTCCCGAGTCCGGTTTCAAAATGTTCTCATCCGCACGCATCATCCGCTCCCACACTTTGCGCACCGCATCCATTGCTCGCCCAGCCACCATCGCTCCTCTTCAGAACCGACTCTTCCACGCTACCCGCCCAGCCATGACTGTCCAGGTCGTCACCACGTATGTTCCATATGCCCCCGAATCACGAATGGCTACCAATCAAGCCAATTGACCTCGGCGCTTCCCTGCGCACCTGTGCTTCACCTAGCTAACAAGTTCGCCCGCAGCGCCGACGAATTCCGTCAGGCCGTCGCAAACAACAAGGTCGTCATTGTCGACTCGTACGCCGACTGGTGCCCGCCTTGCAAGGCCATTGCCCCCATCCTGGAAAAGTAAGCTCCCGAAAGATGCCCAACCGACGCAAGACGGAACGCCAGCGCTGACAGCCCCCCGCCCAGGCACTCCAACTCGGACGAATTCAAGGACAAGGTGCACTTTGTCAAGTTTGACGTGGACAAGATCCCCGAAATCTCGCAGGAGCTCCGCGTCAGCTCCATTCCCGCCTTCTTCTTCTTCAAGGACGGCAAGCAGGTTGATAACTTTGTCGGCGCCAACCCCGCTGAGCTCCAGCGTCTACTCAAGACGCACTCGGCCTAAACGTGCGAAATACGCGAGGCAAAGATGAAGGAAAAAATACAAAATAAACATGTCTTGCGCCCGAGTTTGCGCCCGACATTGACATTGGGATAGAGGCGTTTTACATTGGTTTGATACCGTGCTCGATTTCAGCGGGTATCAGGATAGAATACAGTATAAAATAAACAACTGGATTAAAACTGTGCCAAGCAAACGCGTACGAGATTACTTTGCGGTATCTTGTGTATATTTCCTGAAGATGATTTTGAATGACCCCATGCAACGTATTTTCGTCGTGGCAAAGACGATTGGGTTGCTGTTTGGCTGGTAACTATATCTGAATCTATTCGTAGGCCATGCCAGCAATGGACGTGGGGCACTCAACGCGAAGTCCCTGTGGCGGCCCATTTTTGTGTTTCCACAGCAACATCGCTCACCGTGTTGTCCAATCCCGACAATACATTGACAACTACACATAAAAAAAAAAGCACGACACCGGTGCCTCTGCCTCAAAGCAGAGCATACTGAAATCAGACAAAATGGCGTACAACAGAATGAGCATCATACCCCAGCAGCAACAACAACAGTCGCGCTTGCGCAAAAAGGAGGACGAGGCCGACGCGTTCATGCGCTTGCCCGACAGCGAAATCGTCGGCTGCATCACAGAAATTGGCATCAACTTTAGCATCGCCGACTTGCAAAAACCGAACCCCGCCCATGTTCAGCAAATTTTTGAATGGTTTGCGGAACTGCTCCTTAATGCGACACGCGAAACGGTCGACCCGGCCATGCGCGCCGCCGCCCAAGACGTCTGTGGCGAGTTTGCCGACGTAATCCCCCCCGACACACGCAATCTCATGGGATTTTACGTGTCGTTGCGACGTCTCCTTCTCGAGTGCGGTGTCACAGACCTCTCCTTCAACGATCTCTACAAACCGACATATGAACGACTCGTCAAGATCTTTAGCTACCTCATCAACTTTGTCCGCTTCCGCGAGTCGCAGACATCGGTGGTGGATCAACACTACAATAAGTCAGAGGCTATCAAGACGCGTATCGAGTCGCTGTATGCGGACAATAAGGATAACAACGCCCGGCTGGAGGATATGCGACACCGCCGCAAAGTCATGCAAGCGCAGGTCGCCGAGAAGACGGCGCGGAACGAAGATCTCAAGCAGCGACTGCTCGAATTGCGGCGGAGCCAGGAGCGCGTGGCCGCCCGCCTCGACGAGGCCAAGCAGCGCAAGACGGAGCTAACGGGCGTCCTGGAGCAAAAGACGCAAGAAAAGCTGACCCTGCGACACGAGAGCGCCAAGCTGCGCCCCTACGTGCTCCAGAGTCCCGCCTCGCTGCAGGACCACCTCGCCGAGCTGCGCGAGATTCTCAACAACGACAAGGCGCACATTGACGCCTTGGAACGGCGCGCGCGCGCGCTGCAGACGTCGTCGGACTCGTTCAGCACCGTATCAGTAGACGTGGAGGCGTGCGTCAAGGTGCTCGAGGAGATTGCCGCGGAGCTGGCCAAGGAGGAGGAGGAGCTGGGGCGCTACGCCAAGCAAAAGGATCTGCTCACGGAGCGCGGCCACAATGCGCGCGAGGTGGACCGCACCGAGACCATGCTGAAGCGCCAGCTGGACAAGTGGCACGACCGCACGGCGCGGCTACGCGAGCAGGCCGAGCACAAGGCGGCCGAGGCGCACGACCGCGTGCTCGAGCTGCGCGCCGTCCACGCCCAGCTGACGCAGGAGCAGGTGGACAAGGGCAAGGACATGACGGTCCGCCGCGTGCGCATCGAGCAAAAGAGAAAGGAGATGCTGGATCTCAAGGAGGCGATTGAGAAGGAGGTGCACGCCGCGCACGACGAGTACCTCAAGATGGAGTCGCACATCAAGCTGTACATGACGGAGATGGAGCAGGCCATCATGTAGTGAGCCTTGACGTCTTGGGACTTTGTTCCTTGCATGTGTACGGTTCCGATATTGGTATCTGTTTTTGATGTGGCATACGACTTTATGGATTTGGACATTGGTGCGCGGCGTTGGCAGGAATACCCCCCTTGGATATGATGGATATATATACACATAGTTTACACGTCTAATCAAAGACTGGCCTCTTTATTCTCTTTGAATCATGAATCGTCAAACGTGAACCACCGCTGCAGAACCACCCGCGCCGTCGTGCACGGCACATCCCACGTGCCGTCCTCGCGCCTCTCGGCTGCCGTGCTCAGCAGCGGAATCTGCTCCTCGTATGCCGCCGGCCACTGTGCCCCCTTCTTTCCCTCCTCCTCCTCCTCTGCCCCCCAGCCCGTCGGCTCCCTCAGCATCAAGACGAGCCCCCCGCGCGCCGCCTCGACCAGGCACGCCGCCGAACAACCAATGTCCTGCGCCGACCACCCGCCCGCGTCCCGATGCACGTCCAAGAAGCCGTACACGAGCAGGCGCGCCGGGACGGCCGGCGGCGGCAAGGCGGATACGTGGGCGCGCAGATGGGCGACGCTCGGGACAAAGGAGGTGCGGATGCGGCGCGCGGCGGCGACGCGCCCAAGCGTCGCCCGGAGCACGTCGGGGGCTGCGGACGGCGGATGGGCGCGGTCGTGGAGCTCGGTGACGGCGGCGCGTAGGAAATCGGAGCGCGCGGCGCAGATGAGCACCGTGGTGGTGCTGGTGGTGCTGGTGGGAGCTGTGTCGAGGATGTGCGTGAGGAAGGCGATGGGGGAGAGTGGCGCGAGGACGACAGGCGGCTGGTGCATGGCGGCGAGGGGTGGGTGCGCGCTCAGGTTGGGATCCCGGTGCGATGTGCGGTTGGAGAGGATGCACCTTGTCGTTTGTGTAAAGGTGTCGTGAGGGGAAGGCAAGGCGTGGGGGTGCCAACAAGCATACAGTGAGGCGTGGATCGACTTAGTTGAGGATGCTAGGTAAACATGTTGTTGGCTGCGCTGATCAACTACAACGACACAGAAACGTGGCCGCGTTATGAGAAATTAAAATAACACGCATAGATCGTTTGGTCATTGTTTCAAGTGTGTATACAAGATCAACTTTGTATTTTGCCAATCAGATTAATGTATACTCTAGTTACAGTGGTCTAACCCTCACCTCTCTCACAATTATCGTTTTGTACCGGAATCTTCTCCGCCGCACCAAACCACCTATCTATGAATGATGATGCTCCCAGGCGTCCAATCCGACGACTTGACGCAGTACCAGCAGTCCGTCTCACTATAGTTGCTATCGCCCGATGGACCGCTGTTCTGGTCAATGCTCGCGTACAGACTCCAGCCGTGTCTCTCGAGCACCTCGACGAGCCTCAAAATCAGGAGCCTCGATGTCATGGTAGCCTCGCCCGACGCCGACCAGGGGTATCCGTGCATTTTGAATTCGTAGTGCCCGCGGCCCGCGTCCTTGGCTGCCTGCGCCTGCAGCAGCTGCATCTTGGTCAGCATGGCGCCCACGGCCGCGGCCAGGTCCTGCGGCGCGCCGAGCAGCCGAATCTTGTCACCCTGCTTGAACGAGACGGCCATCCAGGCGGCTGGGGGTGCGGGACCGCCGCCCTGTCGGCGAAAGATGAGCGTGTCCTTGTCAAACTCCTTGCGGGAGACGTCGGTCGAGGCCGTCATGATCCAGCCGCGGGCGTAGAGGCACGCAAAGAGGTCACGCATTAGTAGCATGGCCGGCACGGCGTAGGTGCCCGTGCCGCTGCCGCTCCACGGCCGCCCGCGCAGCTTGAACTCATATGAGACCGAGTACGGCCGCTCCGCCTGGATGCCTTCGCGCCAGGCCTGCTGGAGGACGCCGCGCACAGCGGCGACGTCGTCGGTGCTAAACTGCACGAGCCGGATGCGGTCGCTCATGTGCAGCGATAGCGAGGCGAAGCTGGTCTGGAACGGCGCCGCGGCCGATGGTGATGATGAGTCGACAGTCCCATCATAGGCGGGCGGTGGTGCGTTGGACGAGGATGCATTGGGCGATTTCGACAGGGTTTTGGTGTCTGCCATGGTTGTGATGCGCAGCGGTGTGATAACAGGTGAAGAGCAGCAAATTTATGTAGCACAAAGACGATATTTAATGATGGCCGGCCAGAAATATCAACATCCGAGACGCAGGCACCTGGGCCAGACGGATTAGGAAGCCCGCCGTCAGCCTTGTTTTGGCTCTAGTGATCAGTGGCTTTCCCGTGGAGTTGCCTGGGGCGTCGGGCGTCGGGGCGTACGGGGGGTTGTCAGTTATTTGTATTGTGTGGCTTGAAGATGAACTGGTGATTTTTTTTTGGGCGTCGAGACCACAAGTTGGCATATTGATGAAATGCTGTTTGTACCACGTATATTCCTTTGGTCTACCGCAGCCACCAGCTTGTGCGCGTCGACAAACGATCCGGCCACTGCACTGGCTGGGATGCGCCTGCGGTTACAGCGCAGCAGCAGTGCGTCTGCATCACCTGGGGTGCAGCGGATCGACAACAGTCATTCTCTTCTGTCAAGAAGGATAAAGAACGGATGACTGGCTGGTGAGTTGATGCGAGTGTTTGAGGGACCAACGATGAGCGCAAGTAGCGTGGCAAGTTTGCTGTCGGGGGTTGTAGGTCGGTGCAGTGTCAATGGTCATGCTGGCAGCTGTGGTGGCCAGGCCGCTAGTGAGAGAATGGAGGCGGGCTTTGTTTCCTCTTTGGTTGTCCCTGGTTCGTATTCTTCTCTTCTCCCTCAGTGTCTTGCCATGAACGCCGTTGGAAAGGCTCGCCCCTAGTGCCCGCGGGCGCGCCGTTGTCGCGGATAGCCACATTGCGACAAACCCTTGCCTACTAACCTACCTAGGTAGGTACCTAGGGAGCGTACCCTGGCCTGCTTGCTTGGTAGGAAGACGCCTCGAGGACACCGTCACCGTCGGCACTCCGTACGCCACTCTCATCTATGCATTTCGTGGCCCTCTTCTCTGCATGGCTTGCTCCAGCATCCCGTGAATAGTGCAAGCCACCTCCCCGTCTGTGCACCTCCTGGCAGTGGCCGGCTGGCTGGCACAAACGGCACAGTGCCACGAGACAGTGCCGGAGCGTCCGCCACACATGGCAAACAGTTGCGGAGACTGGCTCTCCCCGCCCACGAACTGGAAATCCCCCCCCAGCCGAACCACCAAGCCAACCTAATCCGTGAGCAACGGCACTGTGCAGGCTGGCGTGGTTGTGCATTTGACGCGAAATCTAGTTCTCTTCATCTCTCCATCGCGGCGTCTTCTTTGCGCCACTTCTCTTTCTTTTTCCTTTTCGTCCATGTCTCATTTCAATTTCCTCTGACCCTGGCCCGCGGCTGCCTTTTGCTTTTTCGCTGTCCGGACCGTCTTCAGCGGGCGCCCCGTCAAAACTTCGCCCCCAACGGTTCACCTATAGGGATCTCAAAGAGGAGCCTCGCTGCAAGCTGCCCTCACCACCTCGTGAGAGAAGCAGCACAACAAGGGACGAAAAATCCCCCAAATCCCACTCCGCTCTCACGGCAGTCCTCATCGCCCAATGTCGAAGAAGGCCGCCGAGTCCGGGTCCCGTGCTACTGCTGCTTACATCCCAACTCGTGTCCTCATCGGCCACTGGGTGCACTCGAGCGAGCCCGAGCCCAACCAACACGCCGTCTACGGCATTCTCAGCCGCGATGGCAAGCTGCGCTTCAAACTCGTCCCCGAGACCCGCGAGGGCCGCGCCATCCAGGGCAACTACCCGCCCTCGCGCGAGACCTGGGTCATCCACGAGGATATTGTCTTTGAATCCTACCTCTCCAACCTCAACCGCCTCGGCATGAAGGAGTACTGCCGCGAGCGGGGCCGCCAGGTCGACGAGGGCGAGAAGCCCGGCGGACCAGACAACGCTGCCAACATCCTCAAGGCCGTCGACAAGGCCGAGCACCTCTGCGCCGCCGCCAAGCATGAGCGTCCTCGCAACCTGCGCTGGGAGCGCGAAAAGTGCGCCGACCGCCGTCGCGCCGTCCGTATGGAGGGTTGGGCCTCGCGACGCGCCAGCAATGGCGACGAAGTTGGCGCCGTCGTGCCAGAGGCCGTCCTGGGTGCCACCCCGGCCGAGGCGGGCGCCGGCGTCAGGAAGAAGAGAAAGAAGCACGGCGAGCGCCGCACCGTCTACCACCATGACCACGTCTCCGAGGCCGCCGTGGCTGCCGCCGCCGCCGCCGCTGTGGTGGACCCGGACAAGTCGGGCTTTGCGGACAGCAGCCGTGATTCCATGGAGATGAGCACGACATCTTCCGTGACGGACAGCTCCGCGGATGATACCAAACCCAAAGTTTACAACGGTGTCATCTACCAGCGAAACCCGACGGGACCCTTTGCGGGCAAGCTCACGGCCAAGGGCCAGGTCGTCTCCATCAACGGCGAGGACTATGTTGAATATCGCGTTCTTGCCAAAGTATAAAGCGTCGGATATGTTTTTGTATATCTATGTGTTTGCTTGGCGTCATCGCTTCACTGAGAAGCACCATGCGGAGGAGACGACTTATTTCTTAGCATGGGATCCGGCGTTTGCAAACCAGCATTTTTAACTCTTTTTAGTTTGGGATATTTATATCCTGGAATATGACGAAATGACCTGATACGAAACTCTGCAGCTCATAGCAGTTGTTTCTCGCCTCACATGCGCGTAATATGGTGTGTCTCATGAGCACCCCTCACGTGTTCCCACTCTTTCACTTTTATCCAAAAACAATGACATTCTTGCCATCGCTCTTGCCATCCAGATACACCTTACGCATGTCCTCGGCCTGCTTCTTGTCCGCAATCAGCGACCCGACGAGCTGCATGCAAGTCGCCGAAGATGAAATACGGCAGCGTGATGCCCTTGTCCGGCTGGCCGACGAGGACCAGCTTGCCGTGCTTTTGCGTGCCGGCGGCGGCAAAATCAAACGCGGCCGGCCCGTCGGTCGCGAGGATGGCGGCGTCGACACCCGGATACCGGCCCGGCACCACTTCGCTGATTCGGCGCACGGCGTTCTCGGCGGGGTCCGTGGCGAGGACGCTCACATCGGGTTTCCAGCGATACGAGCTGGCCAGGTCGATGGAGCTCTGCTTGATATCGACGGCGATAACCTTGTAGCCCTGCCCCGCTGTTAGTCCGGTGCGGTCTGGTAGGGGCGATGCTTTGGAGTTTACCATGCATGGCCTTGGCTAGCTGTGTGCCAATGTGGCAAAGACCGCCGATGCCAACAATGGCAATGGAGCCACTAGAAGGCACGTTGGCGCGCTTGATTGATGGAACCGTAGATGGTGATGCCCGCGCATTTATTGTTCAAAGGTTTTCCGACGATTTTAAGAAAAAGTTCAATAAAGGCTTGAATGTCATACTTACAGAAGATCCGATTTCTCACCCGCCTTGCCGCTCCCTCCAAACAACTAGACTGGGCAAAAACCCTGGAGGATGCCAAGAAGATAGAGCCTTAATGCCGCAGACGTTGAAGACTTTGTAACCAATTACGTCGATCATTACAACCTCAACGAGAAAGGAGGAGGAAGATCTCATGCCGACGCCATCGAAGAGAAACAGGGCATGACAACGTGCTTCAGGGGGTCGAGAGGGTGACAGAGGACAAATAAAGACTGATCAAGCTAGTCATGCTGCAATTCTGACAATAATTTCTATAAATACACAGGTTCTTTATTTTGCATTTGCGATACTATTTGTATTTCTCACAGAGCTAAACGCTGACGCCTTGGGCGTTCCCTTGATGGGCAATGATTCACCTCTGTACATACATGTTCACAGGGACCTGCAGCGAGTAAGAGTTACTAACTACCATTCTATATCTCGAAAAAGAAGTAGAATTATGCGCTACACACATCATGTTCTAAGCCTTCTTAGGGGGTTCACTTTTACTTTGCAGTCTCTTGTGCAATACGTGAACCAAATCTTGGGCCTCAACTTGGGCAGCCTCTGTGTCTCTTCAACGACCCAAGGATGATTAACCTTGAAGGAATCCGTTCCTTGATCGAGTCTCATCCACAAGGAATCGTGCGATAACCTAGATCCGTCAAGAACCTGCATCGGATCGCTGTAAATGCTGCTCTGGGGATTATGCTGCTTCTCGTGCAGCCACTTGATTGCCAAGAGCCTCGAAGGTAGGGGATGCTGATAGTTATGCGCAGGCAGCCTCAATTAATCTAGCGGGCCTCATTAAGGCACCTGCGTCAGTGGAGAGTTCTCCAGATTACGTACGCTATAATATACATTACAAATAGCGAGTTTAAGACTTTACCATTCATTAATCCACCATCTGTATGAAATCACGCATCTGTCTATGAGCAAGTGAGCGAGGTGGCCAGTCGAGCCCGAAACTGGCACCGGCGCAACTTGGGGGATGGAGCAATTTACAGCCTTTGAGAAGGGGGTAGTAGCTTACTTGAGTGTCGATATCCCAATATCTGTAAGCTCTTTAAATGACTTGTCGCCCTTATTTATAAAATAATGAGCAATTGTGATTGCTACCATGGGCCGTTTGCTGGTAGTAAAAACGTGGAGAGCGTTCAGGTTGTCAGACATGCGCCAAACGACACAACTCAACGAGACCGTCGAGAAAACAAATCTTGGAAAAATCCCATGTCGACTATCGCGGGTATAAAATCCTAATTTGGTCGTAAATTCTCACATTACACCGAAAGGGGTGAGTACAGCAGGATTGTAACAGTGGCACGAGACGTTGGTGCTGGTCAACGTGCCCCCACCAAAATTCGACATCGCAGCCAGCCCACTCCGCCTCCCAGTCCCCCTCCAACAACTGACAACTTCGCCCTCGAGCTTCGCTGGCACACGCAGCGTCGCCGCACAATGGAGTCCATATCGCGGATCTCAAGCCTAATGGAGGCCGGTACGTTTCTTCGCGCCGAATTGCGCCCTCTTCCTCTTGTTGCCGCCGCTGATGCCTGTGTCCAGCGAGGGAGCTCACCCTTGACGCCGCCCAAGCGACCCGAGGCAGTCGCACGAGCTCCAGACTGCTCGACCGGAACCAGATGCGCAAGCTTCTCGACAGCCGAAACGATCGCGATGTGCTCGAAGGTCTGCGCCGTGTCGTTGCCGTACGATGACCCTGCTTCCCCCAGGTCGCCGCCTGTGTGCCAAACGCCTGCTAACCCTCGCTTGCAGATGATGTACCGGAAGCAAAAGACCCTCCCGTTCTTCTCCTCGGTCGTCAAAAATGTCGCATCACCGAATATCGAGATAAAAAAGCTCGTGTACATTTACCTCATCCACCATGCCGAGCAGGAACCCGACCTCGCCCTCCTCTCCATCAACACCATCCAAAAGTCCCTCTCCGACACCAATCCCCAGGTCCGCGCCCTGGCTCTCAAGACCATGACGGGCATCCGCGTCCCCGTCATCAGCCAGATTGTCTCTCTAGCCATCAAAAAGGGAGTCGCCGACATGAGCCCTGTTGTCCGCAAGGCCGCCGCCCTCGCCATCCCCAAGTGCCACCGACTCGACCCGAGCCAAGCGCCGCAGCTCACCGACTACCTGTCCACGCTGATTGGGGATAAGCAGTACTTTGTTGCTGGTGCAGCCGTTGCTGCATTCCTAGAAATTTGCCCCGGCAGAATCGATCTCATTCATAAGCACTACCGAGGTCTGGTCCGCAAGATTGTTGACATGGACGAATGGAGCCAGCTTGCTATGCTGCGACTCATGAGCTCGTACGCGAGGAAATGCTTTCCGAGACCAAATACCGGAGCCTCAAAAACGAAACCTGCAGAGACGGCGTCTGCAGATGATTTCTACAACCAGTCAAGACCCGAGGAAGCTGATGCTGGTGTGGATATTGATCCCGATCTACGCCTGCTCCTGAATGCTATCCGACCACTGCTACAAAGCCGAAACTCTGGTGTCGTGGTTGCTGTGACGAGGTGTTATGTTGAGATTGGCACAGCCGAATACGTCAAGCTTGCCGTTGGTCCTCTTGTTGCGCTCATGCGAGGGGCCCAGGATATCCAACAGCTTGCACTATATAATATCGTCTCTGTTTGTTTAATGCGACCGAGAGATTTCGTCAAATATTCTAGCCACTTCTTGGTGCGAGCAACAGATTCAGCACCAGTGTGGGAGCTCAAGCTTGAGGTCCTCACCCTCATTTTCCCCCACAGTCCGCCGCATATCAAGAGTCTCATTCTCAAAGAGCTCGAACACTTTTCACAAGGCACAAATAAAGCTCTTGTGCAGGAAGCTGTGCGTGCTATTGGCCGATGTGCGCAATCCGACGCCACTACATCACCCCGTTGTCTGAAACTTCTTTTGAGCCAAATCACTAGTCTCGATGGCACACTTGCTGCTGAGTCGCTCACCGTCATTCGGCACTTGATCCAGCAGAATCCAGACAGCCATGTTGGAACCGTTGTGCGTTTGGCCAGAAACTTGGACTCCGCCACGGACCCCCACGCAAGGGCCACCATTATCTGGCTAGTTGGTGAATTTTCAGGTCTGGACGGAGAAGACAACATTGCACCCGACGTGCTGCGGATTCTCGTCAAAGAATTCGCCCACGAATCGGAAGTTGCCAAGAGACAAATTGTTCTACTTGGTGCCAAGGTCTATTTACATCACATCAATCGCCGTGCAGAAGCCCAAAATGCGGAAGGTGCAGAGAGTGACCCGCCTCAACGATTCGAAACGCACGCTGTCGAGCGCCTCTGGGATTACCTGATGACCCTTGTGAGATATGATGTATCTTACGACTTGCGTGACCGCGCAAGGATGTACAGAGCTCTTCTAGCTGTGCCACAGCTGGCTACGCTGATGCTGCTCGCGCCAAAACCAGCACCGCAGGCGCCAAGTCCTTCAGAATCTAGAAAGGGATTCCCACTGGGCTCCTCAACACTCGTACTAGAAGGTGGCGGCGGTCTCCATGGACTGAGCGGCTATGAGGCGCTTCCTGATTGGGTCACGCCTGGGAAGGAGCCTGACCCGAGACTCCGTGAACAAGACGAGGGTCCGTATTCGCGATATGATGGAGAAAGAGGTCCTGCCCCTGCCAGCCAGGCTCTAGATGAAGCGGTACGAGCTGCACCGAGCAAGTCGAATGGCATTGCCGAGGGTCTGGGTGCCAAGACGCTGGACGACTGGCTTGCGGAGGGCGACGAAGAAGAGAGTGGCGAGACAGAAGAGGAAAGCGAAGAGGACACTGAAGAAGAGGGAGAAGAATCTGAGGAGGAAGACGAGGGAGAGGAAGAGGAAAGTGACGATGACGGGGAGGAAGCTAATTTGGTCAAGGCATGATGTAGCACAAGTCAGACAAGATGCATAAGAAGCGTTGCTTGCGCGGTACCAGTAATAAAACCCAGTTTCCACGTTACAAGGAATAGAGAATCAGTCTATAGGTAGAAGAAACTGGAAGAAAATTAATAAGATAAAAAACTGTCTATGAAACATAAGATGACCAAAACAACGCTTGATACCCGTCTTCCTTAAATACCTAGTGTACGCGATCTGCGTCGTATATCTGTCAATGAAATCTTTGTTATTTGTCTAAATCGAAAAACCTTGCCGCCGACTATACACAATAGTCTCCAGCTTTCATTTCACCAGATGTCGCTATACCTGCTCTTTGCTGGCGGTCTCGGGAGGAGTCTGGCTGGTAGAGGCGGGAAGTCTAGTCTCGTCCGTCTCGTTGCCGGCGTTGGAGTTGGCGTCGCGCTTGGCGCTCGCCTTCTCGTCGGCGCGCTGCTGGCGGCGGGCGACGGCGTTGTGGCGCATCTGCGGGAAGTAGATGCCGGGGTGGAAGATGGTGAGGAGGGCGCTGCCGAGGAGGACGAGGGAGCTATCGAGGACGAGGAAGCTTGGCTCGTCCTGCATGATGTGGTTGCCCCAGCCACCAGCCATTTCGGCAATACTATAGCCCACATTTGTTAGTTGGGTTGCCTTTTGCGAGGGTAGATGCGATTTTGAAGGGGGACGGTACCGGTAGATGCAGCGGATAAAGATGCACATGTAGGCCGCGCAAATGGCGGCGAGAAAAATGACAAAGTTGCGGCTGCGCCAGACGCGCAGGCCGTCGGACTCTCGGGCCTCGGGCGTGCGCATCCAGCGAGCCACGCGCAGGAGATAGTCGAGGCCGAGGGCGCCAAAGACGGCCAGCACGGCGACCTGCAGCGCGACGCCGGCAATGATGGCCTGGTTGCCCGTCTTTTGCAGCTTGGGGTTGTCGTGGCCGGCGGCGGCGGCGATGCCGCCGCCGATGGCCTGCACGATGAGGCACGAGACGTCGGCGGGCAGGAAGAGGCGCGGGTACCAGACGGCGGGCAGGCGCGAGAGACGCGGGTTGAGGGCGAGGGCAATGTGCTTGAGCGTGAGGTAGATGCTGACGCAGATGAAGGTCGGGCCGAGGATGATGGCGCAGATTTGCAGCTCAAACGCGCCATTGTTCCACGGATTCGAGGAGAGCAGGATGCGACCGACGTAGCCTAGGGGGAACTCGTGTTAGTCGGGATGTTAGGCGCGCCGGGAGAGATGGATTGGGGGGGAGCGCACCGGCGGTTTCTAATATCAGGCCGCAGGTCAGCGCGGCGGTAAAGGTCCAGGTGCGCTTGGACACGCCGAGGACGACGGTGCCGATGAGGCAGAAGCCAAACATGATGGTGAAGAAGTAGCCGGACCCCAGGTTGGGATAGTAGCCCAGGACGGTGGCAGCGACTGGGCAGTCCTCGGTGACTTGCACGCAGCTCTGGTAGGGATCGCCCCTGGTGTGGTTGGAGGCCATGACGGCGGGTGTTTGTGGGACGCTTTCCAAGTCGATTTTCCTCCCTTGTTGTAAATCTAGTCGAACTTGTAGTTGTATACGGAAGAGCCGGGAGAAGGTGTATTTGGAGCGTCGTCGGCGTCAATGTCGTGGAGGATGTTGAGGAAGCGGAGAGTTGTCAAGTTGGAGCGAGACGCAAGTCGATGGCGGCGTTTTGGATTATACTGCAAGAGAAAAGACTGATTCTCTTGAATGTACAGAAAAGAAAAAGAGGTGAGAATGACGAATGGAGATATTGACGTATTTGAAAGAGCAGACCCAATCCCAGAGCCTCGTTTGAAATGGCACTAACACTGGCGGACTTCGCTAGTCCGAAACTTCGTAAGCGAACGAGATGGGAATGCAAGGGTTGTTAAGGCGGCTCATCTGTTTTGACAAGGGGGGCGGCCGGTTCTTCGTTCCGGCGACGGGTTCTGAAAGAGGTAGTAGCATTGTCATGGGGTTTCCGGATGGTTTCACATCCGGGCGGCAAACCAGTCAGTACCCGTATTACCAAGGAGCCTACACCTTTTTTGCGCGAACGGCACCTTTAATCTGTTTCTCGGAAATGAGACATTCTAGAAGAGAGACTCGACTGGCGTTCGTCAAGGGCGGCGCGCCACAACAGGGTGGTGGGAAGACAAAAGGTCGGAACGACGTCCATCCGAGAGTGAAAGAAGCTCGGCCGGACGAATTCAACGGGCCGCCTCTGCGGGAAAAAACGTGCGATAGGTAGGCCAGCCAGCCTTGTCCGCTGACGACAGGGGGGGGGGGGGGGCTATGGCTTTTGGGGACTGCTGGGGGGGAGAGGGTAGTTGGGTAGATACGCGTATTCGGCCAAAGGCCAAGAAGGCCGGGCAGTTTTAGCGGCGGCTGAGACAGATTTATATCCGAGAGGCAAAGTGATGTAATGGATGTTGGCTCTCCCATGGCCCAGGATTTGATGGATCGGCCGTGGCACGATCGGACGGGCCTCCTCCTTTCTCTGCTAAAATAGAAGCCGAGTTTTATTTAGTTGTTAATTTCTTTGTCTGTGTAGGTTGGTTGGTGACGCGCTCATTTACGGGTCGATGATGCAAGAACGGACCCCAAGGACATGGAATCCAAGGGTCCCGAAGAAAACAAGAATTTCAGACAAAACATTTTACAAGAGGATTATTTACAACGTCGTTTACAATTCAGATCACTTGACCATGCTCTGTCCAGGTGGCTACCGGCAAGTGTCATGCCCATCAAGGTTCCTCCTATTCACCCAACTTCAGAGGGCAGGCGAGTAAGCTATCATGAGCATCATAAATTGTTAGTCAACAGCCCATGCCTTCAAATAGTAAAATAGTACTTATTTGCAATTATCACCATATTCCGATATTTCGAGAACATTGTAATATATTGTGCACTTGTCACTCCTCGCACCCGAGCAACGCCTAACCGGAGCCTGGCCCGCAAGATATTACCCCACCATTGGCAAGAGCGGTAAAGAAAAAAAATACTGTCTACAATAGAGTATCCAACCTTGAACCTTTCCTCCCGAGACACCTACGCAAAAAAACCATCGCCTGCTCCCAACAACCAACCAACCCTTTTTACCACCCCCCTCCCAGCCATGGGCCGTCCGAACCGCGACCTGCAGGCCGCCGCCGACGAGACCGTCACCCCGCCCGCCGTCCTCGCCGCCAACCAGACGCTCGTGCGCGTCATCCGGCCCGAGGGCAGCAACCTGTTTGTGTGCGCCCTGCCCAGCCAGAAGACGCTGGTGCTCGAGCTCGCCCAGCGCTTCCGCAACACCATCTGGGTCAAGCGCGGCGGCTTCGCCCTGGCGGAGCGCTACGAGGACGGCGCGACTGACACCCGCGCGCAGGGCGAGATGATCAACATTGTGCGCGCTGAAAAGGAGTGGCGCAAGATGCCGTACTGGTGCGTTTTTTTTTTCTTTTTGGCTGCTCGGCCGCCGGCTTGCGGACTTGCGGACTTGCGGACTTTGGTGGGAGAAATAACTAATCTGTTGTTGCATGCGACTTGTAGGCCAAAGGAGTTTGCCAAGGCGGCATACAATCAGGACGACTCGGAAGAAGAATCGACAGTAGGCAAGATGCCACCCAGCGACTCGGAAGACGACTAGATATCCACGGCCCACCGGTCATGACGACTTATGAACATATGCATATATTAATAATACCGCTTCTCTCATGCATGCCTCGTTTAAACTATCATACACGCCTCATTTGTTGCGCCATTATTGCTTCTTGGCCGCGGGCTTCTTTATCGTGAGGCCGTCGTTGCGCGTGCCAAAGTACACCACCAGGACCGTCGTCGCCATGACCGCCACCGCCGCCGTCGACGACTCGCTCGTGCTGGGAAACACGTTCCACGCCCACTCCTGCAGGAGCCACAGCGGATACGTGAGCACGGCGGCACCGCCGGGCAGCGCGCGCCAGAGCAGAAACGGCGTCGACCACGCCAGGTACGCGTAGAACTGGTAGTGCAGCGAGCGCGCAAACAGCAGGCCGACCAGGTTCGCCGACAACATCGTGGTCAGGACAAAATCCGGCGTCACCCTGCGCGACACGCGAATCTCTTCGTCCGGCGTCAGCGCCGCGCGCCCGCGCAGCCACGCCGGCACCATGCGGCGCAGCGTCTTGCCGGCGGGCCGCATCCAGCGCGTGGCGAGGAAGAGGGCGAGCGTGGCGGCGTGCAGGCCGAGCAGGAGCAGCGCCCACTCGCGGCGGCGAAACGTGGCCTCGCCGAGCATGCGCCAGTTCACGGTCCACTCAAACTGGAACTGCCGCGAGAGCTCAAAGGCGCGCGCGAGGTAGCCGTTGGTGTTGGTGGCGATGAAGGGCAGCGCGATGACGATCTGGACCTGCGCCATGAGCCAGGCGAGGGACAGCGCGCCCGAGAAGCCGCACGCGTGCAGTAGCACGGCGCCGACGGCCGGCAGCACGAGCAGCAGCGACATCTTGATGCCCAGCCCCCACGTGTAGGCCATGGAACCGAGCGCCCATAGCCGCCGCTGGAACGAGTAGATGGCGAGCCACAGGAAAAAGACGGCGAAGCAGTCGTTGAAGCAGCGCAGGACGAAGACGGAGTGTAGTCGCTTCGAGAGGATGAGGAGCGGGAATATGTACGGCGGTACCTGGGTGTAGCGTTAGTCGATCGAGCATGTACAGAGTAACAAGACAAGGGAGCCGCTAATCGATGCGTAGATGACTACTACTCACTTTGGCTTTCCAGTAGCAAAGCATCACCAGTCCCAAGGTCACCATGTACAGCACAGCAAACAGCTGCTGCGCCAGCAATACGTTTTCGCCCTCACCGGTGAGGTAGTATAAGCCCGTGTAGGTGTAGACGTGCGCGGCCGGGTACACGAGCGGGCCGGTGCCGCCTTTGATCTTGGTGTAGTCGCGCTCGCCGTGGACAAACTGCGTAATCTGCTCCATGTACGCGACCCAGTCAATCTCGGTGTCTTTTGTTTTTAAACGCAAAACGCTGGTCAGCACACGCTCTGCCCGCCAGGCACTCTAGCAGAAAGTCAGAAAATCATACAGGGAATCTTCCAGATAATCAGGCAGGTCAGCACCGCATCGGCGAGCCACAGCGCCACGGGAATCAGCGGTGACAGCGCATGCCGGCCGCACGCCACGTCGACGACAAACGTCAGCGCGCGGACGTGCACCGCCGGCTCGCGCGCTGCTCGCGCGGGACTGTTTGTTGCCTCCATCGGGAGGTTTACAGTCGTCCCTCCGACGCCGTGAGAGAGCTTGATAGTTTGGTCCAGCAGTGGTGCCCGAGGCGGTTGCTGTTTGAAAGAAAGTCGGTTGGTTGGTTGGTGGTGGGGGGGAGCTTCGGAATCGAAACCTTTCTGAAAGGGGTCACCTACCTATAGCGGGGCCGGTGAGCAACAGCACAACGGTTACGCTAACTAACTTAACCTCACGATTAACATGCTTATTATTACACTTCAAAGGTTCTTCTATTCATGTACGCATTTATTTCCATGGCCGGCTGTCCTGTACCAGCTTACAGTTTGGAAGCCGCCGCGGCCTCAAAGTTGAACAGCGTCGGCTCCTTGGAGAGGTCCTCGCCGTTAGCGGCGCGAATCTCGTTGACAAGCTCGACGACCTTCTCGGCGCAGCCAAACGAGCCCTGAAATCCCCAGCCCGCGTGGCCGTAGTTGTGGACGACGTGCACGCTCGCGCCGTCCACCTCGTCTCGCAGCGTCTCGCGCTCAACGCGCACGCCGCCCTTGCGGTACGGCCGCAGCCCGACGGCGTGGCGGATGACGTCGAGGCCGGCGACGCCCTTGCCGCCGGCGAGCGCCGGGTCGAGGCGCACGGCGCGCGCCATGATGCGCGTGGCGACGTTGGGGCACGGCTGCGACTCCCAGTTGCCCAAGTCGTAGGTGCCGCCGAGGATGGTGCCGCCGCCGGCCGCGCGCTGCATCGTGTAGAGTATCTCGCCGCTGCCGTCGTCGACGGCCGACGTATTCAGCATCGACGACCCGTCGTTGCGCACCAGCACAATCTGCCCGCGCGCCGGCAGCATGCCCGCGTCGCGCACGCCGCCGAGCGTCCGCGCCCCGAGGCCCGTCGCGTTGATGAGCACGTCGGCCGGGCGGCCGCTGTAGGCGAGGCGCCGCGCCTCGGTGAGGTCGTGGAGCACGGCCCGCCGAAAGACGACGCCCTGCCGCAGGCACTGCCCGACCAGCCAGAACAAGTACATGGGCGTGTTCAGGCACATGCTGGTGAAGGAGCACCCGCTGTCCTGCCCGGGCGGCAGCTCGCTCGCGGCGAGCTCCCGATAGTCGGGCGTCAAGTGCCGGTACCACGGGTCCCGGTCGAAGAGCGGATCTATGGGCCCGCCGCTCGGGTCTGCCTCCTGGTCCTTGTGCTGGCGGAGCACAAGCGCGTCTGTCGGTGAGATGAAACGAGTAGTTGTTAGCGCAAGGTAAGACAAGGAGAGCGGATTGCCACGTGGCGAGGGAGCTACGACAGTATGTTGCGGTGTTGTACGGGATCCGTGCAGCCAGCCGCAAACAAACCAATCTCGTTTTCGCTCTGTGACGGGGGGGCGTGTGTGTTTCACGTACTCTTGAAGTGGAAGCCGGCTTCTGGCACGTTTCTGCAAAGCCACACAAACTCGGGCCATGTGCGACGCTCCCACCTGCTGTCGGCGTCTGGGTTCATGCTGCAGGCCGGGCAGCCAGTATCAGCGGCGATCGAGCAACGCGCACGGTGGAGGAGCACACTTACGGCAGGACATTGGCCCCTGCTATTGGCGAGGCGTACTCAATGTCGTAGTCGCCGGGCATGTGCTTGGCCACGAGGGTGACGGTGTTGCCCTTGCTCTTGGAGAGCAGGTACGCCGATGTGAGGCCAGACACACCGCCGCTAGATGGAGGACGTCGTTCGTTAGCGATACAGTTTGTGGTCCGTGTGAGCAGCGGAAACAAGACTTGCCCGACGATAACAATGGTGTTGGTCATGATGGACTATGATTTCGAGTTCCATTCACAGAAAGATGCTGGTTCACGTCATGCTGGAGGAGAGTTCAGCAGCAGCACGCATCAGCTCGCCAAGTCTACTTCTTCCATGGCGGGCGCGGTCGGTGGGTCACGCTTTGCCTCCCGCTCTCAGCAAAACGCGGGGAAGCACAAAGAGTCACGCCAGATCAGTGGGTTGCTGTTTCGCTTCAGCGACTATACTGGTATTGATGAAAGCGTGAGTATGATTTATCAAATGACTCATTGCCCGATCATCACGGCAACAGTAACTGTTGGATCAAAGGTGTATTCGAATACGATGAAAAGCAATAATAACGTCAATTTGGTTCCTTCTGATTGTTGTGATAACTAACAAACACACACAAACGCTGCCTTCCCTCGATGGCTGGGATCAACAGGCCCACAGCCCTCGAAAGGGGGTCTTCCGCCCACACGCTGGCCAATGAGAGACCAGCGTTGAGTTGCCTGCTTGCACAGGGGGCCAACAGTAACATATGGGATCGCAAAAGTCTGTGTGCTTGTTTCAATGTCGATGGCGTTGACCTCTGGTGACCTTGCCAGTGACCGCGTTCCATATTGAAACCTTGATTCTGCTAGAAGCAACTCTAAGGTAGTGGGGAGAAGTGCTAGAAAATGTGTGATGCATAACTACCATGCACTTGTAATGGTTCCCGCCACTTCTGTGGCACAATTGTGTCAGAAACGTGCGCCCGCCCCAGAGCTACTTCAAGCCAAGCTTTCCTTCGCACTTTGGATATACAATAAAATAAAATGGTGGGAATGCAAAATAATGTCATCAGTAGTGACCCAGAAATAGTATCCAGGACGACCAAGACACAAAGCCCGCATCACAGCTCCAAAAATGCAGCAGTTCGCTCAGCCTCTCTCCATCCGAGGCTTTGATGCTGCGAAGACGACCCAGATGTACGATTGGGGGTGGGGGAAGGACTTCCGGTGGCTATGGCCAGATCCTGCCAAGACAAACCAGATTCTCTTACAAGTTCGCTGCGTCGCGACATATGAGCTCGCCCCGGTTGCGTCGTCCGATCATATCACCTTCTACATCAACAGGGTTGATTGGACGCCTTTGTTTCCGTACACTATCTTGTGCTGTCATGCTCCTCCTATATAGTACATTGCTTGTCTCGGTCCAAAACGGTGCCGCAAATCCACTTCCTACATGCATGAGTTCTAATACTCAGTCCGTTACCTCAGTCTTCATTTCTCAACTCTCCAAATTCCGATACTGAATTTTGTCTTTGAGTTTACCTCTTAACCAAGAAAGACTCGCTTGGCCGCTATGACTCAGTTTCTCCAGTGATGGGCGACCGAGCAGATCGCTGGGCTGCGGTAGCACGCGATCGACTCTTAGATAAGCGGCTCCCTAGCGTTGGGGAGCTCAACGATTGTCGGGCACGCTTTGGGCGTGTAGTGTCCGTACTAGAATCAGGAGTGAGGCTGCTCGGATCATTGGTTCCGGAAGCGCCTGGATCTCGGCTTGGGTCTTGCGAATCATCAGACGTATATTGATGCGTGGGAGTAGTGGGACCACTGTCTTCTTGGACTTCGGTGTAGGTCTCGCAAATTTGCTGCTGCAGATCGTCATGGATATCTTGCCATGCGTTTCCATCTGATGGATGGCTGTCATCACACTCTTCGATAAGATGCTCTCCAGCGGCTAATTCTCCTGTTTGCAAAGCTCTAGCGTTGGCTTCCCTAATGAGCCTCTCTCGCTGTCGGCGAGCAAGGTCCCTAGCATTCCGGAAAGCAGTAGCACCTGTGACAAAAGTCTCTCGATCACCCGTCAGAGTGTACCCCTTCAGCTGTGTCATATGGTACTCGGCCCGTTCTCCTTCGGCCGTCGGGCCAGTCACATGGTGGGCGTAGAGCATAAGCTGGCCATTGTGATAGGTTGAGCTGTATGTGTGGGCATTACCGTCATAGACCGGCTTGTCCTCGCCATAGTTTTGCAATTTGTGCATAGCGCGAGCCCCGACGGCCCCATCCAGGCATGCCTGCCGCTTCGCGATATCAGCGCCGGCGCGTGGAGCTTTAGCCTCCATGAAGAAATTTGGTACAGCGGGTACTAAACTGTGTTTTGTGGGTATAATCATGTCACTCAGCTCTTGTTTGATCCTCTCATGGATATCTTTTGGGTATGATCCGTCGAATAAGTCGGGCACTGCGTCGACAGTAGTCCCGTCCGTTATTGAGTCAAAGTTGGTGAAAGGAAGGTTGCCTTCACTCGGGATATCTGCGTCACCAAGTACTTTTGGAAGTATCTTAGCCATAACATTGCCTTCGGATTTGATACGCTCATTCATTAGGCAGAACTTTCGAAAGGTTCCGCGAGAGACACGGGACGGCGATAGAGACGCCCGGGGAGCCGCTATTGCTTGGACTATGTCGTCAAAGTTGCTGGGCTCTGGTACTGAGTCATCATCAGGATATGGAAACCCCCTAGGGTAGATGTTGTGGTCGATGAGGTCCTGCTCGAAATTATTGTCGTATGCGGATGATCGTTTCCTTGAGGTAACGCGTGTTGCCTTCGTAGTCCGTGTCCGACGGCTCGAGGATTCGGAGGTCCCATTCGAAGGCATTTGTGCGGCGTGCGTTGGTTCGGGACACTACCAAAAATTAGTTGACGGTAACGCGTACGAGACAGAACACATACCCCTCGTAAATGGCAAAGGTCTGGGCCGCCTCGTCTTGCAAATCGAGCGAGGTTTGTCGGCGTTGCGGTAATCAGAGCTGCAGATATTGCAGTACGAGGCTGTGCGTCCTTTCGGCGATCGAGTTCGCGTAAGGCACGGGGCGTGAGCCAAACTTTCGACAGGTTGTCCCAAAATTTTGGTGGAAAGTTAGAGACTTTGCCCACCACAGAGCTCGACTTGATCCTCTTCGCAGGGAGACTCCCTTGTATAGAATCGTATGTGTTGGGTCTTTTTCGTTTCTGTATGTTGAATACAGGTTCTTTCTCGGAAATGGGAGAGGGGAAAGACATTTAGGGATAACAGGTCGGTGGCGGGAACAGCGCCAACTTGTGTAGAATCGGCTGGCGCGTAACAGGACGAAATGATAGGGCGAGCGAGCGAGAACGCGGTTTGCCTGGTGTGACCATATGTGCGTGGTCTGTACGCGCCCAATGTGATGCTATCAGGTCGGTCTGGGGCGTGCTGCATCAGAGTGGACATTGTTTGGTCTGGAATTGTTAAATGACGAGTTGGTTGGATGAGGAGTGCAACTCGCCGAAACATGAGTTACCTACCTATTTATGGACTCACGGGATGATGATCTGGCTGGGTCCCGAGGTGGGGTTTGTATTTCCCCACCGGCCGAATCGACGGGCTCAGGCCAACCGATGCGACCTCCTTTTATTAGTTACCCTTCACATTCCATTTTCAACCGACAATATGGCGGTCGATGCGCAAAATGAAGGTGCGAAACGTTTGCAGACTCTGAATGTATCTACGTTAACTAATTCGGTGATTTCACCAGGATATCCTCATCGACGAACGATACCGCATCGACTATAAAATTGGTGAAGGGGGATTTGGTCTCGTCTATGCAGGTACGGGTGTACTTTGGTCTCTCTGAACAGCTTCTAACGTGGCCAGGAACTGATACGAAGTTAGGCGACGAGGTTGCTATCAAACTTTCGCATGTCAACATCAACCCCGAAATTATAAAGGCCGAGGCAGACACCTACACGGTGCTTGCTGGGGGTGTCGGAATACCGCGAGTCCGATGGTTTGGAGAGGAATGCGACTACTATGCCCTGGTCCATGAACTTCTTGGGCCATCCCTCGAGGATCTTTTCAACTACTGCGACCGGCGATTCTCGATCAAGACGGTTCTCCTCATAGCCAATCAGGCTATCTCTCGAATTCAATACATTCACGACAAGGGGATTCTACACCGCGATATCAAGCCAGAAAATTTTCTCATGGGGACTGGGACAAAAGGAAACATTCTTTATACTATCGATTTTGGTTTAGCCAAAGAGTTCCGCAATGCTGAGCGTTTTCAATCTCTACAGGGCCTGCCGTTTGGTGGTACTAGGCGATACGCGAGCCTAAACAATCACAATGGACGAGGTGTGTTCTGCGTAGGCCTTATCGCCGCTACTTACTAACTACGTAATAGAACAGTCCTGGGGGGATGACTTAGAGTCGTTAGGATACGTGTTGCTATACTTTGCGTGCGGCACCTTACCTTGGGTAGGGCTCAAAGCAGCGACTGAGGCGGAAAAGGATGAGCTGATTAAGAAGAACAAGATAAGTCTGCCTGTGACAGAGCTTTGCGGAGGGCTCCCTCCGGAGTTTGCTACTTATGTCAGCTACACTCGGTCACTAGGCTTCAATGACAGGCCCGATTACGCTTATCTTCGCCGACTTTTTCGTCATGCTTTCTTGAATTCTGGGTTCAAGTACGATAACATTTACGATTGGACGGAGCGTCGATTTCGCGAGATGCAAGGGGACAGCCCTGAGCATCCATCTCAAACATGATATTAGTAGGAGCCGTCCTTTAGTAAAGAGACATGGTCATTTTTCGGTCAATCTTCTAGTGCTAGGCATCGACAACCTACAATTTGCATTTTCCCCTCGCTCTATCATATCATGCGCAGTGGCCAAGATTAATTCCTAGCAGCGACGTTGCAGCCTGCTGCTGTAAGAAACCTGTCTATCATTGAAACGCGAACCATTTGCCAGATAGTTGATGGAGGGCACCTTAGCCGGGCTTTCGGCATCCGAGGGAGTAGAAAAATTTCAGCCGTCCCAAATACGCCTTCTAGTCAGCTTAACCAACGTCAGGAGTCACCTCGATTTGATGTTGCCACCCTAAGCGCGTGGCCGACGTTACTGTACCGGGCTGTCGTGGACACAGCCGCGCAACGTACATGGCCAGAATTGGTCTATGTAACACATAGTCCAGATTCTTAGCGATTGGTTCATTAAGGACGCGGAGAGGACTTCAAATGATATATGTCGCTTCCTATCGTCTCTGGCGCACGTGGCAATCATCTGGGTGAGTGAGGATGCTGTGCGGCTTCAAGGCACTCTTTTAATTAGCATGCTCGTACTTCAACTGACTTTTCTTGTCGCATTACGACCTGGAGTCAAGCTACATGCGCCATACTCATCGTAACCAGATACAAGAAACGCGAATATGAATGTTTTCCGTCCTATCAAAGACGTACATCTATCTGCCCACGCACAGCCACAGCTCCATGGGCACATACCCTACAGGATAACAATTCTTGAGCACTTCGCGGAGTTGGCCCATCAGGCCCTATTAGCAATCACATTTTGAGCGGTTCCCGCACGCTCACTGACGTAAGCTGATCCCAGTACGAGAAGTGAAATCCGATATGGCAAACAGTCCCACGATTTAAGCCAAGGCGGCACGGAAAACATGGAAAGAGCAAACGTAGGCGATTTGCGCGCATGCAACTTCCCGACAACAACAACATCAACTGCCTGCTACCTGCTCATTAGAATGAGACGAGAAATTGTTTCTTACTCGAAACTAACTAATCTGTTAAATGAGACGGACAAGGACGCTGGCCTCCTTCCAACGTCAGATGGGTTAGTTGAGCGACGACGTATACGAGAGCACGCCTCTTTAGCGAACTGTGTAATATCGCTGAGTAGCACTTCTCGTATGGGCTGGTTCTCTTATTGCTAACACCATTTGCTTCCCATTCTCTTTATGATGTTACTCGCGCCCTTCATTCCGTTTCCAACTCTTCTCTGTGGCGAGCCACTGAAGCAAGATCAGAGGAGCTATTGACTGCCTGTATGAAGACAGCACTCTGCAAAGCCGCCCCTCGCCACTAGAAGTACAAGATGGCTGTGTTTCTTTCTTTGAGTTGATTTCTTTCCTAAACAGCAGGGCACCGAGGTTTGAAAGGCAGTTGGAGCCAATACTTGTATTCAAGATAGCACTCTATAAGTCATCAATATTCAACTCACCGCTTTACGGCTTGAGTAATGCAAGTTGGAGCAAGATTCGGTGTCAGGAAGCAAGCGACAAAACGACAAAGCGACAATTTCGCGTAGAGTGCAACCTGAAGACCCTGTATGTGAGATACCAAGCTCCACACGATCCGTCACTGTTCATCTTGGATCGGCGCCCGTTCGGATGTGAATCGTTCATCCAGGCCATCTACAGGGCTTAGACTAACGATACAGACGGACGCCGTCTCACAGAGCAGACCGCGGCGTCAACAACGTCTAACCAGAAACAAAGGGCTTGTACTTCAGACCAGTTCGGATTGTTTCTGAAAGGAATCCTACCCTCCCGCATTTTGTTCAGCAACGACCGGTCGGGCCTGTATAACTGAGTTTGGGTCATGCTTTTGGTAAAAATATGGAGAAATACGAGAGCCGATGCGGGTTAATACGGGATAGTCGAGACTGTAGCTAAAAGAGGAAACGAGGCGGCGCCATGGCTCGATGTGGCCGGTCTGCTATCCTGCATTTAGATTGGCTTGGCTCGAGCCGAGAGTAATTTCTCCAAGAATTGACAGTGATGCGCTGTCGGTTCAATGGTGGTAGTAGGTTGTGCATAGTAGCGAAATACCAACTGGTATGAGAACAATGGGCGCTCGACCAAACTAGCGGGAAGCCACATAGCTGAATAAATTATTACACATAACTAGTTACGAGGCCAGAAAAGGAACGGCCACCTAGCGAGTCTGTAGCAGTGTTTCAAGTTTGGCGGCTGGAGTGGAGAGAGCGATGACGGCAATGTCAGAGGCAAAGAGGGTGCATGACCCTCCAAGCCACCTTGGAGGTGGCAGGCGCCGAGTTAAAGACGCAAAAACCATGGAAGAGGCAAAGTCACTTGTGTTTTTTGACTCGGGAGCTGCGGGTGGGTTGTGGCGAGGCTCATAATAAACGTCGCTTCCCCAGCGCAGCGGAGTGGCCACGCGGTCGGGGGCTGCGGACAAGGTTCAGCGGCGCAGGCGAGCTTGCCGGGGATGAAGGTTCGAGACAATGGCCACGAGGCATGAATCAAATCCAAGCCTGTTTGACTTGCACAGCCAGAGGAGGGACGTGCCGCATTTGGATGTTGAACTTGGCATTTGGCATTCGCCACTTGTTCTATTGTCTCTTTGCAGCCCATGTGCAAGGTAATTAGTACTATGCAGCGCATCGAGAGATTGCCCTGTTGGGGACGCATGCGAGTGACAATAGAAGCAAAGGAAGCAATATTTGGCTGGAGGTTGTTAGCTGTTAATGCAGTGCGACGTTGGGAGAGAGGGCGAGATGGGTGGTGATGTGCCAGCACGGGCTGAGCTGGTGGGGGCGGGCCGACGATGGTGGCGACGAAAGCAGCAGCGTAGCTGGATCTGTCAATAAGAGCAGGCGTTATTGAAGCGCGTACGAGACAAGATGACTGATTCGTGACCAAGTCTGATAGTTTTGTTCTCCTGGGACAGAAGGTTAGACGAAGCGATCTAACGTCGAACGTTGTAGTCGTTGCTGTTGCTGTCCAATCCACACTGGGTGGGTGGCCGATGCAACACACCACTAGTTACGCGCCCAGCGCCGTCTCTCGCCGTACTTACGTACCGAAAGCAGCGTGGTCGTGGTCTCGAAATGGGCAGCGACGGCCGTGCGGCGATGAAACCATGTTGCTGTGAGCCTGTGAGGTGTAAACCGGTATTGAGATGTGACAGAGTGAGAGGAGAGACGAGCTCCAAGGCCAACCAGTGCACCAGCCACAGGATATTGGCAACGATTGAATGATGATGGAGGCCACGTTTGAGCCACTCTTCACCAGCCACCCAGCGATTGGGCATGAATTTTGGTGGCACCAAAAAGCATTGGCGTGAGCAGCAGAGTTTTCTCTGGTGATTGCTTGCCGCCTTTTGTTGCTGCCATGCGGGTGGGTATCTCAAGCTTGCTGGCTAATAGTTGTTTCCGTTGCCAGGCTTTTAGTTTCTTTGCCTCTTTTGCTTGCTTGTAATAAGCCGTCCCTCGTCTCACCGCATCGTGGGCCGTGGACCGTGGACCGTGGACCACTCTGCTCCGTACCTAGATGCTGTCGAGTGTTGAGCTTCTGGTGGCCGAGGACAGGAGGGCTTTTTCACTGTTTTGGCCCTGACACTTGTACGAGGGGCGTCTCCTGCGGTGCCATCTGTGTGCCCTATTGTCTGCCTCCCGAGATGGTGCAGGGCAGATGCAGGAGGTGCTGCATGGTGTGCAGGAATTGTCCAAGTCGCGCAGCCGTGGCCTTGTCCGTGCCTGGAAACTGACGGATCTTGTACTGATGATGAGCGGACGCTGCTCAGGTACGAGCGAGCGATACTCTGCTTGCCCAATGTTGGCTTCGCTGTGGTTTTGCTTGCCTGCCTGCGTGCCGCATTGTTCTGTTGCTCTCGAACATGGACCCACAGAGGTAGCCGGCCCGCCACGCCACGGGCAAGTCAAGCCACAGGGCAGTCAACCAACCACTGATACCAGTGCAGGCAGGCAGCTACTGTAAAGGTCATTGACAAACCAGGTGTGTTGCGGGGATTTAGACGCATTTGAATTCTATGGGTTAAAATAGCACATAATCCTTCTGTTGTTGGTGTATGTTTTTCTTGGTTGGCTACCTTCCATCAGTAGTCATTCCCCAGTAACCAGGTAAACTTTGCCTTGTTGCCTTGCTTGCTCTTTGCTCGCCCCGCCTGGAACTTCCCCTCCTGCCCCCCAAATTTGGCACACACCCGGTTGACACGCCCCTGTAACGGACCTTGTTTAGTGCACCCCTCCAGACTCTTCCACTCTTCCCACCAAGCCACTCCCCACTCAACCACTTCAACTCAAAGCACTTGACCACTCAACGCCTCTCCCTCCTCCTTGGTGCTGTGTTCCTCAAAGTACCCAGGTACCTCGTACTCTGTCTCTGTCCTTCCAGGCTCTTTCCCCTGTACCCAGTTACCAGGAATGGGCCCTCATTTTTAATCGCGTTGGATCCCGCGCCGTCTTCTTCCAGACCGGGCGGTGGCTAACTACTGGCTTACTGCTTTTCCTCTTACTACCGCCTGGTAAGTGCCTTTTGGTAGGGCCGACCGTGCCTCCCGCTGCAGCTCTACCCTCTTTCAGCGTCTTGCCCTTCTGACCTTGGCAACTTGGCACCACCGCCACAATCCATTTCGCTGCCTCACCATCCCCTCGCAGCAAACGCCCGGCGATCATCCTCTTTTTTCCCTTAACATCTTATTCCCCATCAGCGACTGCCAACTGCATCCCACCATATTCTGTACCCTTTTTTATTCTTTTCTATTTCCATCGTTTGCCTTGCGCCTAGCCTCGTTCGCTCTTCGTTCTACCCCGGCCTCAGATCTATCGACGCCGCTGATCATCTAGTGCCTGCCCAACCCATTCAGTCGGTAGAAGCCGATTCAGAGACTTGCATTCGACCTTTTGCTACATACCGCCACGCCGCGCCTTCAAACACTTTAATCAACGCTCCGTTGCAGTCACAATCTTCTTATCCATCCTTTCTCGGCACGCTGCCACCGACATTCTACCATAGCGCCTCGACGCCGACTCCGCCTCCCGACTCGCGGACGACCACTCAGTCCACGCCGTCACAATTGCTCTGCTCGCCGCCAACTCGACAATCTCTGTATCGCAGTCGCCCTGCGATCGAATGATTACCTGGCCGTCGCCCCTCTGATATCATCCTCTGACAATGCCGCAACGAGCTTCTGTGACCCCAGCCATATTTACGTACGGTATATTAATCTCGTCACCGGAGCATTAGCATCACACTCCCGATACAGCACACTTCCTCACAATGGCCCTCTGGCCGTTTCGCAGGAAGCCGGTGCATTCACCGTCGCGCACTCCCCACGATGACGGCGAAGACTCTCCAACGCTGAACCGCATTATTTCAATCCGCCACACCTCCAGCCGCCACAATCGCTCCAGCACCCCCGTACCTCGAGCCAGCGTCCGCAAAAAGCAGCGCCCTGAGCCCAACAAGCTCCAGAGACGCGTCAGAACCTATAGTTTCTCTCCCAACCGCCACGAAACAATTCGAGTCGACCCAAGGGGTCGGCCACAACAATGCCAACACCCTGAAGGCAATTCGCCCTGGAACCGCGCTCCAACCCTATATCTGAAGCGTGATCCCAATCACCCGCCTGTCGCAAGGCGTAAAAGTAGCAAGCGCCGTCATGAGGACCACGAGCGAGAGGCAGAAATCAAGGCCATGAGCCAGTATATGCCCAAAGTCCCTGCCGACCGCTTACATCCTGGCAGTGGCAAGTACAGCATCAAGAGGAGTAAAACCAGCCAACATTCCGACCAAGTTAGCAAGAGAACGTCGGATATCTCGCTCCCTCTACCGGACTCTCTGCAATCAAGCTTGTCTGGAGACTCCGACATGACCTCATACCAAGTTTCCATTTTTGATGCTCTCGCTCCCCGACCGACACTTCGTTATGGTACTGGCATCAAAAGGACACCCTCGCGCGCGTCCGCGTCGGTGTCCGCGCATCAAACCTCGCCCAAAGGACTGCTCTTGGAAGGCAATGCCATCTCAGAAGAGGTCATGCACCCCCGCAAACGCATCGATGACTTGGCCGATGATCTCGACGCCAAGGCGCTCCGCGAGCTGATGGACAGGGACACCAAGAGACGCGAGCGCGCTCGTACCCGAGAGCAGGCCAAAACGGAGAAGCGGATTGCCGATGCGGCCGAACGCCACAGACAAGACGCAGATGCTGCGAGAAAATCCGGATCGCCTTCTCCCTCCAACATGGAGCGTGGCGTTATGGGTCGTGAGCTTGTCGGCTTGGGTCTAGATCCTGCATCGGCGGTTGTCACTTCCTCTCGCCAGCGGACCTCTCAATATTCCGAGCCTGCGAAGGCTGACGAGTTGCAGACACCCCTTCAGGTATTTCACCGGGTCGATACTCTCCCTAAAGAAGATGTCGAGCATGAGACCGAAGTATCACCTGGGCATCCTGTGGCTCCGTCATTTGAGCAGGAAGAGCCTGTTTTAGCCGCGCCGACAGCTTCTCGCTTGTCAGGTCTATTGAGACCAAAAAAATCACGCTCCAAATCTACCCTCGGGTCCGAAAAGGACAAGCTTGCAGTCCCTAATGACGGCGACTATGCACGAAAGGGTTCTGAAGCGAGCATCGGCAAAGTGACTCGCCTGTCTATTTCGTCTTTATTGAAATGGAACAGCAGGAATAAGCGCGGCTCTGGCCCCTCATCATTCTCTAACACCTCGAGGGAGGAGATGCAGGCAGTGGCCTCGGCCCAAGCGCAAGCCGAGGCACTAGCCAAACTTCAGGGAGACGATTTTCGCAGCGGCTCTGCCGATAATCTGCGTAGTGGCAGCTCCCTGTCCGGCAACTACGTCGCTGGCAAACCCGGCGCTGGGCCGAAGCGCACGCGCTCGCGATTCCGCGAAGACCTCGACGACTTCCCAACTCCACCGGACTCACGCGTGCAGTCGCCCGACGCAGAACCCGCCGTGCCCGTCGTTCCCGACACAAAGTATGATCATGGCACTCAGCCCATTGCTATCCCAAGCCAGGGAACGCCGACCACATCTGGACAGCGTTCCGTTGAGAAGCTGCGAGAGAGAGCGTTGACGGAAGGCTCAGGAAGCTACACCGCACCTTCGCCAGAGCAGCATCTGTCCATGTCTCTCGCGTCGATTGATTCGGAAGGCTCCTGGCTTTCAGGTGGTGCTGGTATTCGGCGATCTGGCGCGATGAGAGACAGCCTCCTGCGCGCCAACCGCCAGGCTCAGCGCGATACCTCCCCGACTCGAAGTCTTGATGAGGATCTGGGAATCACCGAGGACGAATACATGACGCGCCTCACTCCCACCCACCAATCTCATGGAGCTTTCAATAGGCGCTCAGAGGAAGGTCGTCCAAGCAGTGACGAGGACGAGAGTGATTTGAAATGGGGTGCGGTCGGTGCCCGACCACAGTTTATTCATCGAGTCAACCGTGGAACGGTGCACAGCCAGCAAGCCCTAGTCAATATTGATTCTGCGGACGAGGAAAGCATCATCGAGGCCTCCACGTAGTGGCATCATCTACTGTGGCTGAGAGCATTTTCGGCGGGAGTTAACCGCCATCTTACACACGTCTATATCGAGACGCGACACGATTCTGGCACATCATTTCTTTTGTCTATCACAAAACTTCATTATTTCTAACTATCTTGGGGACCGGCCAAAAAAAAAAGAACCGAAAACCACCAACACACAAAAAAAGCCACCCGAAAACAGTCATCGAACGGTCCCAAGAAAAAAAACTTGAAACCCCAATACTAAAACCACGAAAAAAGATGAAAACATCCAAAACCCCCAGAATCGCTCTCTCTCGGCGTGTTGTCGCAGCATTGCCGCCAAAATACTCTCAGTCGCCGCAGGCCTCCCTACAGAGGACCGACATTGCCACGCAGACCCAACTCCACGCTTCGCTGCTTTATGTTGCTTTCCTGTACACATGATACCCGCTACTTGACAGGCGCAACGGGCTAGCACTTGCTTTGTGTTTAGTAAAGTATTTGTACTGTGCGCATCGGACAGGAGCCGTTTATGTTTTTTGTTGCTTTCTATGGAGTTGTTTATATGGCATAGCCTGGCTACTTATTTATCCCTTTGATCTTTTCAGGAATGCCTCCGTTGGATGTATTGCTGCTGAAAAGAGCTTGGGATGGATACAAAAGAATGGGATTGCTGCACATTTGTTTTGCTTCTTGGTCTTGAGGAGTCCTTTTCTCTCATATAGTCTACATATGTAGCCAGTCTTGGACTATGTGCTTGTTTTCTGAGGCGTTTTGAGTTTTTTTCTTTTTTTCTGGTTCTTGTTTTGGCATACAGAGAGCAACCATCTACGTTTTTATCTATACAGGGGTTTTAGTGTAGTTTTGTGCCATTCGTCTTGGCTCATAGGAATGAGTCGGCACGCATTTTGAAGAGAAATACAAACAAATTCTTTGCATATTCGCTTCCCTTTTGGTTGGGGAATGATGGGTGGAAGAATAGGGCATTAACCACAGGAGGGTCATGGCTCATGTCAAGTGGTGAATCGGCGATGCGGGGTTGCGAGGATGATCAGCACACAGCGTCGATGTGCACCGCAGCCAATATTGGGTTAGGTGTTGAGCAGCCACGTTTTGACAGAAAGTCATCAGACTAATAAGACTGGCCGGAATATCGTACCAAGGCCACCAGACGCCAATTTGAACCATGATGGCAAAAGTCGGGTTATCGGGTTCTCTGGTGCCAAACGGAGGAGAGCGAGGGCGCAGGGCTCCAGTTTTGGGCCACATGAGCGGCAGCCCAGCCAAGAAGCTGGTTGCTTTATTGAGTCAAGGTGGGAAGACTTTTGTGAGGCGCTTGGCCTATGACAACCCCGCCATTAGCACTCATTACAGGAGAAAAGTCCGTAGTACCGTAATATTGCTCCAGAGTAAAAATAAGGCCGCCCACATGCGGCCGTTCCCCCGGCTTTTACCGACTAGTTAACCCGGATGGGCGGGCGGCCACCACCAAACCTAACCTTCTACATCCATCCCAACAACCGTCAAAAGATACACGAGAACAAGCGAGACATTCTGCACTGCCGCAGTCTCTTCCCTGAAAGCTTGCTGAATTACACACGCGAACGAAACGGCAACGATCTTAGCCGGACGCGCGATAAGCCTCGGAGCCGAAAATAGCATCGACGACAAGGAGCACACGACGAGGAGGGCCATCGTAACCCGCCCATCGCATCTGCGTCAGCGACTCGGGGACGGCGGGATCATAGAGCGAGTCTCTTTTGATTCAAATCTCATCGCCTCCGTATTTATCGATAGCGGCACAGAGAGCGCCTAGCGCTGGTGCACGCGCCCAACGACGACGACGACGTCAACCGTCCCATCACCAGCTCGAACCCCGCTGAACACAACATCATCACACACATCCCCAACCATGCCTTCGCAACGCCCCTACTTTCTCTCCTCCTTCATCGCCGCTTTCCGCCAGCAGCCCCCTCCGTCCACCTCCACCCAGGGCGGCGGCAAGCAGCAACACAACACCAGCACATCATCACAGGCTCAACCGCAGTCCCAGCCACAACAACCACAAACGGCGGCGTCTGGCCCGACCTCGAGCGCCATCGCCGCCGCAGCCTCCGCGGCGGCGGCGGCGACTGCCAACCATCACCGCCACGGCGTGACGCTGCACTCGCCGCACAACCACCACCACCACCACCACGGGAACACGAGCGGCGGCGCGGTCGGCATACCCATTCCGAGCGGCGGCGGCCGTCGCCGCGGGAGCGACTCGAGCAGTGAGGGCTTTCGTGATGTGCTCGGCGCGGATAAGTGGTATATTGGTGGGCGCACGGCCACGGGCGAGGAAAAGTTCTTCAAGCTCGGCGTGGTCAGGCGGGTGCGCAGCAACGACGGCTTGAGCCTGGACCGCTTGAGTCTGTAGCGACTTGAGTGCACTGCGCGGGACGTTTGTGATGAATGACGACGGAACAATGACAAAAATTTGGAAACAAAACACCAAAAAACATGCTCTCTGCGGGAGGGGATGAGTACGTGGGGCGAGGGGCTGAAATCTCCGGAGACAACAACGGATGCCTTTTGCTAGGATCTTGATGACTGGATACGCCGAGAGTCTCACTCTCTCGACGGCGTTTAGGGCATGGCGTTTTGATTATTTGATCTATGGTATTGTTGAACACATACAGATGAGGTGATGCGCCGTCATTCACTTGGCCCTGGAAGCTCTCATAGCTTTATACACACACTTCACAAGAGTACAGCCCAAACGTCTCTACAAAAGACAAAAAATGAGCAAAGTATTATACATTAAAGCTACTCATACATCTACCACATGAACCGCTGCAAGTTTCCCCCCTCCAGCACCGTCCCGTCCTCGGCTCGCCACACGTACGGCTTGTACAGAAAGACGTAGCCTGTAGCGAGGTTGATAACCACGTGCCACGCGCTCTCCAGGAACAGGCGCAAGTCGTAGCTGGCGCTCCAGTGCGCCACCGCCTTGGCCGCCGGGCTGCCCTCGAGGATCCCGCCGCGCAGGTGGTCCTGAAGTCGCCACGCTGGCACCATGAGCCGCCAGACCACCCACGGAAGGATAAAGTAGCGCGGTTCGACGAGCGGCGCCGTGACGAGCGACAGTGCCGTCGCAAGCAGGAATATTAACCCCGTCGAGGTCGATACCGACTGTTGCGAGAGGTACAGGCTGTCCTGCTCGAGGCGCGCCTTGAGCGCGGCCTCGCTGGCCTGGCGGCTCTCAGCGGTCGAGGCACGTTCCGGGGGCCGCGGGTACGAGGTGCTGGTCTGCCGCCGGACCTTGGCCGAGGGCGGCGTCCAAAATGGGTGGCTGACAAACGCTGTGGGCTTGTCATTGCCCAACGACCAGCTGTTGTGCCCACCGAGCGCGTCCCAGACCACCCACCGACAGACCGTGTACGGCAGCGCGAGGGCGAGCCGGACGGCGCCGCCGCGGCGGATGGTATAGCGGAACACGTAAAACATGTAGTGCCGGTTGTCGGCGAGCGTAAAGGGGTGGATGATGGTGTTGAAGCGGACAACGGCGAGGGAGAGGACGGCCGTGGCGGCGAGGTACGCGGGCCACAGCACCTTGGAGTGGAAGAAGCGGAGGGTGGCGCGGAGGAGCCCGTCGGCGGCTGCGTCTGGTGTGGGAGAGGCGCGGGCGTGCGTGCGGAAGAAGGAGACAACCATGTTGAGAAAGGACAGGCCGGACGGGAGGAGGAGAGGGAGTGAGAAGAAGGCGAAAAAGGGCCAGATATAGAGCATCTGCGCGAGGTGAATGGTGGCGACGTGGTTGGACTTGTCACCGAGAACAACACTGCCGTTCCACTGCACAAAGGCGGCAAAGGAAGCGAGAACGGCGAGGTACGGCCAAATCTGTCTAACCACTCGCAGAGGGTTGCAGAGGGCTGCTATGCCGATGCTTAGAGCAGTAAATATCATGTCTGCACACATCAGTCTTGCTTTCTTTTAGAGCTCATTCAGTATGAAATGTACTCACCATCGGGATATGCCTTGTGGACAGGCAAGTCGTGAATGTCGCCCAACGAGTATCTCCAGGCAAAGTACCGGCACTGTGCCGCCAGCGTCGTCATCACCGGCTGGTCCACCCTCGCTGGCCGTAGCGTCTTGACCGCGTGCACCGCCTCCAAGCCGCCCATGAAGACGACGATCCAAAAGACATTCGTCTGGCGCATGCCCAGCGCCGCCACGCCGAGCGCCACGGTGCCGAGGTCGCTCCACACGGAGCTGCGCGGGACACCGACGCGCCTCAAATGGTTCAGAAAGGCGGCGAGCACCACCCCCGTCGATAGCACGTCGGTATAGTACAGCCCGCCGAAAAAGAAGAGCAGCGGGAAGAGGCCGATGTTGACGGCTGTGTGCACGGCGTACTGGGAAAAGGCGCGCACGCGCGCTGGCGTGGGGCTGCTGATGGCCTCATGCTGCCGCGCCTCGAGGGCCTGCCGGCACCACAGCGCCAGGTAGCTGACGACGAGGACGCCGGCAAAGTTGACGGCGCGGAGGCTAAACGGGTCGCAGACGCTGAGCTGCGGGATGCGGAGCGCGGAGGCGATTCTGTGCACCGCAACTGAGAAGAAGTATCTAGGGAACGGTGTTAGCAACTGCTGGACGAAGAGGACACAACTGGAAGTCTCTCCTACAGTCCAGGAGGGGTTGTAATCTTGTCATCCCAGTCAAAAAACCGTCCCTCACAGTACTTTTGTGCCTGCGGGATGTGAAAGATTTCGTCCTTGGAAAGGTTAGTTACCAGCTTGCATTGTCAAACAAGGGGTCGTGTGGTGCGTTTGCACGTACAAGATAGGGCTCCGGCACCACTCTCGACACCAGCATGAACCACAGCTGCGCCGCGCAGGTCAAAAGGATCGGTAGACGGACGCCCCAGCGCGGCAGGTTGCTGCCACCCACGGCACCGGGGAGGCCGTTGAAGAAGACGGTCATCAGGGCAGGCAGCAGCGCGCCGACCACGAGGGCGACGGTGCTCCGAACTTCCTCCTCCGCCATGGCGCATTCATCTAGGGGCTGTGGTGAGAATGGGAACCAAGGGTCAAAATAATAAGAAACGGCGGCTTTTAGGGATGAGAAAACGGGAACGGCCCGAGGTTAGCTTGATTGGGAGCTTTGAAGCTCGGTAGTTGAGCTGCCTGGTTAGGCAGTGACAGTGTCGTGGCAGATCCACACTGTACACGATCGTTGAAGATGCATCTGTACTTCAACTTGACTGAGCCATACTACCCTCATTTGGGCAGTAAACGTTTCCGAAAAAAAAAAGACGCGACATGGAGTTGATTTTACAGCCGAGTACGCTTTTAGTTACTTGGTGTAAATGTCTATTTTGAATGATATCTATACAAAGGGTACTAGGTAGCTCCATGCGTTGCATAGACGTTGATACAGGTCCATCTGGAAGTGCGACTTTGCGCTTAGAAGGGCTACATGACGTGTTAGCATCGAGATACTCTGTATATCGAGTGCGGCAAGCAAACTCACGTTGTCCTGAGGGTGAACCTCCTTGGTGTAGAACCGGGCCATGCCGGGAATCTTCTGCATGGTTGTTAGCCCGCCGTCGCCCTGGGCCTGTCTCATGGAGAGCATATCTTACATCGAGGATATCACGCTGAATGCGGGGAATGCCAGAGGTGAAGAGGAGAGCAGCGACAACAGCACCGCCGCCGAACAGGGATAGACGGAAAGTACTGGGCCAGATGTTAGCCAGGGTTCGCATGCCGCACCGCATCACGATGCCCGTGGGCGATTGCTTTGTTCGAATGCAAGCTGACTCCCAACACCACACAAATCCAGATCTTCGGTACGCAGTCCGGCTCCCGGTTCTCGGTTCCCTGTAGTTGCGATACAGGAGTCATATATCGCTTGTCGAAGTTGCTCCCGTCACCGATGTCGTCTGCCTCCACACAAATAGAAATTTATACTTACGAACGGAAGATAGTCTGGCCGGACCAGCCTCTGAAGTTGGGCTGGTACTGGTATCTGAAAGCGAGCCGTCAGTATATCCGTCTCATCGCACATCCCTCAACTACACCGTAGAATCGTCGTCGAGATCGAGGCGGATCGAAACAGGCGGCTCCGTATGCAGGGGTGACTCAATCGGAGGTCGGTATGCGGCGGCGGGAAACGTACTTGGGGCCGTAGGCGCTCTTGAACTCGGCGCGGCGGAAAGGAGTCTGTCAGAGTCGAACATTAGCAAGGCGATCAGAAAGGAATTGCCGACAGCCCCGTAGCTTGCAGCTACCAGTCCCGGCAACCAGTGGACCAATTTACATACAGCGGAGACCATCTTGACTAGAATTGGGGGCTAATGTCGCGATTTCTGCTTCAATTGACAATTGTCGAGGATATCGTCGAAAAGGACGGAGGCTGCGTGAGTTTGTTGCCGGGAAAGGCCGACTTAGTGGCCTCAGGTTTAGACTGGTTCGAGGCGGTCCGCCAATCAGAAGTAACAATCATGACCCACTCCGTCTTCGCCTTGTGTCCAGCGCCTATCAGCGCCGCGACGGCCCATTTTCTCCAAGTTACCAAGTTCCTTCATTAGTGCAGCTTCCAGCGCGACAACCAAGTACCAGAACCTTTGGGTGATGTGGTGCTGCCGCACTCATATATCTTCAAGAGCTGCCTTCAGTACATTCTGTGATGGATACGTTCATTGATGGGCGCTTCGAGCGCCTGGAAAAGGCACTCGCGGGCCTCATCGACTCCGTCACCAAGTACCATCCTTCGATGATCCAGGCTGAGGAGCTCGTAGCTGCGGATGCAGAACTCGCAAAGGGTCTTGAGCAAGGTACCTATGACCAAGAACCGTGGCGCAGTGGCAAACTCTTGATAAATCTTATGCGCTGCGCCTGAAGAGATTTCACTGACGTTTTGTACGACAGTGCAAGCCCACCAAAACAACTACGTGAGAATACTCGAATTACGGCAAGCGTCGGCTAGCCTCGACACGCAAATACGCGACACCTTAACAAGTCTCGCCAACGCTCGCCGAGATATTGTCAACACCCCTACTACAAAATTTCCGTCCGGCCCCAATTACCCCATCGCTTATTCAGAACTACTCAGCTATGCGCGGCGCATCAGCAAGATGACAATGCCGCCGGCGGCCACGATAAACGCATCGGTTGCTCCTTCTGGCTTGCAAAGCCCTACCGCTGGTGAATCATCACAGGCTGTCACACCCGCGGCGACGACCCCCGCGGCCGGCGCGACACCAGCTACCAGTACACCACTACCAACGCAAAGCCCCGCCGCTCTCAATGGCGTAGGCGGTGCGCATGGCGCCGGCGCACAGCAGTCTCAACAGGTGCAGGGAAGCTCCTCGGGGCCCTCACTGCTGACGAGCCTACCCGAGCCCATGACGCAGTGGCTGAACCCGCTCTCAGGGCAGGTCTTCTTCCCATGGCCGCAAGAGGACAAGATTCGATCCGGATCGCTCGCGGCCAACCAGATCCTCGTCGAGGCAGGCATCAATCCGCGGGGGTACGACCCCGTCGCGGAGGAAGAGCGCAAGAAGAAGGAGGAGGCAGAACGCAAGGAGCGCGAAGAGCAAGAGGCACGAGAGCAGGAGGAACGCGACAGAATCTTGCGCGAGGAGAGAGAAAGAGTGCGGCAGGAGCGTGAGCGCCAGAGGGAAAAGGAGCAAGAAGAATGGCGCAGGGCGAGCGTTGCCGCGGGCACGGCAGACGCACCAGGCAGTGCGCTGCCCAAGGGTCCCGAGAAGAAGCAGTTCCAGTTCACAAATTTGGACGATCTGGATGATGACGATGACGATGACTAGCGAATGACTGCATTTTTACACCTTTCACCATAAAAGCGAGCGGTCATAGCCATGGATGCCGACAGCACAGGCAACAGGAAAACTGGCTTCTGTATTTTACAATCTAATAGTAGATGAAGAACTTCATGTAACAATCGTCAATGCCGCTCTGGCCTTCATCATGATATGTTACCTAGTTTGGGCCTACAGCACCGTTTCTCTTTCCCCCTCTACGCAGGCGACTGCATTACTCCCTCCCACGAACGCTTAGTCAATCTTGATGGACTTGTAGATTCTCATGACGAACCACCAGCTAGCGAAGTATCCAATAGAACCTATATATTGTCAGCTTTTTGTCTCGTGCGGGGTCGGGGTTCAACAGGTCAACTTACCAGCGAGGATGAAGAAAAGAAACGAAATGAGGGCGCTGTAGCCAACATACAAGACAGTGCCAGCAAACCCGCCGAGCTTCACCTTGGTTATGAGGTACAGCAGGCAGTTAAGGAAGATGTAGCCGCCGCTCATGCCCGCAGCCAGGAACGAGCGCCACTGCCAGTGGTAGTTTTCAGAGCAGAGGAGGAAGTAGGTCAATAGGATCGTTACCGTGGCGCAGACAACCACCATCAATGAGTAGCAGAGGAACAGGAAGCCAAACATGTAGTAGACCCGGCTGAACCAGATCGAGTTCATGATAAAGTACAGCTCGACAAAGATGGCGCCAAACGGCAGCAGACCGACAATGAGCATGCTGGGAATGGGCTTGAGGTACGTCGTCGAGGGTGGGATCTGACGCGGGATCTGGTTCGTGCGGACGGGTGCCTCGATCTTGGCGCTACGAAAGCCGAGCCAAGAGCCAACGACAGACAAGGGAATGGAAATAATGAACCAGATTGCCAACAGCACCAGCATCGTCGTAAAGGGCACGGCGCCGGACGACTGCTTGGCCCACAGGAACAGGTCTAGGAGGAAAAAGGTACCAAAGACAATGGCAGGCACGAGGAGCGGCGTCAAGCCAATGTTCATCTTCCACTGGTCGCCTCCCATGGCCTTGTACACACGCGCGGATACGTAGCCACCCACGGAGCCGAGAATGGTGTAGAGCAGAATCATAATGGTGCCGAGAGAGCCGCGGTTGGAAGGCGAGAGGAAGCCCAACAGCGCAAAGACAATGGTACTGGCAGTCATGACGAAGATCTGGACACCGTTTCCTAGCAGGACCGAAAGCAAAAGAGGGTGCGACGGGTTGCGGAAGACGTCACCGTGAACGAGTTTCCAACCCGAGTCTTCCTGCACGCCTTCCTCCAGCACAGAAGTGCCACTCAGATCCTCCAGGTTGATCTGGTCCAGACGGTTGTAGCGCGCAATGTCCTTCTTGAGCGTGCGTACAAGGACGGACATGACCGTCATCACCAGGATGACGACAATGATGGCCGTGTCGATGAGCCAGAACCAGTGGATCTTGGGGTCAAAGACATGCAAGTACTTGTCCCATCGCGTCGCCCATGCGGTCGGGGACTTTTCCCAGAAGACGCTGTAGCTGTACTTGACCTTTTGCGTGCCCGTTTCGGGAAGGATCAGGTAGGGGTGGCCGTCCTTGCAGTCGACCTCGCCTGTGTACTTTTTAGAGCTGGGCTCGACGCGCACACCGACCACACGCAGCTGGTTCGCGTTGCCGCCGACCTCGTGATACTCGACAAAGATGTCGTAGTGGTTGTTGAGGACAATGTTGTCGGCCTCGTCCATACCGCCAAGAAAGAAGCCGGGGCTGTAAAAGGAGGTGCCCGTGAGGCGGTCCTCAATCTTCTGGCCGGCCGGCAGGCCGTCGACAAGCCAGTTCAGGCTGTAGCCCTCATCGATGCGCTCTCGCAGAAATTCGACCGAGTTCTCCGGGTAATCGACCTCGCACAGCGCCTTGCACGTCTCCTCCTTCTTCATCGACAGCTCAAAGGGGGACGTCATGATGCGGTCGCCAAAGAGGATGCTGCCGAGGCTCTCCGACACGTACTCAGGGCCCTTGTCGGGCCTGCAGAAGCCGAAGCCGGGGTGGTAGTACTCGAAGGAGACGACCGAGTGCAGGCGCGCGTCCTGCGGGCCGGCGATGGGCTTGATGCTGTTGACGTGGAGAGGCACCTTGTCGCCCTCCTTGTATGACGTCGGGGCGACGCCGGGCAGGTAGAACGCGGATGCGAGCTGCGGCGCGGCGAGCAGGGTCGCCAGCAGCGCCGAGGGCGCGGCTGTTGTGAAATGCATTGTCGTTTTGGTTCGTTGGTTTATATCATGTCAAGGCGCGTCGTCGGGGACAGGTGTATGCGCCGGGCGGCGTACGCTCGAGGCGAGGCTATCCACAGGGGAAACGTGTCCAGGAACGCTTTCGAAGCTGAGTTCGGGTATGCTCGCGAAATGAACAACAATTCGGGAAGATGACCGGCTCCTCGGGAAAAAAATCCCTAGTTGACAGGAAGTCGTAGCGCGACAAGGCAAGGAGGTTAAAATAAGGGAGCTTGGTAGGCTAGCAAAAAGTGACCAAGTGGTTTACTTATGCGACGTAGGATTCCATGCCAATAGCCCAAGGACAAGTAGACAAGCTAGGAACGCTTACATAAGGAACAGGGTCTTAGGTCTTACAAGTTGCGGTATCAGTGCACAGGAACTGTGCAACGGCATTTCAAAAGTAATTGTAGAAGAGGATATAATTCGAGATCAGAATATAACCAAAGCTTCCCATTGTCTACTGTTTACAATTTGACCGAAATAATATAGGTTCGCTTCAAAGGCGCATGATAGTTACTTGGATTAATGACCTGGGCTGACCCGCTCCCGTGGCCCCGCTAAAAAGTTTCGAGAAGGGTTCTTGCTCGCAAAAAAATCGAGACTGACTTGCGCCCAGCTCCTTCAACGGTCAAACTTCACATATCATGGCAGCCCCGGCAACTCTTTCTGCCCTTCTGGAGCAGCTAACACAGTCCCTATCGTTAACTCAGGAGGCTACACCCGCTCTGTCCACAATCGAGCATCCTAAAGATGGAATCTCACTACTAGATGTGAAGAACGAGGTGCTTCTGTCTTACCTAGAGAACCTCGTTTTCCTCATTCTGCTCAAAATCCGAAATAACAAGAACCCGAATAGCACGCAAAAAGACGACAAGCTGGACGAACAAGTCCGATCAAAACTTGTTGAGTTACGGTTGTACCTAGAAAAGGGTGCCCGCCCGCTGGAGGAGAAGCTCAGATTTTCGATTGAAAGATTTCTTCGCACCGCGGATGATGCTCAGCGCGAGGAGCAACTGAAGGACTTACAGAAGAATGAAAAGACAGGCTCTGAAAGCGACGAAGACGAGTCGGGCTCCGGATCAGACGACGAGGATGAAGAATCAGAAGCCGAGCAGCAAAAGCCCCAGAGTACTATACGAGGAAAACAATCTGCCGTCCCCAAATTCGGTAATTTGGTGGATGATGTAACTGCGCGGCCTACGCAACGAGACGGCGCTCCGTCTGGAGTCTACCAACCGCCCAAGAGAGATCGCCAAGTCATGGATACCGGCGCGCGCAGAGAAAAGGTCGATCGCCGGCCCAACAGGTCACGAACCATGGAAGAGTTTGTCAACATGGAACTCTCAGCCGCCCCCATGGCTGAGCCCAGTATCGGTACCACAATTGTGCAGGGCGGCCGCAAGACGAAGACGACGGCCGATCGCGAGGCTGAAGCGGAGCGCCGCGAGTACGAAGAGACCAACTACACACGTCTACCAAAGGAAAGCAAAAAGGACAAGGCAAAGAAGGCTAGCCAAGACGGTAGCAGCCGTCGCATGCAGTTTGGTGGCGAGGAGTGGCATAACCTGGGCGAAGGCGTTGATCGCATTGATCGCCTCACCAAGCGCAAAGAGGGAGGCAAGGGCGCCAACGTCCGCGCAATGCTGGACAAGAGCCGCAAGCGTGATCGCGAAACAACAGATGGGCCCAGAGGTAGCGGACACGCGGGCGGACACGAGATTGGTGAGAGATTTAATAAAAAGGTCAAAATGTTGGAGGCGGGCCGCAAGAGCAGAGGGAAAAACAGGTAGAAGCCACATACTTTTGAAGCGATTGAATATATTCCATGCTCAACGTCAACCCGCGTCATACTATGTGGAATCAATTGTTCTTGGTGCTGAGTAGGCTCATTCCTCTTGTTTATATAGATCCTGATTTATAATAGACGTGACAGCTGATTTTATAGCCATGTGGAAGGTTCGAGGACGCTGAGATGGAACACCCGCATTAACGCATAGCCTCGCTAAAGGGGGGACCCCTCCATTCAATGTTAGGCAGGTTTCAATCTTGACGTGGAAAAGACAGGTCCGAACTTGGACAAAATAGGGAAAATTACGTCTTATAGAAAACAATACGTGCAGAAAACATTCTTTGACCTTCTCGCATGACATTCCGCCCCCGCCCTCCAGTGCCGCCTTGACAATTATGTACCTAAGCGAAACTTGTCGAGCAGCGGGCACGTCAATTTTGTAGAAACACCCCGCCATCGCTCCCAGTTCTTCTGACTCACCCCACCATCCGATTGCGACTTTGCAGATAAACCCGCCGTTGATCCGCCTTGTCAAGTCCCTGCCGGTTCAATTTTGTGGTGATACTACGCTCCTTCATTATCTAGAATTCTCCCGTTTTTTAAAGCTCCATCGCATTGTCCCCACGCCGAAAACGGCAGCCTCGAAAATGGCAAGCGCCACCACGCCCATCCTTCCCGCTGAGGGCAAGCGCAACGTCTTGATCACCAGCGCTCTCCCCTACTCCAACAACCTGCCACACTTGGGCAACGTCATTGGCAGTGTTCTGTCAGCCGACTTGTACGCCCGATACTGCAGAGCCAGAGGATACCAGACTCTGTACGTTTGCGGCACTGTAAGTAGCGTCCAGTCGGCATCGCATGCTCACGAGAGCCCCCGTTGACATCATTTTCAGGATCAATACGGCACCGCTACCGAAACAAAGGCCCTCGAGGAAGGCACCGACCCTGCTTCCCTTTGCGCCAAGTACCATGCCCTTCACAAGTCCATCTACGACTGGTTCCGCATTGATTTCGATATTTTCGACAAGACGCCGACGCAACACCAGACCGACATCGTACAAGACATCTTTACCAAGCTTTGGAAGAATGGCTACATTTACGAAGATGAGACCATTCAGCCGTTTTGTCCCGTAGAGTCCCACAATACTTTCCTTGCCGACCGTTTCGTCGAGGGCGAATGCTCCATCTGTGGTGACAAGGGCGCCCGTGGCGACCAGTGCGACGCCTGCGGCTCTATTCTCGATCCTCTCAAGCCCGAAGAAACGGGAGCCGTCGACGGAGACGCGGCCATTGAAGTCAAGGCTACCGGCTGGCTGGTCAACCCCCGCTGCAAGGTCGACGGCACAGCTCCCGAAGCCCGCAAGACGAAGCACCTTTATCTGAAGCTCGATGACATCTCGGAGGAGCTGAAAGCTTGGTACAAGACCACCGCCGATAACGGCTGGAGCACAAACGCCAAAGCCATTACCCAATCTTGGATTGACAAGGGTCTCAAGCCTCGTGCCATCTCCCGAGATCTGAAGTGGGGTGTCCCAATCCCTGCTGTAGAAGGCTTAAACGTTGAAGACTATGCTCGCAAGGTCTTTTACGTCTGGTTCGATGCCTGCATTGGCTACATATCCATCACCAAGACTTATACTGATGGTGACAACCGAGACGGCAAGAACTGGGAGAAGTGGTGGAAGAACCCCGAGAACGTCGAGCTTATGCAATTCCAGGGTAAGGATAACGTTGGTTTCCACAGCATCGTTTTCCCTTCTTCTTTGCTTGGTACCAAGGAGAACTGGACCAAGGTAACCAGAATCTCCGCTACGGAGTACCTCAACTACGAACAGGGGAAGTTCTCCAAGTCTCGCGGTATCGGCGTGTTTGGCAACAACGCCAAGGATACTGGCATTGACCCTGACATCTGGCGATTCTATCTGCTCTCTCGCCGTCCCGAACTGGCAGATTCGGAATTCAAGTGGGAAGAATTCATTGATGTCAACAACAACGAATTGCTCAAGAATGTTGGCAATTTCATCCAGCGTACCCTGAAATTCTGTGTGGCTAAGATGGATAGCACTGTCCCCGCCGCTACCGTCAGCAACGATGTTATCGAGTCGCACAAGCAGTCAGCTAATCAGATACTTGCCTCATACATTGAACATCAGGAGGCCAACAAGATGCGCATTGGTATTTCCGATATTCTCACCTTTTCAGCTCTCGGAAACAAGTTCCTTCAGGACAATGGCTTGAACAACAAGCTCTTGGCTGAGGAACCGGAACTTTGCAACACAGTTATCAATGTTGCCATCAACCATGTGCACCTCTTGGCCGGCCTGCTCTACCCTTATATGCCCACTACGGCTGAATCCATCTTCCAGCAGCTTGGTCAGGAGCCAAACCCATTCATTCCCGATGTCTTTGGCTTTACCGCCGTCCCTGTTGGTCACAAGATTGGCACCCCTGGTCCTCTCTTCTCCGTCATTCCTGCTGCCAAGCTCGATGAGTGGCGCGATGCCTACGGTGGCGCAGAGCTGAAGAAACAAAAGGCCATTGAGGCGGAGAAGGCCGCGGCGAAGAAGGCGAAGAAGCTTGCTGATAAGGAGAAGAAGAAGGCCAAGAAGGCTGAGACCGCAGATTTGAAGACGGAAGGTGCTTCCACTGCTGCGGATATTTCGAAGCTATCTTTGGAGGAAAAGAAATAAATGTGAACCGTTGTAGATTAATGATAGAAATGATGTGGAATGGAGTCTAGGGGTGATGAGGAGTTTCAACCATAGCGTGGTAGGGCAGAGTTATATCCAATGTCAGGAGGCAATTAAATGACTACCTGAGTATGCTTTTTGATTTATAAATCCGGTGCATTTCTTTATTGACGCGAAAGTTCGTGGCAATGCAAGGTGATGGCATTACTGAGGTAGTCAGTGCATTTCCAACGGCTTTGTACCCCACCATAGAGCGCGGTACCCCACCATAAAGTTGTGTCCTGCCAAAACTTTTTGACTCGACTTTCATTCAGCAAGCTCTTTCCATTTACACAAGCACTCGCCAATGAAGAAATTTTGAAACATCGGCTACCATATAACTAAGACATATAAATCCTACTGTCAAATCATCCCGCATCGAAACGTACGTTCGAGGGCGTAACCTCGCCTGCGCCGGCCCGTGATGAGCACCTCACCCAGCGACGGCACCGTCGACGTCGACCTTCCCGACGCGCCCACCGCGCCCTTCCCCCTCCACAGCGACACTCACACCGCCAACCATGTCGAAAACGACGAAGACGATGACCCCATAACCGCATCGTACCCCGTGTTCCTCAACCCTGCGCTGCCGCTGGGCCGGCGTCTGCTGGTGCTGCAGCATCCGAACCGGACCGACGACCACGGCGCGCGAGCGCCGCCATCGGAGCTGCGGCTCAAGGCCGAGTCGGGCATGGTCGAGGTGGACATGCCGCTCGACTACAACGAGGCGTACGACCGCGACAAGGGTCTGCGCTGGGGCCGCACCCTGCAGACGTCGATGGCGGCCAAGAATGGCGGCAGCCACGGCCTCGCAGGCGGCTTCGGCTTCGGCGCCGTGCAGCAGCGCGGTGCGGGTGCGGGTGCTGGTGGTGCGAGAAAAAGAAACGAGGTGGACGCCGAGGACCTGATTGACTGGAACGAGGCGGTCCGGCAAGACAAGGTCCTCAGAACGCAGACCCTGGGCGGGCAGTACCCGGACGCGGACGAAGTACAGTACATGGTTGGCGTGTTTCAAGGCAGTTAGTGTCGCCCAAATAACACAACGAGTTTTTGTCATGTTGATTGCTGACCTGTTTCCTCAGATGACCTGCACCTGACGCCCGTCTCGTCCCTCGTGCACCTCCGTCCGCAGCTGCACCACCTCGACGCCGCGACGCAGCAGGAGCGCCAGGCCGCGGCCAAGGAGGCCGGTGCCGCCGCCGCCTCCAGTTCCGGTGGCGCCACCGCCGGCCCCGGCGCCACAGGCAACCCCGCCGCGCGCGCCATCCACATGAGCATCAAGACGACGGCGGACGGCGAGACGGTCACGACGGAGACTATTGCCGACCGCCTGCGGTTCGTCCAAGGCGAGGCCTGGCGCAAGCTACGCTATACGGACGAGAACGAAGAGGCCGCGTGGGAGGTGTACAACGAGAGCCTCTTCCTGAGCGCCTCCGAAGCACGAGCACCACCACCGGGTAGCGAGAAGAAGAAGAAGACGGGCAGCAACGAAGAGGAACTGCCGTACCGGTCGTTGCAAGGCGCCGTGGCCACGTTTGCGTCCAAGTGGGAGAGTGGCCAGCTTCTCGAGGCCGTCAGCGGCATGAAGAAGCCGCCGCCCGTCGTCGTCGTGCCCGCGGCGGTCAAAAAGGCAAAGGCGGCGGCCGAGGCAGAGGCCAAGGCCAAGGATGTCGAGGAGAAGAGGAAGGCGGCCGAGGCGCAGATGGCGGCGACGGCGACGGCAGCAGCGGCGGCGGAAGAGACGAGGCGGCCCAAGAGAGCTCCTAGAGGAGGCGGCGGGCTCGGCACGGCTAAGCGTCCAAGTAGGGCAAAGTAAGGTATTGGCTGCAAGATGGGTCGAGCCTTTGTATATAGTCGTCTTTCCAGTCTGGGATAGCGAGATTACAACATTTGCATATATAAAGACATGAAGAATATTCTACTTTGCCGACCTATTACAGTGAAAGGGCATGCGGGAGCAAGCCTGTTGCTTAAACTTGTTTTTATTTCCTGTTCCCATTTTACAGCTGTTTTTTTTTGTTGGCAGAATGATGTAAAGCAAAAAAAAGATAAACAAAACAAGGAATGTTGAGAAAATGCTATTGCGGTAGACAATACATGTTCGCTCAAGCTTTTTGTCCCCGATGAGCTGAAGCACTCTTGTTCTTGTCCGCCTGCACCATATCTCTGCTTCAGCTTTCCAGTTTTATCTTTGCAACCTAGCCCATATTATACATTCTGCAGAAAAAGAATGAAAACATTACGCTTGATTCAGTCTCCCATGTATTAAAACAAAAGACGCAGAAAGCATACGCAAGATACGCAAGACCAAAACCAAGAGAATAATAAGCAGCCGAATAAATGATATAGCCAACACGTGAACATGTCCTTTCGCCCTTCACCAGCCAAAACATCTCGCCAATATCTGCATGTTCATCAAGAAAGCACATGTCGTCATGACGGCCGTATGCTTCGTAAAAGAAATGCGGGACAAATAGATGTAGATGTAATAAAAATAGACGAATTCCTTTCAGGCCCCAAACTGTGCTCCCTCCTATTGGATCCCAAGCTTTTAGATGACATTCGCTGTGCGTCGAAGCATTGTACAGAACCGTGTATGTGTAAAAACAGATTAGGACAGGTCTTGCCAATTTACTGCAAGAGTTCCACATCAAGGCCAATGGCTCTCATGAATAGATTGACACTGGCCAGGCGTTCTGTGGCCATGGCCGGTGGTAGAGTCTTGGACAAAGTGACGGTGTCGAGAACACGGTCTTTGACGGCCAGGACCAAGCGTGTCTGTTGGTCGTGATTCGCGCTGACGCCCATGGCAGCGAGGAATTGCCAGACATAGACATCGATACCGGCGTTGACGCTGCCGGGGAACATGTGAGGGAGCGAGGGCTCTAGCCGGCTGAAGAGAATATCAAAAGTTTGTTCCCACTTCTGCCACTGCTCAGGGTTGCCAGCACCAGTCTGCTTCAGAAGAACAGTTCGGCTTAGGATTAAAGTGAGCATTGAAAGACCAATGCGAGTTTTTGCAATCAGGTCCAGGTTCAGCTTAGTGGCAATCAAGTTCAGGACCCCATCAACAATGTCCAGACCAGTGTCGTTGAAGTATTGCATGAGCGATGGCATGACGGTTGATAGGAAGAGCTCAATATTTTCACGCATTCTCGAGTTGAGCGTGGTATCATCGTCAGTAACGGCGGCACCTTGAACCACGTCAAGCTGATCAAGGTGATACACAATCATTGTCAAAATGGTAGTGCGCTGCTCGAAGTTAAGGTGGGGGAATATGCGAGGAATGGCCTTCTTGCCCTTGGCACAAGACAAGAAAGCTATGAACGGGTGAGGCACAGTGGCGCCGATGGGCTCATGAACTTTGAGCTCGTTCCAGAGCTGGGCATTTAGAGCCTCGAGCTCTGCGGCCCATTCGCGGTGCTTCTCCTCCAGCGCATGGTCGACCGGGCCAGCCATGGGAGGTGGGATGGCTCTGACCTGGTCTTCGAGTTTCATGAGAGTGTCATAGACACGCTCAACGTTGCGCAGTATAGCTCTGCGATCAGGTCCGGTAGTGGCGCTTCGTGCGGTGGCAGGACGAGGAGACTCGGCCTCCTTTCGCTGAATGTTGAGAAGGGGCTTGGGAGTCTTGGCGTTACTGAACGAGATTTTACCGAGACTGCCAGCAATTACCAGCTGGGGGTTCTTGGGCTTGTTCTTGGCCGCCTCGACAGCTCTCTGCACCTGCTGTTCCATACGCTGAATGTGGTTCTCAGCAGGGCGGCCGTGGCGACGTGGTCCATGACGGCTGCCAGTCTGGAACAGATAGGTCTGAGCAAAGTTGCTGAGGGGTTGACTAGGGTTCTGTCTCTGGCCGGCACGGATGTGGCTGTAAACCTGGTAGTAAAAGTCTTCGGCAATGGAAGTGTCGCCCGTCTGCTCTGCAGGATTGCCGGTGGCAGCTATGAGCTGCTGCAGCTGAATTCGCGTGATGAAGTTCTTGTCCTGAGGGGTCATTACGCCATTGTCCTTGGACAAAAGCCAAATCTTGTGGTTACGCTTGGCACGTTTGGTTTCCTGATCTAGGAAAGCCGCTTTTTCCTCTTCGGACATGCCGGACAGTTGAGGGTGGTTGTGCAAGTGATGCATAGGACCAGCACCACTTGGAGTTCTTCCATGATGCTGACCAGCTTGACCAGCGAAAGCGCCGCGCTGAGCATCGCCGGAGAGCCTGTTTGGGTTCTGCAATATTTGGGTCGGGTGAGCGTGCTGGCGCAAGAACTGTTCCTCAGTAAGGACTTGGCGCTGATGAGGCTCCTGTCCAGATTGAGGACGCTGAAGGATGGTGACGGGGTGACCTTGGGCAGGGCCTTGCTGAGAATACTGTCCCTGGTGAGCAGGCATCTGCTGGTGTCCTGGGTAGTAGCCTGCATTCACTTGAGGTTGGGCTGGGCTGGACTGCTGGGCAGGCTGCTGGGCAGGCTGCTGGGCTGCCGTGGCTGCCTTGGGCTCAGATCGCATGGCTGCCTCAACCTCCTCCAAACTCATCATCTTGCGACTCTTTGATTGCGCTTCGGGAGCAGCGGCAGCCTTGGAAGCGCCGATGCCCCAGATGCTTTGGTCGACATGGAGATCGGGGATGGGTTCTGTTGCGCGATACTTTTCGTAGCCAGTGCGAGCAGGAGCTTGATGATATTGCTGTTGTTGATAGTGGTGCTGCTGGTGCTGCTGGTGCTGCTGAGGCTGCTGAGGCTGCTGAGGCTGCTGATGCTGCTGGGGAGCATTGTAGGGATCGGTAGGAGGTTGGGCGGTATATCCCTGAGGGGCATTCGACTTGGCGACGGGTTGCTGGCGGTTGAATCGAAGGTGCTCCTCCTCGATTGCATCGGCAACCTTGGCAGTCTGACCGAAGAAGTCAAAATCCTTGCCAACCTTGGAGGTTTTGACTACATCACCGCCACCGCTTCCACCGCCAAACGTATCGTCGTTGAAGGCGTCATCTGCATCGTCAAGCTTGTCGCCAAGACCGTCGTAGGTATCCTCGAAGTCAAGGGCGTCGTCGGCGCCGGTATTACCGCCTGAGAGGGCAGCAAAGGGGTCGTGCGCTTGGGAGAAGCCCGGAGCAGCAGCGTTGTGGCCACCTGTGTCGAAACTGAAGAAAGACATTGTTGCTCTAGTGTATTATGGTCAACGTAGAGTGTACTGAGAAGCAGCGTTAGCTATGAGTTGTCGTCGTAGCGCTACTGGGCAAGCCGGCTCTGCGCCGAGACCCGACGAAGAGAAGCTGGGCACGCTTCCACATTTTATACAGTGGCGTCATCGGGTCAGTGTCGTGATGGAGAACGTACCACTAGGAGTTGTTGCGAAAAGGACAGCTGAGGCAGAGACGCACAAATCTGTCATGGTGTGTGATGGCAACCAAAATAGAGAGGGCGGCGTCGCCAACAGCTGCGAGGCACTATGAAATACAGCGCAGGGGAGAAGAAGCTCCGGAACGAAGCAAAGCACAGGTTGTAAAGATCGGAGAACAAGGGAACTCTTCTAAGGTGAGGATGCAGGGAGCAGCAAAGCTGGTGGGAAGGTGAGGGAGGAACTGACGAGGTGCGAGCCTCCCCCACTCTCGGCTGCGGAGGACCAGCGAGAGAAGTCACGTGATGGAAAACCGCTGGATGTACTTCTGCAGATGAGAACGCAATTCTATCAAAAGAATGAGTTACATCTTGAATGAATTGGTATATCTGGGTAGTCTAACTTTTGGAAGATCTCCATACCTTGTAAGGGCGTGCCGTGAAGGCTGATTTGGTGGTCTGCCAGTTGTGGCCCCGAGTGACTACATGGCCACATCGCGTAAGACTGCTATTGTTCCAGCGGACCCGCCTGGCTGTTCTACCTAGTAGAACTTGCAACATATTCATGTCCATATTCATATTTTCTTTTCCTTTCCTGAGTTTCCAGGCATTGCCAGCAAAGGTATGTCCTAGGTACCTAGTTGCCAGACTAGGTACTCATCAGTAGCAACCAAAATTAACATGAGCACAACAGCGCTTATCCGGCTCAAGTTCAGTTGTCAATGTCACCACATTAAAGTATAAGCAAAGGGTAGTTGTTCATTTCTGAGATACCCTGTAATATAAATAACATTAGCTGTTTCGTCTAATCGATCCATATCTCGGCATAAGCTTGCACCGTAGTGTTCGAAATAGCAACACGAGGAGGCGATAGAGGTGATAGACAACCTGGTTGATGTGGACTTGGCGCCTTTGCCGGTAGCCGTGTGGCGCCGTTGCGACACGGGATGACACGATTGTAGTTACAACCACCTGCATTTGGCAACTCGGGACAAGTTCATTTCGCAAGTATTACAGTTCCTTTTATTATTGTAATCCCTCCCCCGCCAAGCTGTGCCGAGCATCCGCTGAACGCGCCATTGTGACCGACCAGTAAAAAGGCCCTATTCACACACTGATCCTGGCGAGCTGCCCACCATCGTCCCTGAAAGCTCCCCGCTGTAGGTGCCCCACTACTCAATGCAGCCAATTGTTGGAACAGGTACCTTATTAGCAGGTACCTACTGTAGTTACAGTGCTACCTACCTAGTTAGTACTAACAGTACCATGTACACCGTCCGTCGTGCTTCTCTCAAACGGGCCAATCCGCCGCCATTCAGTCCCTCGTTTGCTTCACTTCCTCTTCTTTTTCTTTTCTTCTTCAATTCGGCAGGCTTTCTTTTCTCGCCGTTTTGAAATCTTGTCAACCGCCGCTCCTGGTCCCATCTACTCCATTTCCCCGTCATGTTGGCGGGAAGCAATGCGCGCATTTTGCGCTACATTGTTGTTGCCGGCATTGTATGTCACCTCATTGTTGTCACGGCCCGCCACCACCATTGATGGGCCCCGGATAGCAAACAGCCAGACTTGGCGGCATGTGTGACCGGGTACGGCTCACTTCGCATGCGCTAACATGCATCAAAACTATAGATTCTGATATTCTTCTACCACTTCTCCGGCTCCCGCTACGATACCCTCCCGCGACCGGTCCCTGCCCCTGACCACGCGCAAGCTGCCTCGCAACCGAGTCCCCCAAATGACGAGGCCACTACCGCCGGCCGTCCTGTCGATTCCACGCAAAAGTCCATACCTGCCGACCGTGATCGCCCAAATTCCGGATTCCCCAAGTCCGTCAGTGCAAGCACCGATGCCGCCGCGTCTACGCTCGCCGACATCGACCCTGGGCCGCGTGCCAATGCCACCTTTGTGTCACTCGCCCGCAACGCCGATGTATGGGACATTGCCCGCTCGATCCGCCAGGTAGAAGACCGCTTCAACCGCCGCTTCAACTACGACTGGGTCTTTCTCAATGATAAGCCCTTTGACGACAACTTTCGCAACATCACTTCGGCCCTCGTCTCCGGCACCGCACGCTTCGGCCAAATTCCCGTCGAGCATTGGTCGGTGCCAGATTGGATCGACGAGGACAAGGCCACAAAGGTGCGCGAGGACATGAAGGAGCGCAAAATCATATACGGTGACTCGATGAGCTACCGCCACATGTGCCGCTTCGAGTCGGGCTTCTTCTTTCAGCACCCCATTATGAAAAACTACGACTTTTACTGGCGTGTCGAGCCAAGCATCGAGCTTTTCTGCGACATTGCACAGGATCCATTCCGCTTTATGAAGGAGAATGGGAAAAAGTACAGTTTCACAATTAGCCTGCTCGAGTATGTCGACACGATCCCCACGCTCTGGGACAGCGCCGTCAAGTTTATAGAAAACTACCCGCAGCACGTGGCTGCCGATAACTCAATGGAGTTTCTGAGTGACGATGGTGGTCAAACGTACAACATGTGCCACTTTGTAAGTAGACGGTGCCGAATTCTCGGCCTCAAACACTACTAACATTGAACTCAGTGGTCCAATTTTGAGATTGGCAGCCTCGAGTGGATGCGCAGCGACGCCTATGTCGACTTTTTCAACTCGCTCGACCAGGACGGCGGCTTCTTCTACGAGCGCTGGGGTGATGCGCCCGTGCATTCGATTGCTGCCGGCCTTCTCCTCAACAAGACGGAACTTCATTTCTTCGACGAGATTGCCTACTTTCACATGCCCTTTACGCACTGCCCCAACGACGTGCAGTCGCGGATCGACCTCAAGTGCCACTGCAACCCCAAGGACAACTTCGACTGGAGCAGATACTCGTGCACCTCAAGGTACTTTGAAATGATGGGCATGCAGAAGCCCGACGGCGTGGATTGAGCGCTGCCCACGTAGTACGCGTGTGTACAAAGACTTGACGAATTTTAAGGGGTTTGGCGCTTTTATATTACCCTGTTCATTTTATGTGGCTCGACTTCCTTGACATTTTAGGCGTAAGGAAAGGTCATCTAGCTATACGACTATGACCATTGTTGGCATTTGGGACGGTTATCTGCTTTCAAAGGAAAGGAACGATGTGTAACAAACCCAAGATTACATGGCGTTGGAGGGGGCCAGTGGCCCAACTTGCTTTTACTTTTGCCGAGGCGGCTCTTGTTGTAGAATATACGTTGAATGTCAAACTTCCCTTTGGATGTGTTAGGGCCCCAAACCCGTTTTGAATAGCACGGATCGCTCGTTCGCGGCGCCCCAGAGCCCGTAGACAGGCGCGCAATCCCACGGCAGTCCAGGAATCGGGAAGAGCAAGACAACCCAGACCAAACCCAAGACCGTATTACCTCAAATGTAACCCAACGCATTATACATAGAGGGTGCGAAGATAGAAAAGACAAAGCAAATAATACTAGAGAGCATACTCGCAGCGGCGTTGGCGGAAACCGCGTGTTTAAACTCGTCCAGCAGGTACGCAAGCATGACCTGGCCAAGGAGAAAGCCACCACACCGGCGCGTACGTCTCCGAGACAATGAAGAAGCCCACCAAAACGACGACCGCGTCAAATATAGACAAGATCCAGAACAGCCACGGCCACGGCAAGTGATGCGCCATGACGCTACCCACAATAGACCCCAGCCCGGGGCCTATATATGGGACAAAGGTCGCAATTGCAAGAGAGCGCCCGCGCTCTTCTGCTCGGAACATGTCTGCTCGGATCGGGCATGTGAGCTAGGCAACGTGAGTAGCTGTAGACGGGCCTTAGAAGGATGTCACGGCCCGCTCTGACCTTGATGCTGCAGCTCGCACCCCAGATCCAGTCAGGAAGCGGCTGACAGTCATGAGCCCAGCTGAGGGCCCAACAGGGCACATTTAGTTCCAGAAAATATGAGGGAAAGAATTGCTAGCGATACATATCGGCCGTACGTCTCAGACAGCGCGGCGATCAGAAATGGGGAAAAGGCGAGGCCGAGCATGTAGATGGACAGTGTGATATGGGTGGCAGAGCTACTTATGTAGATCGTGTCCAGTTGCTGAAGCGTAGTAGGCATCATACTCGTCGACATGACAGAGGAGCTTTTGGGGCCGACTTCCTTTGCCTGTGTTGAATCGATAAATGACGGGCATTGCTCTGAGAAAAGACGTGCCGGCGAAATGACGTTGAACCAAGAAGTAAATTGTGTCTGCAATATCTTATCAAGCGCAGTGCGAGTTTATGCAGTTGCTTTGTGTGGTGTATAATACAAGTCGCCATCCGGCGATATCGCTAATGTCCATTCGTACAAGATCTATCCCCCTTTGATACTTTTTAATGCTGTACATGTCGCCAACAAGTCGTTTCGAGCATCGACCCCTCCATGTGTTTCTGTTTAGCCAATCGTGGCCTTTTTCGGCTTCTTCGTGCCATACTTGCTTCGACTCGTCGCGCGCGTACCTACACCAGCCTATAACACCATGTCAGTTTTTTTGCTTTTGCAATCCCCACAGCAATGGGCTCGCAAAACCCCAAGAAGGAGGAGACAATACCAGATCCAGCGCTCCGCGCACAAGGTGGTACCGCACACCAGGACAGTCCTGCGCACGCCCGCCCCGGACCAGCACGACGCTGTGCTGCTGGATATTATGCCCCTCGCCGGGAATGTACGCCGTGATGAGGGCGCCGCTCGACAGCTTGACACGCGCCGTCTTGCGCTCGCCCGAGTTGGGCTTCTTGGGGCGGACGACGCCGACGCGCAGGCAGACGCCCTTGAGCGCCGGGGACGACGTGTTGGCCAGCGCGGGGGAGACGGCGTGGCGAGCGCGCTTGCCCTTGCGGATGCCGCGCAGGACTTGGTTCAGCGTGGCGGGGCGGGCCGCTGTCGTGGAGAAGGCGGCGGCGGCGGCGAGGATGGGTGAGGCTGTCGTCGGCGTCGGCGTCCGGGGTTTGGCGAAGTGGTAGGGGATGGAGGCGGAGAGGAGGGGCCGGCGGACGGCGGGCGCGAAGAGGGTGCGCACAATGGAACCGACCATGCTGGGCGGGCGAATTGGTTCGGTTGAATGGAACGTGGTGGATTGGGACTGGGCGGGAGCAAGCTTGTCGGTTGGATGATGAGGTTGCTCGAAAACTCCTTTGCGGGAGAGTCACGTGGAGGCCCGTCCGATTGGCGTCGATGTGGGGCCGGGGGGATGATGGGTTTGTGCTGAGGCGACGAGTGCGACGTGAATAAGCGCGTTATAATGAAAAAAAAACGAATAGTTGCCAGACGGTGGAATAATTTGATTTAGTAAAGATGATCTACATATTATCCGCTCTCTTGCCCGAAACCTTGAAGTCTGCTCAGGGAGATCCTTAAAGAGGTTCTTATCTGTGAAATATAATTACGGGCCATTGGTCGAAGAGAGCAATTTGTAAATGGTTTGATTCCGAATGCATAGATGTAATTACAATCAATCGGTTGTCTTTGTCCTAGTGATTTAGTTTGCTTTGATTCTTCACTCGCAGCCTCGCAGTTTTCTGCCGCCCGATGTTGCCCGTCCTCGGCTTACACTAAGCCGCTCGGCTGCTCTCTCTTCCCCACAAGAAGAACAAACCACTGACCAGCGCAGTTCCGGCGGAAAAAGCGGGCAGGTATGTACAAGCCGAACGCCGGCCACTATAAGCCAAGGGAAGCCCATTTTGCCAATTGTCCCAGACGTCATTCTTGCTTTTTACCCACGCGACTTAGACATTGATTATAGAGACAAGTCTTATTTTTTTACCATTTTTATTGCAACCATACCTTGGTTCTAAAAGACTTGCGACAGTCCATCCTCATTAGTCAACTTGACACATCAGTCCCTCCGTTGGTTATTCCGAACATCGCTCTCAAGTCACAAACACACCCAACCCACAGCCACCACCCTAATCTCACCGCGCCTGCGACACACCGGACTTTTCCTCCTTCCTACACTCAAACCCCGGAATTTTAGCTATTCTTTTCTCTTAACCCTCTCCCCTCTCTTTTCTCTCGCTCTACCCCAAGCATTCATTTACTTGGGCGGTCTTTCTGCAACCTCGGCTTAACGCAATCCCCCACACTCGCCGCCTCCGTCATGTCGTCCTTTACACGAGCCATCCGTCCGGCCCTCCAGGGCGGCCGCCGCGTCCTCCTCGCCCAGCGTCTTTCCACGCCTCGCATCGCCCATCCCATTGCCGCCACGGCCCTGTAAGTCCTCTGCCAAGTTTTATCAAGCAAAGCGCCATTGGCCTTGCGGACGAACCAACCCCCCCCCGGCCGCTAACCCGTCGACAGCCGCTCCCTCTCCACGACGGCGCCCCGCCGCAGCGTCGACCTGTCGGAGCTGCAGCCCACGCCCATCACGCACCTCTCCGAGGTCGAGACGGCCATGGCCGACGCCGTGTCCAAGTTTGCGACCGAGGTGGTGCTGCCCAAGGCGCGCGAGATGGACGAGGCCGAGGCCATGGACCCGGCCGTGGTCGAGCAGCTCTTTGAGCAGGGCCTCATGGGCATCGAGATCCCCGAGGAGTACGGCGGCGCGGGCATGAACTTCACCGCCGCCATCATCGCCATCGAGGAGCTCGCGCGCGCCGACCCCTCCGTCTCCGTCCTCGTCGACGTGCACAACACGCTCTGCAACACGGCCCTGATGAAGTGGGGGTCCGACGCGCTCAAGAAGAAGTACCTGCCCCGGCTCGCCACCAACACCGTCGCCTCCTTTTGCCTGTCGGAGCCCGTGTCCGGCTCCGACGCCTTTGCCCTGGCCACGCGCGCCACCGAGACCCCCGACGGCTACACCATCACCGGCTCCAAGATGTGGATCACCAACTCCATGGAGGCCGGCTTCTTCATCGTCTTTGCCAACCTCGACCCCGCCAAGGGCTACAAGGGCATCACCGCCTTCGTCGTCGACAAGGACACCCCCGGCTTCAGCATCGCCAAGAAGGAGAAGAAGCTCGGCATCCGCGCCAGCTCCACCTGCGTCCTCAACTTTGACGATGTCGCCGTCCCCAAAGAAAACCTGCTCGGCAAGCCCGGCGAGGGCTACAAGTACGCCATCGGCATCCTCAACGAGGGCCGCATCGGCATCGCCGCCCAGATGACGGGCCTCGCCCTCGGCGCCTTTGAAAACGCCGTCCGCTACGTCTGGAACGACCGCAAGCAGTTCGGCACCCTCGTCGGCGAGTTCCAGGGCATGCAGCACCAGATTGCCCAGTCCTACACCGAAATCGCCGCCGCCCGCGCCCTCGTCTACAACGCCGCCCGCAAGAAGGAGGCCGGCGAGGACTTTGTCCGCGACGCCGCCATGGCCAAGCTCTACGCCTCCCAGGTCGCCGGACGCGTCGCCGGCCTCGCTGTCGAGTGGATGGGCGGCATGGGCTTCGTCCGCGAGGGCCTCGCCGAAAAGTACTGGCGCGACTCCAAGATTGGCGCCATTTACGAGGGCACCAGCAATATTCAGCTCAACACCATTGCCAAGCTCCTCCAAAAAGAGTACACTGCGTAGGTAGTGCGAGGGGGACGCGCAACCAACATGTGCGAGAGGGAACGGATCTAGTCAGGTTGGGAATTGGAAACAACCCAACATGTATCTGTAGACAATTTACACTGGAAGAAAAAATCAATGACAAAAACATTTATGAAATCAAATTTAGTCTTGTCCACCATGACTTTCAAAAACATCACAATACTCCATACACACCATATTACAGAAACATCAGGAGCACGGTGGAGAAATCACCCACATTGAATTACTTCAACTACGTACGCTTCTTGGTCTCTACTCCCGTCTCAAATGTATATGAACCCTCGCTGTTTTTATTCTTCTGCCGTTCTTGCCAACAAGAACAGAGGTTCACAGGCAGAAATCCCGTGAAGAAAAGAATGAGAAAAAAAAGAAACTATTAGAAAAATCCAACACCAACTCTCTAGTGAGAAAGAGATGGATGACAAAAAAAGCGAAAGTAACCAGAGCGGTATGGAAATAGCAAAAACCAATCCCACCCAATAGAAAAACGAACAAAGTGAGCGGCCGTCAGTAATAGCTTCGTGACGTGTGGGAAAATCATGTAACGAATGAGTGCTTTTTGCGTGTTTGTGTTGTTGTAGTTGTTGTGTGTGGGTGTGTGTCGGTGTTGGCGCTGGTCGCCATCCTTTTCAACTCCGGCTCTTCATATGCATCCTCCATAAAATGTATTGCATGCACCGTGCTCTCTCTCCACCGGGGGGGGGGGCGCACGAAGCTCCATCATGCTTTCGTCAATTCCTTCATTCGTCTTTCTTTTGTCATTACATATTGCGAAACTCGAGGGCTTTGCCCGGTTAGTCAAAATCAGCAGTGTACGAGAAGCCACGAAACTCTTCCTGCATCGCTTGTGACAGAACTGAAACGGGTGTTAGTGTTTGTGATGTAAATGGTGGTTGGTGTGATATACCCGACTGCACTGGTGTGAGCACTGGAGTGACGCTGGTGAATTCAGAATCAAAGTTGCTCGTATCCGTTGCGCTCTTGATCGCAGGCTTAAACGGCGGCGGCCCACGCTTCATATAGATTTCTTCCCAGTTGATATTCTTGAAGAACGCATGACTCATGACTTCCTGCGCGTCCGTCGGGCCGCTACCCAGACGGTCGTTGGGCTCACGCGTGAGAAGCTTCTGCAGAATGGACACAGACTCTTTCGGCATGCTTATGGGGTAAAGAGGCTCATCCGACAGAATCGCCTCGTAGATTTCGTCTTCGTCGTCACCGCGGAATGGCGACTGCTGCAGCAGCATCTGGTAAATCAGGACACCAAAGGCCCACCAGTCGACCGCGCGGCCATACTTCTTGTCCAGCAGAATTTCTGGCGCCATGAACTCGGGTGTACCGCAGAATGTTCCCGTCGTGGAGCCATACCACATGTCCTCCTTGCAAAGACCGTAATCGGCAACTTTGATGTGTCCGTCCAGCGTCAACATGATGTTGTCGAGCTTCAGATCACGGTAGACAACACCGTTCTCATGGAAGTACTTCAAGGCCAGGCAGACCTCGGCGGCGTAAAACTGGGCTCGTCTGGCGCCAAACTGGCCGCGCTGGATGTGGAGCATCAGGTCGCCGCCGCTGATGTACTCCATGACAAAGTACACACGAGTTTCCGTCTGGAAACAGGCGTGCAGGTTCGTCAGGAAGGGATGGCGTTCCCTGTTGGCGACCAAAAATACTCTCTTCTCTGAGCGCATACTCTCCACTTCATCATTTTCAATGATAAATTCCTTTTTCAGGACCTTGATAGCGTAAAGCTTCTTGGATCTCTTGGTCTCGGCAAGCATGACCTTGCCAAAGTTGCCCTTGCCCAGAACAGCCAGGAAGTTGAAGTGGTCCAAGCCGATGCGCTGCCCAGTACCAGGGTCCGTGGCTAGTGGAAGGGCCTTGCGCCCACCGCCTTGCCCACCCTGGGGAGTGTATGGCTTCTGAGGGGAGAGGGGTGGCTCGGCGGGTCGGGCCGCAGGCTGAGCAGGAGAAGGCATCTGCTGTACAGGGCGGATCTGAGCCGGGGGCTGCATTTGCTGCTGTTGCTGCATTTGATGCTGTTGCTGTTGCTGCTGCTGAGCGTAGCCAGTGTTGACGTTTGCATAATCCGCCGGGTTATAGGGACGCGTCTGCTGTTGCGCTTGAATTGGGGCCCCGTAAGCGCCAGCGGCAGCATATGCATCTGGCGCGGGTTGACCATGGCCGCTGTATCGACCGTGGTCGGACCTTTGATTCTGCTGCGACGAAATGCCTGCCATGGCAGCCGAAGCAGCCGCGGCAGCCGCGGCGGAAGCAGCAATAGTCGTGGAGCTGGTGCTTGATGCGGCGCGTCCGGGCGCCGGTCGCTGCTGCGGGGTCGCCTGTTGATTGGCGTACATGCGTCTGGCGGCCTCGGCTGCCTCATTGGTGGTGGTGGGAGAGAGCTGTGGTGGCTGTGCGGAACCGGTCGGGGAGGAAACGGCGGACGTGGGTGTTGCCGACTGAGAGCCAGGGGCGCTCATCTTGCGCAGGGTTCTATCTGTCAGGTTGGTCGTCGTCTTGGCCTTTTGCCTCTGGCTACGAATGCCCTGGAGAATTTGGTTTGCGACGGCCATGGACATGCCGCAAAAGTCTGGTACAAGGTGTACACAATGCGCGTGACTTGTGAGACTACATTCGGTGCACTTTCTGCAATTCTTTTTGCCAAATGGCAGGATATAACCACAATGACAACACCAGTTGGCGGTGACGTTGGAGAAAGGTTGGAATCTGTGGGGGATGCGGTGGTTGATCTTTTCTTCCTCGGGGTCGGTTTCGGCGTTGCTCTTGCTGATGCACTTGGTGACGACGCTCTGGTAGCATTTGGTGTGACAGGTATACTTGCAATCCTCACACTGCATGCCGGCAGAGTACTTGAGAAAGTCGCCGCAGAGCGCGCATCGCATTATGTTGTAAAACTGCTGCTGGACGAATTTGTGGCCGTACATTTCATGGACCTCTTCCTTGCGCTGACGAACAGCACCCTTTCGGCCGAGACCAACGTCGACGGTGCGCTTGTCGCGGTTCTGCTTGACGAAACTTATTTGCAGCTGAATCTGACCAGCCGGCTCCAAATTGAACCATCCTTCAATGGGACCAGCGTTGACCTGGGATGCTGGCGGAGCTCCATAGGCCGCACCAGGCTGGTTACCACCAGGAGGGCCGGTAGCCTGGGGGCCAAAGGAGCCTTGCGAGGGGCTCATGGGAAACTGAGGGGGGGCAGCACCGCCGGAGTAGCTGCCCATCTTGTCCGCAGAGACCCAGCCGGAGGAGTTCATTTCGGCTTCTATCCTCTTGCGGCGCATCTCCTCGACAATGTCGGATATCCTGACCCAAAGCAGACCGATGGGCATGGGGTGCTCGCCGGGCTTGTCGTAGACGATGATTTCTATTTCGTTGGCCTTGTCGACATCGATGGTATGGAATTCGGATTCCCAACGATCGTTTCTGGAAACTTTGGTGCGAGCAGTGACGGTGTCCTCGACCTTCACAGCGACAAACGTTTCGGGACCGCGGGAGAAGCGAGTGATGGCGGCGTGGTCGACATCGTTGACGGCGACGACGCGGATGGCGAGGGAGCCGGTAAGTGGTTTGCGAAGATTGGGTGTATTGATTGAATCATCTTGGAATGGTTAGCGTGGGTGGAATGACATTGTAGTTGCCGTGGGAGCGTACCATCGGGTGTATCCGAATTGTCCATGTCAATGTGCAGTTCTTCATATCTCTTAAGTGCCTGCTTTAAGAGAAGAATTTTCTGCTTGCTTTCCGTTTTTCTCGCTGCGGCGTCGGCCTTGCTCTTGCGGTCGCCCTCCATGCTGTAGAGCTGGACCATTTTTTCGACACCCTTGAGGTACTGTTCCTCGACATTGAGCTTGAACTGAAGCTGGGAGAGCATGAGCTGGATACGGGGACCCAGGTAGGGGGTATCATATTTAATAAGATCTGTTGTGAAGCGTCAGTTGGCCAGGTGTAGAGGGAAGACGGGAATGGGGTTGATGGAGCCCAGAGGGAGGTCATACCAAGCTTGGTAAAGTTGGGCCGGCCCTTGGGCATGGATGTACCAGGGGCCTGGGGGGTGAATGGATGATGCGAGGGCATCCTATCGCCATGCTGGCCGATTTGGCTATACTGAACGGAAGAGTCCTTGGGCGGGGGCGGGGGCGGACCATCGGGGTTGTCGTTGACAGCCATGTGGCTGACACCTTGGTTGACGCGGCGCATTTGGAGCTCGTTGAGACGCTCTTCGAAGAACTGTAGGTTGCGGCGACCGTCGCGTATCTGGGAGTCGAGCCGCGAGCGAACGGCATCGTTGTCCGTCTGGGAGCGCATATTGTTGGCAGCGGCCATGAGGACGCGCTCCTTTTCGATCTTGCGCTGGATGTCGAGAATGGCTTGGTCTTCATTCATGGCGGGCGGGGGCGCGCGATACGTTCGCGCAAGACGTTGTGGTGATGCAGTATGGATAAGACGACGGGAGGGGGGTAAAGGCGGGAGGAGCTGCTCGGTATAGTAGCTGCAATGTCTCTCTCTGCTCGAAAGCGCAAAAGGCGCAGCAAAGCGTGGTTTTGCGTCGATGGGTGGGTGGTGATGTCGGTGGTGGTGTCAGGATGAGGTTGGCCGGGGACTTGGCTAGAATGCAAGCAGGAAAAAAAGAAAACAAGAGGGGCGAGCCAATGGCGTTGATAATGGGGGAAGAGGAGGAAGGCCGGGAGGAGGGCCTTTTTATCGAGAACGTCTCGGTCTGTTTGGACGAAGACGTATCTTTAACGTTGTGTCGCTCGGGCAGCAACACGAGGGAGATGGATGGAGGCTGGAGGCTGGAGGAGGAGAGAGAAGAGGGGACGATTTGGCAGCTGGGCGGGATGATTTGTGGTGGGTGGTGGGTGGTGGGTGGTGATGGGAAGTGGGAAGGATGTCGTCAGTGATGGGGAGGGGGAAAGCCAGCGCCTGGGCGGCCTGCGGGCAGGCAGTGTTTGGCGGTGCAAGTGGAGGAAGCTTAGGAAGGTTTGGCGGGCAGCGGTTGACAGACAATTCCTTATAATGGTTGGCGGGGTTTTTTTGTTTTGCTTAAACTTGGTGGGCTGGGCTGGCCGGACATGGTAATGTTCAACTGCCCGCCTGGAATGGAATGGCCGAAAGACGGCGTGCCTTGTTACACCCACTGTACAAGGGAAAGATGGCGCTAAAAGCGCCATCGAGGCCGCTGGGCCGAACAGCGCCCTGATCCCGCCACGCTCGAGTCTCGAGGAGCGTATTCGTACTTGCAGGGTGTACAGCGGTACGGAGTACTCTGTCCTGCAATCTTCACTTAGAAGAGAGAACCACAAGCTACCTAAATTTAACAAATAATACCACCTACCTAGGTCTGGCGGCTGGCTGCTGCAAATGTCCGGCTTTTGCACAGCATTGTCCAGGTCTATCTCGGGCCGTCTGCATCGCACCTTCGTCCAAGTGCCTTGTCCTGACAGCCGCCCGGTTTTGCGACGAGACGCTGCAACAGGTAACAAAGCCAGTACTACCTCCTAATTACTAACCTCCTACAGTAGCAACAACAAACCCCCACCACCATCGTGGCGTCACTTGCCCACCCAGACCTTTTTCCTCGTCACGTTTCCGCCCAAAATCACATCCTCCTCTTCCCTGTTCAGTTGAGAATTTTTCCCCGTTCTCGTCTGCTCTTTATTGCCGGCCACCTGCGGAATCCTTAGCCGAGCAAAAAAAAAAAACACCCCTCCCTGCACGAATGTTGCTACCCAAATTGGCAACTGCCCCTCACTAGCCCTGTTTTTCCTACCTTCCCCGCGCCAAATGCGCCCACAACTTATTACAAGCAATGATAAAGCACCTCTTTGTGATGCCGACACGCAGAAATTGACTGCTCAAGAGAAAAAAAAGTCCAGTGTGCAAAGACGTAAGCATGATTACGCGTAGATTCATCCTCGCCTACCTTTGACGTTGTACTGCCATTTTGTTTCATTGTTCCAAACGTGCACTGTTCTAATCATTGTCAACTGCTTATCTTTGTCTCCTAACCATCCAGCCAACCGGCAACTCCGACAAAGACGCGAACCTCCAATTCCGCCATCCATGGCCTTCCTCCACTGAGGAGGCCTCTAAGAACAAGCGCGCGTGACCAGTAACCCATGCAATGACAATGGCAAAAAAAACAAGACTTCCAACAATCGACAAAACCTCGGCGGCCTCCGTCAACACCAACACAAGCCTGTCTTCCGACTCGGTGACGTCTGTTGGCCCTCGCGTCGCGATCTGCAGGGCGGCAAGGGTCCTTCAATTCGCCGATAGACCGAATTGCCTCGTGCAAAGGGGGAGGCTCAAAAAGGACCCTGAAAAGAGTTTCTTAAGCCGAACACGGATGCACTGCCCGAGGACTTCCTGCTGCGCCACACCCCATCACGGCATGACGAAATAATAAACCCACGCGCGTGCCGTTTACATCCCAGTCAGTTCATCTCCTCACAGCCCACAGCTTCATGGAATCAGTAGTCAAATTCGCTCATATGATGCATATCTAATGCTCTAATCTTACAACCCAATGTAGAACGGGGAATGGAAATTTCTCATGTACAAGTAGTTGGTATGCCAGCCGCACGGCTACCGCACGGCCAGCAGGGCGATGCTGCCGACAATCGCCGCCCCGGCCATGGCTCCTTGGAGCACCAGCGTCGTCGCGTCCTTCATGCGCAGATCAATGTGCCGCTCGCTGCACAGATCCGTCGCCGTCGCCTTCCACCGCGCAGGGTCCTGCAGGAACTCGCCCCATGTCGCCGCCGTTTGTGCAACCGGCGTCGGCACGACACTCGTCACCTCGGCCTCCTCTGCCGCTGCCGCTGGTGTCTCCTGGCCGGCTCTCAGCGCCGCGTCCATCTTGAGCGCCAGATCCGTCTTGAGCGCCTCCATCTCGGTCCGCACGCCCTCGAGCACGTCCTTCTCGTGCTCGACAACGCCGCGCACCAGCCGGCGGCGGCGCCACGGCTCCGCAAAGAACTGCAGCAGCACAAACAGCACAAAATTCATGCCCATGAGGCCCCAGGTGCCCCAGGTGCTCGCGCGGCGGATGCGGTCGCTCCAGATCTGCTCCTCGTGGTAGCGCTTGAGGATGCCCGCGTTGAGGCGCTGGTTGAAGCTCTGCTCGGTCGCCTCGGCCTCGGTCAGCGCCTCCTGCGCCGCCCCCACGGCGCCCTCGAGCTCGTGGTCCGTCCGGTACAGCTCCGTGAAGCGCTCCAGGTCGCCCGGCGACCACGTGTCCTTGCGCGCCAGAAGCGTCGTCACCTCGCGCTGCGTCGCCGCCCGCTTCGTGTTGGATGTCTTGTAGGCGGCGCGCGCGCTCCGTACCTGCGCCTGCGCCGCGCCGAGCGACTGCTCTATGGCGTCGTTGTCGGCCTTGATGGCCTCAATGGCCGAGTACCCCGTCACGTCGTTGAGCGTCTGCGAGGCCGTCAGTGCTCGCGCCTGCAGCCGGTCCATGGCCAAGCTGAACTGGAGGTTGAGCGCGCTGCGCCGGCTCTCGGCAGTCGAGGGGAGGTTGGCGGCCGCCGCATGGCGTGCCGGGCTCGCGTCCTTGTCGGGGGGCGGCGGCGGAGGGGATGTCGAGTATGAGCGGCGAGGAGCTGCAGAAGTCGTATTGGCGTCGTGAAGAAGTTGTCGCATGGCCATCCGAGGCATCGCCGTCCGGGTCGCCGAGGCCAGGATGCTCCTCTGCATCGTCACGCGAGCGGCTGTCCCTCCTGCCACAGGGTGCATCTGGACGAGCAATTGCTCTGGCGGCTAGTGATGTGTCGCAATCACGTAGCGTCTGTGCCTCGTCCAACGTCGCCGATGAAAATGGTGTGGTGCTTGCCGATATAAATTGGAAATTGGGTAACTAGTTGCAGTGCAAGCTAAGCTTGTCCTTGACCGCTTTCCAGGGTAGCCCTTACGTACAGTGCGAAGTGCGACGTCGTTGGGCCGGCAAAATCAGCCCGAGCTCGGCGACTTTGGAGGGGCACTTTAATAGGTACTTTACGACATTCAATTGACAGCCGAAAATGACGTTGTGCCGGGTCCAACCGATAAGGGAAACATAAGAAAACACCGCTTGAGTCTTTTTTTCAGTGGATGCGCGTGCCGCGAGCAAGCCATTCATGGAATGGCGCAAACGCATGCTTTTGTGGATTGGTCCTCATTTGTGGAAGGTCCGGTGTTTGCGGATGAGGTCAAGATGTCAGCTCCGGTGTGTTGTACCAATTCTCTCCCCTTCATACTAAATTTGTCGCATCATCATCTCAACTGTTGCCATCATGGGCTCCGTCAACACCGACACGCCGGCCCTGGCCACCAACCCGCGCTTCATCTTCTTCACTGACTTTGATGGCACAATCACCACGGCCGACTCCAACGACTACATGATTGACAACCTGGGCTGCGGCGCGGCCCAGCGCGGGGCCGACAACCACGAGGTCCTCGCCGGCCGCGCCCACTTCCGCGACGTCTTCTACGACATGCTCGACAGCGTCCGCACGCCCTTTGACGAGTGCCTTCGCCTGCTGCTCGCCAATATCCGCCTCGACCCGGGCTTCAAGGACTTTTACCTCTGGGCGCGCGCCAATAACGTGCCCATTGTGATCCTCAGCGGCGGCATGGAGCCCGTCATCCGCGCCCTGCTCGACCAGATGCTCGGCCCGGGGTGGGACATGCAGGTTGTCAGCAACGACGTGGCGCCGGCGGTCGAGGGCGGCAGCATCGACGACGAGGGCGGGTGGAAGATTGTCTTTCACGACGACAGCGTCTTTGGCCACGACAAGTCGATTGAGATTCGCAAGTACTCGTCGCTGCCGGAGCGGCCCGTCATGTTCTACGCCGGAGACGGCGTGTCCGACCTGTCGGCGGCCAAGGAAACGGACCTGCTCTTTGCCAAGGAAGGAAAAGGTAAGTGGTGTGAGAAAGGGAAGAATGGCCAGCTCTACTAACACGTCGTCAGATCTCGTCACTTGGTGCGAAAACGCCAAGGTCCCCTTTGTGACGTTCCGCGACTGGACCAGCATTGGCCAGACTGTCAAGGACATTGTTGCTGGCAACATTACCCTGCAAGACGCTGCGCGAGGTCGCATCTGACAATCCGGCCTCGGCAGTATGAGAAGACGAAAAGAAACGAAAAAAATAGAGTTATAGATGGTGCACATAGATTTGCACGGCGCCTTGAGACGTATACCTAGAGTTCAAATCAATTAATACCCGGTAAGACGCTTGGCTGGCTGCGCCGCCCATCATCAACTGTCTGCGATATGTACATGACGGATCTTGGCGATGCAGTGTTACGAAGGAGAAAAGAGACTATTGGGAGGAAGTTTCAGGTGACGAATCATTTCGTACACAGCTTGCCGTCCCGTGTTGTCGGTGACTGTGGTGGCGGCGGATATTTTTGCCCGCATCATTTGGCTCCTCGCAATGCTCTGAGACATGCTAATGCACTACGATACGACAGCATCATGAAATTATTTCGGGTCGCTGCCAGACTTGATCGAGGGTATTTCGTAGTATTCTCAAGATGGCTAGCCACCCTGGTGGTCCCATGGCAGAATGATAGATTGCCACCCAGGTAACATGTTGAATGTCTTTTTTGAGTAGTTTTTAATCATTTGTCTCGGTTGCCATGCTAGCCGTTTCGGCATTCTGTAGACTTTCTTCTCCATCTCTGTGCCCGCACCATTGCCACTTAGGCGGATGTAGATCGGCGGTTCAGCTCAAGATTATACGAGACATGGTAGCCTCGTGACGGCATACACCATGGAGAAATCGTTCCGTCTGACAGGCCAGGGAAAACAGGCCACGACCGCAGGGAAGCCGGGAATATGAACGGCTTGGCAGCATCATAAGAATGACCGACAAACCTTGTTCCCGGGCCTGGCGGAGTTTGCGGGGTCGCTCCCAAAAATAGTTTGCATCCTTACATCCCTCTAGCCTTGATCACTTTTCTCGTCAGTCCACCAAACCGTAAAGTTATTGAATGAGTCCAAGAACTGTTCCTTCCCAAGGCCAGGAGTCGAACCTGGTCCTCGTCGGCGCCTCCAGGCTTAGAGTCTGTTGGTTACCACCGCCACAGATCAACAAGCCGTCACCCGAATGTGTGCAACAACTACACCAGCTTGGGCGACGACTAGGCGGACAAAATTTGTTTACATATCCTTGATCTTCTCTGTAAATCTGCGTGATTTAAACTAGTCGCAAGTATGGGCGAAAATGCAGAGGAAGTCACATGCAGCGCGATGCCCAAGTGTCGAGACCACCCCGCCATTCCCGTCAGTGTAAAGCCTAGGATTCCCGGTGAGAGGAGAATGGCGGGGTGGTTTCGCTTCAGGTGTGCTCATGCTCACCGATGCGAGCCCAATCTTCAAGACCTGGCTTGTACACATCCACTTTCTTGGCGGCGTCCCAGCGCTCGGGGGCGAAGATGATATTTCCGCCCGCACCCCGGTGCACCCGCGGCGAATGATGTCATGCGGGCCAGCCAGTAAGCGGCAGAGATCGGTGAGGCTGGACGACCCGGGCCAGCCCTCTTTTACTATATAGTTAGTTTGAATCGGGCCTATCCTTTCGGAGCTTGGTGCAGAAATACGAGCGGAATACTGGGCATCAAGTCAGCGCAAGCTCCTCTCTGGCTCGTATCCTGGTAGGCTAACCCGTCCGGGGGAGCTACCGCGGCGACTTGCATCCACGATGACACGGCAACGGGAAAGGGAACCCTTGTTGGAGGGTGAATGCCTGAACTTGTCGCTCCATGTAGCCAGCCCTACAGAAAAGGCTGCGAGCCGTGGTGGTGTGGCCCAAGTATCGCCGCCCAAGTACGGCATCGGCGATGAGCCGAATGATATAGGCTGGGGAAAAGTATATAAGGCGCCGGCAGTGCTGTCCAAAGTTGAAACTGGAATATCCTCATCTGCAATCATCAAAGCTTCACAGCAATACCAATATCTCTTCTCTCTCCATATACACACAATCTACATTCAATATGAAGGCCTCCGTCCTCTCCATCGCCGCCGCCGTCGGACTTGCCTCTGCCCAGTACGCCTACGTCGAAAACCACTGCGACGAGACTGTATACGTCGAGTCCTTCCCTTACGATAACCACGCCCCCGGCGTTCTCTACACCGTCAAGCCCGGCGAGTACTTCCAGGAGGCATTCCGCTACTACGGCACCGTACGTCATGAGCAGCCCAACAGCTCTTGCCAAACCTTTGTTTTCGCGCAAATAAAGAAGGAAATCTCTTGCTAACACGCACTACAGACGGTCAAGATCTCCAAGTCACGCAACTTCGATGACGTCCTCCAATACGGCTACTCCTTCTCCAGCAACCCCGACATTGCCTACTGTACGTTCCACAACTTGATCCACCATCTGCTGCAAGTAACCCATAGCTGACATTGATGTAGACGAGTTCAGCAACGCCAACGGCAACCCTTGGGCTGACAAGCACAACACCCTGAGCGCTGGTGAAGGCTGTGCTTCTTTCAACTGCGCTGCCAACGACAAGAACTGCTACAGCCAAGGCGGCTCCAAGGTCCTCCACTGCCCCCAGCCGCTCAACATCACTGCCAAGATCTGCGTCTAAGCTTATTGACGACATAATGACCAACCAGTATTGAATTATAACAGTTATGATAGAGCTATATATATGAATACCTATAATATCCCCCATCTTGCCGTATACTCACCTTGTTATTACTCGCTCCGTCTCTTTGGTTCCGGGATACCGTACCAGCACAGCAGCATGCCGAGAAACAAAAAGATGACAATCGGATGCAGAACCCACGTGTCGACGGCCTGCGCAACCAGGCCGACAATAAACGGCCAGACGGCGCCGCCCATGCTGCCAAAGGCGCTGATGGTGCCCATGCCGCTGAGCATCTCCTTGGGCGCCATGCCGTGCAAAAAGGCCGACATGGCGCACGGATACACGGGACCGAGGAGCACGCCGACGATGGCGACGGCGACGGCATTGCCAATGACGTTGGGCACGAGCCAGACGAGCAGCTCAAAGACGAGGGCGCCGACGACGAGCCCGTAAACGAAGCGCTTCTCGCCGATGCGCTGCGCCGGCGCGACAAGCAGGAAGCGGCCGAGCGTGATGCCGCCCCAGAAGCCGGCGCTGACGTAGCCGACCGACGCCGGCGTGCCGTCGCGCGCCTCGATCAGGAACGAAATAACCCAGCCGGAGATGGACACCTCGGCCCTGGTAGCAGAAGATGAAGGTCGATCCGAGCAGCACGAGGCGCGTCTGCAGGGAGCCAAACATGCTCCAGAGCGCGTCCCGCCGGCTGCTGCTGCTGCTCCCGCTGTGCTGCTGCTGCTGCCGCCGCACCAGCTCGGCGTCGTAGCCGGCAAACGCCCACACGGCGGCGCCGATGCTGAGCGCAAACACGGCGGCCGTGAGGATGTAGTAGCGCGTCCAGGGCGCGCCGGCGGCGGCGACAATGGACGTGGCGACGAGCGGGCCGGCGACGCCGCCGAGGCCGTAGCAGCCGTGCATGCAGCCGAGCACAAAGGTGCCGCGGGCGAGGCCGCCGCAAAAGGTGTTGCCGACGGCGACGTTGACGGCGATGCCGAAGCCGACGACGAAAAAGGCCAGCACGACGACGGGGAACGGCGCGCCGGCCACCATGGGCACGTAGCTGAGCGTCATGAGCGTCTGCGCGAGGCCGAGCGTGCGCGCGTGCCCGAGGGCTTGTCGCAGGCTGTCGAGGAAAAAGGCGGCGACGACGAAGCCGAGCGCCTGCCCGACGAAGATGAGCGACACCTGGGCGTAGCCAATGTTGTAGTACCTTAGTTTCCGCGTTAGCCCGTGTTTTGGAGGAGGTAGAATCTACATTGCTGGGGGGGAGCAGACTTTTCCATGTAGGGGAGGAGAGCACCGGCGGCGCTGTCGCTCATGCCCTCGGCGAGAGCGGTCGTGCACGTCAGCAGCAGCCGCCAGCGGTTCATGTACGGCTCCCAGACGGTGGGCACGACGGTGGCCGCGTCTGTCGGGGTGTCGGGCGTGCCCGGGCAGCTCATTTCCAAATCGTCATGGCGACCTATGGCGGCCGAGGGCATGGCACCATCGGCGGTGTGACGGGTGGGCAGCGGCCGGAGGAGCTCCGTGTCCTTGGCCGGCGTGTGCGGAGCAGCCGACTGGGTCTGGCGCAGCGCCGTGGTATCGGAGGAGAGACGGCGCGGCGCGGGCTCCACCGAGTGCACCGCCACGAGGCTCTGAAGAAGGGTAGAGCTCATGCTGGAGGTGGTTGGTTGCGAAGCTGTGTTGGGGTTCCGATTTACATGGGTTGCTTTTGATCCTGGGAGAAGAAGTTGAAGTCACTTGGGCGAGGGCAAGGGAAAATGGAGACCTGAGGAGAAAAAGGACTGAATTGGGCGGGAAGATGAATAGAAATACAAGTTTCCCATATCTACTGTGTATTTATAATCATGGTAAGGATTGGTGTCAGTAGCCTGAAATTCTGATGGTCGGCTGAGGAGAAAATCTGGAGACGCGGATCGACGATGTCGGAGACGGTGTTTAGACCGCTTCGCACGCACGCCTAATGACCCTTTTCCCGACCGGAGGTGCTCCGAAAAAAAAGAAAACTAGAAAAATAGAATAGCAAATGAGTAGAGGCATATGATTCAGGCGCGACTTCATCGGAACCCGCCGCCCGCCAAAAGAACCTGGTTGTTCCAAACACTGAACCGGGACAACCAGATGCCGGACGGGATATCGGTCCAGGACTCCGGCACACCGCAACACATTTGAATATCGGTCCGACTAATCTGTACAGAGTTCCTCCTTTCACAAATCGACAAACCATTATGACGGCCGCTGGAAGGCTCGCCATGCGGAATGGTAGGATTCGGACATGTGTGGCCGCGGCGTGTTATCCTATTGGCTGAGATGGGCGGAGGTGCCGTTTTGGGCAGTGCGGAGGATTAACGCGGGGACGACCCCTGCTCTCTGCTCTCAATGGTACGAGCCCCATCGCAGGTTGCGATGCCGAAACGAAAGCATACGATATATAGAGTATGAGCTTGGTGAATAAAGTCTGACCCCGCCAAATTGAGGGAACTGGAACCTCAAGATTCGCGGCGCGCAGTGTCCAACAAGACGGCTGGTAAGTGTAAGTGGACCTCGACAAACAACAGATTTGTCCTGACCTCTCTACTGACACAGGGACACTTCATAACTAGGGGACTGGCAACAACTCCCATCTCACATCACATAAACGATCCTTTCAAGCCATCGTCTTCGAAGCGCAGTTCCCGTGTTCTGCTCTGTCGACAAAAACCACAAACTGTACCGGCAGACTCGAGTCGGAAAAAACACGTACCGAGAACGTGCATCTCCTACCCTGGACCTACAAGCCGCTTCAGCAAACGGCCCGCCTCCGTTTCGGCGCCTTTCACACACACACCCAAAACCAGCGCAAGGAAGTGAGCTGCGAGCCCGGCGCCATGATTCTCGCACCGCTTCACCATCGACGAGACCACTCCCGGCGGCTGCCGCGTCTTCCACGCCTCGCGCAACGATGACTGGCCGGACCCAACGCGCGCGTCACACTTGTCCCCCCCCAATCTACCCGCTTGTGCCTTCGCCGCCATGTACGACGTTGCTGCTAGCCCCTTGTACGACGACGACGACGACGACATGGGCCGCCGATACCGCTGCCGGCAAGACCATCCCTGGGCCTGTCGGCGACTCGGCAGACGCAATACGCGAGCGCCGCCGACGCCTTGTGTCTGCCTCCGACGGCACCATGAGCAACCTGTTCGTCGTGGCGCCGGCGCGCTTACCGGGCGTCGCGCTCAGCCTCCGACCTCTTTCTGGGCGAACTGGCGCGGGAGGACCGCCGCCAGATCAGTACGGTGCGCGGCACCCTCGAGGGGGCATTCCGCCCAGTGTTTGTCACGCTCGGGACGGACGGACGGCTCGTTGTACGCGGATGCGGCGCTGTTTGTGCGGCTGCGACGTGACGCCGATTCTGGACGACGGGCTCTCTCGCGACTTGCTTCATCCTTCCGTTGCCGGAGCCTACAGAGGCACAGTAAAAATTGTTTGATTGGCTGCCTTCTCCCAGACACAGTAGCGGTGGACAGCAATCTCATGACGAGTTGCACAAATAGTTTCTTCTTTGTTCCCGTTTGTGTTGCAGGAGTTTGCATGTATTGGTTTTGCCTACGAACACTTAGGCGTACACAATAGACTTAGAGATACGCGACCTGCACCCGAGCGCTGGTTCTCACTTCTAGGTTTCATCCGACATCGCTTTGCAAGACTATTCATCACATTCCCGCCAAAGTAGCACTATATCTATCGCCATGGACTCTCTCTATAGAAGCCCAACATCGCCCTCCATTCCTCTGCAACTGTTAAAGAGACACCAGAATCATCCACCAGTATCATGCCTCTCAGACCTCCGGGTATTCACACCTTGCAAAAATGTCCGCCACCGGTGCCCTGACTTACATCACCAACCGAAACGAGGCCAGCTACCTACTCAAGCTACCCGCAGAGGTCCTCTGCCAGGTATACCTGAATCTCAGCAGCATTGATGCTGTTTGCGCGCTCATGTGCACATGTTCCAAACTATGGAACGTATTTTACGTCCGGCCAGTCCAGATTGTCGAGAACGTCCTGACCAACAGCATGCCCAATCAAATGGCTGGCGTCATCCAAGCTGTCTGGAACTTGCACTCTGGGCGGCCGAGATTCATGACTCTTCGTGTCATGCGCGGCATCGACGAAGCCCACTGTCTGTCGTCGTTGAACAAGCACGTGTCGGCCGATTTTATCTGGAAGTTCATCAGTCTGGCCAGAAGAATCCACGTAACCGCACACTTCATCTTGGACGATTGTCTGACCAACCTTGTAAACATCCGGGACAAGCTGCACCCCTACCCAATGCTGTTTCCCGAAATCGACCGGCCAGGCCAGCACCGCCGGCCGCGGTGGATCGACCCCCGGCCGTTTCTGACATCGCCGAGCTGGTGTGAGGAATGGCGAATGATACAAGGTTTGTGGCTTTGCGAGTTTCACGCCTCGTTGATGGAAGCGCAACGGCACGCGCATGCCTGGATTTGCGCGGAACTGGCCCACGCTGCTAGACTTGGTCTAGAAGATTTCTTCGACAACGGCTGGGCGGGCACGTTCTGGACAATCCACCATGGGCTCGGAGCATTGTCATCGAGAAGGAGCCAGTTCCGAAATAGCCATGACAGGGAAGTTATGCTGCCAGACAAAATGTCGCTCAGGGCATCGCCGTGGCCTGCTGGCGTGACAACGGCGCAGAGCTGCCGGTGGACGTTTTCAGCGCCCCCAGTCGTCGGTCAAGGGGTGCCGTGGGACCAGACAATACTGGATCCTGAGACAGAAGGGTACATGTTCCTGATTGCAGACGACACCGGCATCGCTCCCAGGGCCGCCGAGCTCTATCGGCTCCCCGCATCCGAATATGCACACCTCGGTCTCTTACACTGGTGCAGGGAGAGAATGCACGACCTCGGGCTCGTATACAGAAACGACTGCCGTATTCATGACATGTGGCATGGACGGGTATACGACTACTGGCTGAGTCTGTTGCCTCGGTGGCTCATCCAGAGGTGGGAGGAAATCCAGCGAGAGGAAAAGCGGGAGCAGCGGAGACGCCACGGAAGACGGTGAATCGGGGCGGCTAACATGGACAAGCAGATGAACTATATAGAAAATTTACTTGCCTCTACTGTCTTTAAAATGAAGTATGATGCTCGGTTCTGTTGAAGCGTGAATCACGCGCAACTGGGATGTCCGCCATGGCATGTGCGGCCTCATACCAGCTGCGCACTGAATGTGTCACATGAATATTACACCGCTTAGTATTGCATGCGGGTGATGCGGTATTCTAGGGCTGCTTGATTGCTTCCGCATCACTATCTTGTGGTACACTCTTCTCTCTCGGACTCTGTTTCTGGCTACACGAGGCAACGCCACATATGGCGGTCACAACTACAGTGGGATGCCGTGACCAGGAACTTTGTGCAGCTATACCTTGACTCATTGCATCATCAGTCGAGAGAGCACTGCCATTGTCGGTATCACGAGGCACAACCTTCAAATCATGTAACTTGTGGCGGCCACATACTCGTGCGCCTCGTTTGTTGCCCGCCACCTTACCCCTCACCAGACTTTATTTAAACAAACAGCGGCGCTTCATCATGTTCTCAACTCGGAGCAACACCCTTTCTCTGAACCAACTTCTCTTCCAAAATGGCTTCGCTCAGCGACATGCGAATGCCCACGTCCACCGTACACTACCGTGGAGACTTGTGCCACTGGCCTCGAGGGGCGCGCAACTACTGGCCCATCCTCCCCTCGGAGATCATCCTGTCCGTATTCGAAGAGCTCACGACGGTCGAGGACCTGTGGTGCATGGCCTGCAGCTCCCGGCGGCTCTGGCACCTGTTCCACCTGCACGGCCCCCAGATCCTGGAAATGGTGCTGCTCGACGACACCCATCCCTGGGTCTGCAACGTGATCCACGCCACGTTCAACCTGCAGGCGCTCGACAGCTGCGAATGGACCTACACCGAGCTGCGGCACCTCGACTCGTACGGGCCCCGCGAGCCGTTGTCGCCGACGGCGCACCCGCACATGATCCGGCGGTTCGTGACCAAGGCGCGCAAGATCCATGCCCTGGCGCACATCATCCTCGGCAACTGCATGCACCACCTCTGGACGCTGGAAGACAAGCTGCGGCCGTACGACGCCGACGAGGAGTGCCCCGAGATCTACTGGTACCTGGACCGGGAGGCGAACCCGGGCGAGGAGACGCGCGCCGTCATGGCCCTGTGGATGTTTGAGCTGCACTTCACGCTGATACTCGCTTGCAGGAATCCGCACCTGGCATGGGTCCGGACCATGTTCCAGACGATGCCGCCGGCCTCGACGGACCTCTTTCACTTCTTCCGCAAGACGTGGTTTGGCCCGCTCCTCACCATGTGGCACGGACTGTTGCAGCTGAAATACCCCGCAGACTTCCTCGACAAGCAGCTCGTCACCGACGCGAGCCTGCCGCGCGCCGTGCCCCTGCCGCGCCTGCCCCGCGGCGGCCTCGTCGCCGCGCACCGCTGCGCGACCGAGCTGCCCAACTACTCCCCGCACAACCGGCACTCCATGTTTGAGCGCATGCAGATGGGCCGCGTGATGCGCCAGCAGCCGCTCGTGTCGCGCTTCTTCGGCAGCCTGCGGGCCGTGTCGCCCGAGCAAGAGGACGACGACGGCGGGCTCTTCCAGCTGCCGTACCGGCCCTTTGTCAAGTACGGCTTCTTCCACTGGGACCACGAGAAGATGCAGAGCATCAGCCTGCTGCCGTGCGGCGAGCTCGACCGCGCCGCCCTGTTCCGCTACTGGCGCGGCCTCCTGCCGGACCACATCGTCGCCGCCTACGCCAAGCAGCAGGAGGGGGCCAAGGCCCGCCACTGGGAGCACATGGCCCGCCTGGTCGCCGCCGGCCAGCCGATCCCGGAGCCCCAGGACGCTGCCCTCTTTCAAAACATCTTAGCGGAGGATCCGGAAACCGAAGAGGAAGATGAAGAGATGGGAGGTGAAGAAGAAGAAACCGAAGGCGAAGACGAAGAGACCGAGGCCGGAGACGAAACGACCGAAGCTGACGATCCGCATACTGAACCCGAAAATTCACAGGCCCAAGTCGAAGCAGAGGCATGAAGATTTTTGCTCACCTTTCCGAATAGCTGCTCTCTCGCGCCGAGACGTGTGTGAGTAGGTGGATCAAGGTCCATAGGTACAGACAGGCACCTGGAACCACTCATCTAGAATCAAGTAGAAGTCGCTATAACTCTTAATCTTGATTTGATCTCAATAAAGCGCTCCTATTTCTTTCGCTTTTCCTTTGTTTTGCCTTCTCAATGAGCCTCGTGCTCTTGGTTTCCCATGCCCAAGGATGTCGTGTCATGGGGTTGTGATATGCGCCCATCTTTTCTGCGGTAACAAAGTGAACAAGGTATAATCCTGACTGATGGGCATTCAGAAGTAGATGGGTAGAATGAAGCAAATACGTTCCAAGGACCCCAAATAACCCAACAGAGGCCACTTTGCAGACATGATATATTCTAAAAGACTTATAAGCCACCACCAAGGAAGCTCACCAACGCCGTTATTGGCTGCTATGGACCAGTGTGCGAAGGGGGTACGCAGAATAATGCATCCAATGGCTTTGTTGAAGGCGAGAATGAAGAACTTCGAACGACAAATGCAACACTAAGCCAGCGGCGCAGAGCAAGAGAAACGCGATTACGTCTTGGAGGCAGCATGACTGTTGCCGAGGGACAGGCTCTTCAGGATCAAAAGGATATTACAGCAAGACATTCGCCAAAGCACAGGTCGTAAGCCACGGAATGGGGCGAAGCGCCCGCGATGTGGCGTGTGCGGACCTGCTGAACAGGATAGCGATTAAAAGTAATTGAGTTTTGGCGGTGCGGTCTTTTTTTTTTGTATAATCTCTGCACGAAGGTGGTTTGGGATGGCCACTTCGCTATGGATCTACTTTACTGGTAGTTCAGACCCGCTGCTTTTGCCAATGCCTTACAGCTGGTCAAAAAGCCCCAGCTTCGGGAACAGTTGAATTCGTAAGTTGCTTTTGCGTACGGCAGGCTGTCTGTCCCGCAACCATCCTTCAAAAAAAAGGTGTCAAACCCCTGGGCATGTGCGTCTTGTAGAGTAGCGCCGACACATTGATCAGTGTTGACACCGGAAAAAAGGAGGGTGCGGATTTTTTCCTTCTTCAGGTACTCTGCGAAATCAGACTTGTCGTTCCAGAGACCAGAATTCCGGTTCTTGTGAATCCAAACATCGGGACGGGCCGTTTTCTTACCCGCCTCGTACGCCTCGGCCAATGGCCCATGCAGAGCAGTATTCCAGGTGTCCCTCATCATAGCCCGGCCAGCGTTGATGATGCTTCCATCTTCCAGAATGATTTCTCCGAGCTCCGTGCCGGGCAGCTTGGCGAGATTTGGCCGCTCACCGCACTTGAGGAAGTTTGCGGGATCGTCTGGGTCGCCGTCCCTATCGCCCAAACCATAGTCGACCTTTTCCGTGTTGACATCAAAGGCAAAAACACGAACTTCGGCAGGAGGCATGTTGGCTAAGTCATGCTCAGTGAGACCCCAGTTGAGCCAGACAAGCTGTAGGCCAAGCTTGCGCGCAGCAGGTATGGCGTATTGTAGCATCGCCTGCTGAGCGTCGTACATTGGGCGGGCGCTCGGCGGATCGAGTGCTTTGTTCAACCCGATGTTCTGCATGTCGATGATGACCAAAGCCGTTTTAGCCGCGTCAATCTTCACGTTGACGAGCTCGCAATCGAGATGAACAGCGTTGCTTGGCGGGTTAGAGCATGGGTCCGCTTGATGGGTCAGATCCCAGCCATCCAGAGTCCAAATCCAAGTGTTTCCCCCCGTTCCAACGAGGATCTTCTCGTGGGGGGGGTTATCGTCGGAATTTTCAGCGATTTTGTTGGTCAACATGGAAGCCATTCTCACTGATGCTGATGGAGTGATGAAGGGTCGATATCAGTGTCAGCGTGAGTTGATTAGGACAGAAAGTGACGGTGCACGAGAGGGGCAACGACTGTGTGTGCATCACGTGCATTCCGTTGGGGACAAATGAGCTTGGCTTCGGCTGAGAAAGGAGGCGTGACACATGTAATCAGGTCCATACAAGTCTACCCGTGCCCGCCCTCGCTTTACCTCCAAAGAGGGTGCTCCCCACCAAAACCGTCATGTTACCAAAACCGTTATTTTTAAAGCCGAAATTAACCTTAATTTAATAGTATAATACCTACCTAACTATACTATTATTTATATAATTAAATAGTTTTTTAAGATACCAAGCTTATTACTTATCTTTAGATTTTTTTATAGCTTATTTAAAAACCTTAGTATATTTTTATTATTTTAAAAGCTATTAATATTATACTTTAATAATAATTTACTTCTTTTCTTATTATTCTTTATTATATATTATTTAGTAAATATTCTTAATTAAGATAATATCTTTTTTTATTAATTAAGAATTCTTTTTAGTTTATTAGCTTAGAATTTTAATATAGTATTAAACTTCCTTTTATATACCTATTAAAGCTAAAGACTTATAATTATATAATAAATAGACTCTTTAATAATTCTACCTATCTATTTTATAAGGTTAAGATTAATATTATAGCTATAGTTTTCTAGTGTCCTAGTGTCCGCGAAGGCAGGGGTATTACAACAGTAAGGCGTGCGAACCGTATGTATAGACCCCCTGCTATGCGGACCGGCCCGAGTATGGTGTGGTGGGGCCCCTGTAGGTAACGGGCGTTATTACAGACATGGCGGCGTATGCCGTTTTTTTGTTATGACAGTGTTTAGGAACCCTGTTTACAATATTAAAAAATTCGCTATAGTGTCCGCTACTGCCTAGTAGCCTGATTTCTCTTTTCCTAGCATAATAAAGGGATAGCCATAGTTTTCTAGTATCCTAATATCTAGGAAGGTAGGGATATTATAATAGTAAGGCATATAAACTATATATATAGGCCCCCTACTATATAGACTAATCTAAGTATAGTATAATAAGGTTCTTATAAATAATAAATATTATTATAAATATAATAATAACTTATAAAGAAGTTAGGCTTAAGTTTATTTTAAGCTAAGTTTAGCTTAAAGCTATTATAAATAGACTTTTAATATACTTTTTTCTATATATTATAATAAATAAATAAACTAGTTTTTTCTTCTTTTTTATTTTATAAAAAAGTTAATACTATTATAATACCTATTTATAAATACCTTAAAAATAGTCTTTAATAATTAAATTTTTTTATATTAATACTTTTTTTATTTAATTAAAAAAAACTAATAAAATAAAAATAATAATAATAAAATTATAATCTAAATAATAATTATTAATAATTAAAACTTATTTTTATAATATAATAATTCTATACTAAAAAGTTTTATATAAATTAGTATATAGATTATTAGTTTAATTTAAATCTAACTAAAAATACCTTAAATAATTCTTTTAAAAGTTAAATAGTATATTTACTTTATAATTAATTTATAAAGAAATATAAATAAAATAATAATAAAGTTAGTTAAAATAAAAGCTAAAAAGTAATATATATTAATTATTATACTATTTTAGCTTTTAATTAATAAAATAAAACTAAAAATTATATATATATTATAATATATATTTATAAATAATAATAATAATTTTTATATATTAATTAAGCTAAATAACCTATTTAATACCTTTATTAATTATAAGGTAAGGAAAAACTAAAATACTTAAAAGAAAACCTTATTTATATTTTATAAGATTTTTTATAGTTTTATTCTAAAATATATAAAGGTCTAATAAGACCCTTCTTAATACTATATACTAGGTTTTTATCTATATCTTAGCCTATATTTAGCCTATACTACTTTAGCTAGTTAAGCTTATTAACTACCTTTCTTTCCTTTAGGTTTTTATTTATATTAAAAGGGTTATATTTAATCTTATATATTTTTAAATTAGTTAAGCCTATTATTCTTTTAACTTCTTAACTTCTTAGTTTTTTCTTTTCTTTTTTATTTTTATTTATATTAAAAAAAACTATATTTAATCTTATAAGTCTTTAAGCTAATTAAGTTTAATTACTATTATAGCTTTTTAGCTTTTATAATACCTTTATCTTTTTTCTTTTTTAAAAGCTTTTAGTTTTTATTTTTATTTATTATTCTTTTTTACTTTTAATATTTTATATTTTATCTATATAAGTTTAAAGTATATTTTATAAAAAATATTATAATAATACTTTTAAAAATTACCTTTAATTCTTATTATATTAGCTTATATTATATAATAAAACTTAATAAATAAATAAATATATTTTCTTTATAATTATTAACTTTTAATAAAGACTAAATAGTAATTTTAATTATATTTTATTTAAATACTTATAATTATTATTATTTTTTATTAACTAATATATTATTAATAAGTTATTATTTTAATCTTATTTATAACTAATAGGATTTTATATAAATAAATAATTTAAAGCTTTATTAGCTATTAGTTAATAGTTAATAAAGAATTAAAAAAGTTTTTTAAAGTTTTTTTTTTTTCTTTTTTCTTTATTATTAATATTATCTTCTTTATTTTTATTAATATATCTTCCTTCTTTTTCTATTCTACCTTTTTTCTTTTTTTTATATTCTTTTTTTTTATACTTATAGTTTTTCCTTATTAAATTTTACTATTCTTTAATAACTAACTTTATATAGTTACTTTATAATATTTTATTTATTAATTTTTACTTTTATACTTAACTAGGAAAAGGCTTTTAATTCCCTTATTAGTTTTTTTAATTTTCTAACTACTAGTTAAGGAACTTACTAATAATATATATATAATATACTTTTTACTTATAGCTTTAATTAATTACTTTAAGTCTTAATATAATACTTTTATACTTCTTAATAGGTTTAATTTTACTATTTATAATAAGGTTATTAGTAATAGTAAGTTAAAGTTATTTAAGTTATTTTAAACTTCTTTTAATTATATTATTATTATAAGTCTATTTTTAATATAATAGGCTTTAAAGAAGAGAGTTAAAAAAGCCTTTATTAATAAAAAAGGAAAAGGTTTAATTAAAAAGGGTATTAAAAATAAAAAAAATAAAAAAGGCTTTATTTAAATAAAAATAAAAAGCCTAAAAAGACTATTAAGAAAGTAGTTAAAAAGAATATTATTAAAAAAGAGATTAAAATAATTAAAATAGTTTTAACTACCTTTACTTTTAGGTTTAATAAGAAGTATTTTAATTTTATTTCTTTTTAATTTTTAATAAATATTATTATATTAATAAGTAAAAATTTATAAAAAACTTTAATTAAATAATAAAATATTATATTTTAAACCTATTTTTATTTATATTATTATTAAAATTTAATTAAAACTTAATCTAATTTATTATTCTTTATTATCTATTTATATTTAAAGGTATTATAGTTATTATTATTTATAGAACTATATTATAATAGTTATTATATACTTTAAGTAGTTAAAAACTAGGAGAATATTTTTTTAGTTTTAAAAAGGGATTATATTTAGGCTTAAGTATAATAATAAGTAAAAAAGGATAATATAAATAGGATTTTTAAATCCCTTTTTATATTAATATATTAATAAAGAAAATTTAAAAACTTTTTTATTATAAAGAAAGACTATTAGCTTAATTTTATTTATATAAAGTTATATAATTAATAAACTAATATAATATAAAAGGAATTATAAGGTATTCTTTTTTTTCTTATATTAGATTTATAATAGGTAATATATTAAATAAATTTATAGCTATTTAATTTCCTTTTAATAGTATATATTTATATTCTTTTAATAGTTATTTTATATAATTTAAAGCTATTTACTTAGTTTCTTTTTATTACTTTTTATTATTTAGTTAATATTTATTAAAAGTCTTTTTAAAAGGTATATAAAAAGTAACCTTTATTAATAAATCTTATAATATTATATTATTAAGATTAAAATCTATAATATAACCTAGGTTATTATATATTAAAGCTAAACTATTACTTTATTCTTTTTTTATCTTATTAAGATTTAAGCTTTATAAGTAATAAAGTAAAAGTAAATAAAAAGAATATTAAATTTAACCTTAATATAATAAGTAATTATAGCCTAAAAGGCTTTTATTATTATATAAAGGTATATTACCTAAAAGGTATTAAAAGTAATAATTAAGCTTATTAGTTTATCTTTTAAGGTATATTAAGTAATAAGGCTATAAGCTATAATTAATTAAATAGTATAAAAGTAAAATTCTTTTATATATTTTAGCTAAAAGCCTTAAGCTATTTTAATAAAAGCTTTAAAAGCCTATTAAATAAAGAAAATCTTTATTTTAACTTTAGCTATATATACTATTTATACTAATAATAATATAAACTAGACTTTTAAAAGCTAAATTACTACTTATAATATAAGCTAATAGTCTTTAAGTAAAAGGCTTTTTAGGATTATAAATTAACTTTATTAAAAGTAAAAAAGTTAGAATTTTAAAATAAAGAATATTAAAGTATAAGTTATTAATTATTTAAAGTAAATAGTTTATACTTATTAAAGCTAAACTATAACCTAATTTTAAAATATTATTATATTAAAAAGGTTTATATTATTAATAAACCTTATAATTATTATCTTTTAAACCTTAGTTAAGGCTTAATATAAAGATAATAAGAAAAGAATAAATAGAATTAGTAATAAAGGGGAGCCTTATAGGACTTTTTATTAGATTTAAAGAGTATTTAATAGGGATCTATTTAAGTAAATCTATATTATCTTATTCTAAAAGTAAGTCTTTAGTAAAAAAAGAATAATAAAAGGGAATTTTAAATATTAAAGGGTAACTATTATTATTAAATAAACTATATTATTAAAAATACCTATAATATTAAGTTAAAGTATTAAAATAAAA